TGGAACTAGTTTCTATCTAAGCGTAGTCCGTTCTTCCACGTGCCGCGATTAGACTCAACTTTGTCGACCGGCGGTTGGTCTAGTTCATGAAGGGCTTAGACAGGGCGCAAACTGATGGACTATGCGGCCTAGCTTCACGTCTTTGCTATCAATTTTCAGCCCATCAGAACACATCTTACGGTCTCAAGCAAGAGTATGCCTCAAAGGCGACGAGAAGATGTGGTAGGCTCGTGGCAAGTAACAACAGACTCAGCATTGCCGAAGCTGGCGCCAATAGTGACAAAAACTCTGCCTATACGCAAGGGCCCGCCATCGGGACCCCCTTCGCTTCACTTTTCGTCTTTTTGAGGCCAACAACCCGCCCAAACCAAGCTATGCAGAACGCGTCCGGCCTTGGAAGATAACTTTTGCGGGCCGGGCAAGACACAAAAGTGTACGAAGTATAAGCTGCTTACATGACTGGACCCTTTGTCCCGGACACCCGGGCGAGACCATTTTCGGTGAAGTGAAGTGGGGTTCCTTGCCCTAGAAAGTATTTGGCGAAGCGGAAAAGAACCCCGGGGTTCGTGGTCGACCGCCCCGGGGAAGGTGTCCGGGTCTTCGGGCTGTCTCCGTCCCGGAGACGGTGTGCGGGGGCGCGCATGTTGATGGTAAATGGAGCTGGAGATGGAAACTGGAGCAGAGGTTGACGGGAACTTTGACAGAAGTTGATTAATGATGAGTTGGCGTAGTCCACACATAGTCCACTTCGTGCGTCGTTGGTCTGACGCCGGTCCGGATTGAGCTAGACGACCGTTGACGGCGCCGGACCCAAAAGTGTCTCCATCTCGATGCTGGGTTATCCCGTGGGCAAGAGCTGTCAAAACCACGACCGCGGATAAAAAATCAATGGTTTTCACGTCGACCAAGACTGCGTTCAAGTGGGTTTCTATTTGAGACTAGTAAATTGACACGCTGTCTGCTGTAGCTGAAGGATTCTGAATCATCATCTGTATCATACGCAGAAGAGGGGGAAGCAGATGAATAGTATGCATCCATCTTTCTCACAAACACCCCTCCCCATCTAACACGGCATCGGCACACGCGGGATCTACAAAGATCTCTAAGCCAAACTGCACATGGGATCCCACAGCGGCAGCACAGTCGGCTCCGTCCCAACCACGCCGCGGACCTCCTTGCTCAGGAACCGCGGATCAACAACAGCCTGGTAGACAAACTCATCCATCCACGCATCGCTCATCACGAACCACCCCTTATCGCCCGCGCTCTCGCCCCAGCTATTCTGCACCCTCCACCGCACACTCTCGCCGCTCTCCTCGTCGAGGTGCACGGCAGTCAGCACCATGGCGTGCGTCATGGCGCTCTCGCCCGTCCGGAGACGGCTGGCCTTATCCATGCCCAACAGGGAGACATTGAACCCGAGCTCGTAGTCGATGAGGTCGAGATCCATCACCCCCGCGGAAGAATTACTGAATTTCCCGACATCGGAGCCGAAGAAAACGGGGAGTCCGGCTTTGATCATGGATACGCAGGCGGATTTGAGGGTGGCCATGGAGACGTTTACGTAGGTTACGCCGCGGCCGCCTACGATGTTGCCTAGGCGGTCGACTGTGAGGAGGGTGAGTGGCGGGTGGCGCGGGTCGTGGACGAGGGAGACCATGGAGTCGATTACGGAGGAGGTGATGCGTAGGTCGGAGGAGTAGATGTCGCGGGCGAAGGATTGAGGTGTTGTTTTGAGGGTGTGGGGTTTGGAGGATTTGTCGAGGTAGGTCCAGGTGAATTCTTCGCGCGGGTTGGGGGGCGGGCCGAGGGCGAGGGTTAGGATGGAGAGGATCTCGCGCATCATTTTCTCTTTTGTTGCAGTCAGGGTTTCTGCTGCTGAGGAGGCAGAAGAGGGGGAGGAGGAGGAGGAGGATTGGACGAGTTTGCGGAGGATGAGGGCGTATTCGCGGAGCTTGGTCTTGACGATGGAGTTGAGGACGCCCGAGTTCATGGCGTTCCACGAATCTGGGTACAGCGCCTGCGGGACGAGGCCGTACTTTTGGACGAGGTTGTAGACCATGTCCCATTGTCCTCCATCACTCACGATATCGCCCAGCAGGGCCTGGACGAGGCGTCCGTCGAGATCCTCTCCCGCGGCGGCAGTGTCGATGATTTGCTCGAGAAAATAGTTTGATTTTTCGAGCTTGTCCCAGAAGAAGAGGTAGGATTGGGAGAGCTCAAACGATTCGAGGCTGTAGCGGCGCATGAGGGCGACGCGGAAGACGTTTGTGGAGGCGAAGAGCCAGCAGCGGCCTGAGGAGCGCTGGTTCGTGATAGGACCGCCTTCGAAGGGGATGCGGGTGTTGAAGATTTGGGGGTCGGCGAGTTTGGTTGCCGTTGAGGTTAGGACTGTGCGGGGGTCTGCTGTGCTTAGGGCCGTGAGGGCGAGTCTGTTGGAAGAAGAAGAGTCAGCTGTGGTGTTTTGGTGGATGAATTAGAAGAAGAAGTATTTACTTGTTCTTGGGGTCGGCGAGGAACCTCGACTGCCAGGACTGCGTCTGTTGGACGGGGAGACCCTCTGGCTCGCGGACGAGTCTGATGTCGCGCTTCTCGTCATCGCTGCCGCTGGCAGCCACGTTGACGAAATCATCGTCGGTGACTTGGAAGCGGCGGAGACGCTCGAGGAGGGCCTTTTCGTTGGAGACGTCGACAGTGGGTTTGGATGTTTGGGAACCCATATTGACTGCTCTACTCTGTGGTTTGCCCTAGATCCAAATAGAGGTTGCGCTTGCTGTTGAGCTTGAAGTTGATAATGAAGCTATCTTATTAGCAACGCAAGGAAAGCTGAGGGTGAGAAGGATGATGAGCTGTCTTGAAGCCCGTTTTTTTTGCTTTAGCCAAGCAAGATCAAGCAATCGTCAGAGGTCAAGAAGCTTAGGGATAAGAAAGAAGTTCGGCTCTCCATTCAAGTCTACATAAAGAAGGTCGGGCTGCGGGCGTGGTATTTAAGACAAAGGAACCGATAACGCGAGTCGTAGACTAGAAACCCCCGCGACCCCTCACCACCCTCCATCCTTCACTCCGATCCGCCTGATACCGAGCAAATGCTACAGAGAAGGGGTGCAAAGGTGTCTCTCCAGGTTGCTTCGCTTGTGCTTGCTAGCCAGCTAGGTCGGGAAGGTCATGAACAAGCTTCCCGGGGTAAAGTTGGGTGTGTGGTGCCCGCACTTGCGCGTCTCCCTTCTGTCTCACTCTCACTACCTATCTCTCTGTCGACTGCGTTTCTCTTATCAGTTGGAGTCGAGTCCGAGAAGGGATGGAGGGGTCTGGGGTTCGCTTTAACGTGCTTCATGGGAGAAATCCAGCCATACAGCGATGAGAGTTGGGGAACTTTGGGGTTGGGTCGACAGGGATTAAGTGCCCACGAGGCAGCGATTGGAGAGTCACGCACCCGCAGACGGCGCGGACGGCCGGGGAGGATGAGTGGCCGGGGACCATCAAGGTGCTTACTATGAGACGGAATGTCGGGGAGAGGAGCACATGACGAGGTGGGTTGAGGGGATTGATTGAGGTGTTCCTGCGGTATGTGAGTTTTCGAGTAATGGCGATTCTTCAGGCGGTAGCACGCCATGGGACTCCACGATTGTTAAGTGCAGAGGTGCTGGTTAACGTGTGCATCTTTGCTGGAAATCATGTCTCGCCTATGTGATCTGACATTCGGATGAACATCAGTCGCTTACGAACCCCGTTGGACATGAGCTTTTGGGTAGATTCGTTGACTTGCTCCCTCTTTCCGGTGTTTAAGAGGTGCCATCTCAAATTTGGCGTCATCAACAGCCTCAGATAGGTAAGAGGTGCACTGAAGCAGCAACTACCTTTATACAACTCTGGAATACAGGTAAAACTTGATCGAGAAATACGTAGGAGATAAGCTCAGCATTGCGATCGAGTCCAGTCTCGTGCGATACGGAGGCCCCACCAAATCGGAAGGACCGGGAGAGGACCGGGAAAAGCGGGGCCGAGGTTTTCAACTATTTGAGGCAGCTATCACGACTGAAAGCTTGCGTTGAACGCGAGCTGTGAAATACATCGATACACCTTCGACATGTATCAAGGCAGAATTGTTCCGCTCTTCAACGTTTAGCGACGTAGCCGGCTAGAGACTGCGGAGCAAAGGACAGGGCAGGTGGAATGAAATAAGTAAGGGACAGGGCAGGACATAGAACTCTGACGAGCAGGAAGAGCATATTACGTCTTGCTTTCAGGAATAGACTGGGTATCATGAAGCAAGAAGGGAAAGGGAAGGAAGTTCGGAGGAGGAGGAACCTGGCGCAGACAGACCGCGAGAGGCATTCGGTGTGGACATGACAAGGATTTCTTGAGGTATAAGCTGGATGATTTGTTAGAATGCCAGAACACCTTAAATCACGCGATGCGGAGAGGACATCCAAGTCCCTGAACTATGGTCACACCAACCGTTGTAAAGGGTGAACGCCTATCGAGGCGTGGAAACTTCCACTCGGGTGCTAGATGTTGAGGCTCTATCTGTTGATCACTCATTTTGGCATTCTATAAAGCGATCTTCAGGCTAGAAGATATGCTCGACTGTTGGGAACATAGTTTGCAGAATAATCTCTCTTGCCTAGCGCGTCCTTTCTTGCGTCACCGAGCATCAAACTTCGGTGCATACCATTCTCCTACCGGGACATGTTTGATAAAAATAGTTTTCTTTTTCTTCTTCTGTCACTATAGTTATTCGTCCTTTTCCCGGTCATTTTTTCTCGTTTTAGGCTTTGGCAGTCATAGAAATGCAATAAAGGAACGTAAGGTGAGCCACGTCGGTGATCAAGTCTGTCCCAAAGCCTCCCGAACCTCCTGATCAAGCCGGAAAGCGCCACATTCAGCCCCCTAACTGCCTAACTTGCTTGTGTCAATCTTTAATAGCCTCCTTGTGCTGTATTTCCAACATGGTAGGTCTTCCTAGGCTGGCAAGCAATATTTGTTTTCGTACGGGCAATTTAGGCACTAAAATCCGCCACTAAGACTATGGCATTGTCCTCGAAGCCGATGTGTCTTTCTGTGACGGATTTTGGTTGTCCAGCGAAATTCATCTCAATATTCTTAAGAGATGCGGCTAGCTCGGAGGGACCTAGGCCTTGAGTGCCTTCAGACGTTTTCCTGTTACTGGCTGGGTTCATGAGGATGTCTCTCACTGTAATCCCTCAGTCAGTAATCCTTTTCACGCAGCTGAGTTTGATGATTGCGATGCATTACCTTTTCCGAGATCAGCCTTGAGGTGCTTCAGCAATTCGTCATCACCCAGCTTTGCCTCATAGTCTGGGCCGAATCGCGCTTTGAATAGGTCTCCTTGCTTCACCAAGACCCCCGACAAGTCCGCATTGCAAAGCTCAGGGTCTTCTCTGCATACCAAGATTTCATTGATGATAACGTGGCACTCAACTTGTAGAGAAAGTATCGTAGCGCGGGTTTTGGAAGAAAGGGGCGCAAATGCCATGACTGCGGAAGGAAGCAAATTCATTATAGAAACGTAGGTGGCGAGTAAATAAATGTTAGCTAGGCACTTGGGAAGGAGAAGTGAGTCCTTATATTTTCCGGAACAGGCGAGATATCTCTCATACCTTCAGCTAGCAAACATTCATGACAAAGAGGCATGTTCAACGAATGCCGCCGACCAGCTTATCCCGACGAGCACATGACGATCGAGCTTGACAGCACCCACTGTTCACTTGACAGTCCGAAGTCTTCTTTCTCTATGTCCACCGAGAATTATTCTGTGCGAGACAAGCAGTTAGCAGTCTACCGACGTGAGCGAGATTCTTATTCAAAATCGTCAGTGGCGGTTTCCCAGTCCTTTGTGCTTCGACCCAGGATCCTGGTACAGCGTTGACGATCGTAGATGCCGATTTCCACGGTTTGTTTCCGCCTCGATATTCCTCCTCCTTCCATACCGTCAATGCTGCAAGTGCTTTTTGCGTGTTCTTGGTGACCCCAGCGATGGGGGTAGGAGGCCCGGCTGGCAGTGGCACGCAGTCAAATTAAGAAAGATTTTGATAATAATAATACTTTATTTTGTGTTTTTTTTTTTTTTCATCCCGTTTTTTTATAGCTTTTGTTCGTAGGTCCGTATGTGAAGAGAAAAGAAAGAAAAACACCCAGAACCATGAGAATGGTGGAAACACCCCTCAGAAACACAATCGACACCAAAGCCATTTGGAGTAAGCAAGCCAGTCAAATACTGCCGCATTCATTGTAACCGCCTAACATCCGTAAACTGCTCTTCAAGCCCGGCGGCGCTGTATTCGAACATGCAGTGGAGGCTGAAGTCGATTTCTCCCAAACTCGCTTGGTAAGCCCGCGTCGTGGCTGTTGACCGTGCATATGAGACCACAGAGTATTGAAAATGACGAATGCGATCGGTTCGACTAGCTCGTACTTCCCTGCCGGCTGCGGGAATGGAGTATGTTTCTATACAAGGGGCTCGCACAGTACGCTCAGCAGGTACTTGTCCGAGATGCGAGGAATGACACCTTCATCCCAATTTGAAGAGTAGTCGGCATATCTGAGCTGGAGCAGTAGCAAACGCATTGGAATCATCCTGGACAACACTAAGCCCAGTCGTGACCGTGGGCCGATGCCCGGGGTAGTATCTCTGGTAACATCCTGACCGGGCAGTATGACGGGGTCTTGCAAAGTGGCTTTGCCATGCGGTGTGTTTTGAAGCCGGCCATCGAGCATCCGCCATACTGCATTACTCCGGTCAGCATTCAAACCCGTTGAGCTTGAGCCGTTGCGATGATCTACCTTCGGAGAGATGAACGTAAAGAGCGTCCAAGTCCATCTGCATATCTTTGGAAAACTGGGGGTGATTATCAAGGTAATTGTCGAATACTTCCTTCCCTTCCTCTGACTCCCCCCCGTCTTTGTCGAAAACAAGGACTTCATGACCCCACGCCATGAACCCGGCCTGAAGCCTCTCAACGGCACGGACCACATCAGGATGATCTGATCCCCTCAAGATGCTTCTAAACAGTCTCGCACAACTCTCAACCAGCTTAGATGCTCTTGCGTGTCCGAAACTGAATACGTGCTTGTGATTTGAAGTGGCTGTGAGCACTACATCCATTAGTCCCGAGTCTATGGATATGGAGTTCATTCGCGACGGGTCCAGCATTGTGTCGGCCATGATTGTCGTAGCAGTTTCGTGGTTTCGATGTCGGTAACAGAGATGTGTGCGAGAAGTGATGAAGCTAGGTATTGGAAAGAGAGGATGTCGGTGACCTATTATGTACCTCAGAGGATTACATGGTTCTTTCGTTACTTCGATTCACAGTTGCTTAGCATGAAGAGAAGGTGTTCAGCAAATGCCCGTAGTCGGCTCCTCCTATCACGAGCCAGCGATGGCTGGGCCCAACACCACCCGCTGAACAGCAGGTGATTCAATTTTCTTTATTGCCTTGTCATAGCTGGCCAGGACTAAGAACAATTGAATATTTATGCAGTTCAGGTGTCATTTCAAATGCATTTGAGTACTGATTCTTGAACCGGGTGGGATCGTATGTGGCGGTTTACCCAGTTCTTTCAATGTTGTGGTACACGACCTGAGTAGAGCATGTAAGAGAACAAAAAATGCAATAGGATCTCGAGACACTGACTGGAAGCTTCGTCTTAGCCACAGCGATGTACTGCACTGAAGTGCGTTTGACAGGGTAAGAAAATTGTTGCTCTACCGCGAATTTCTGGAGTTTCACCAATGACGGAGACACGGAGAGATGTTACACAAACCATACTTGACATTCTTTGACCTTCCAGGACATGTTTCATATGAACTTGAACAGAGGATTCAATGAAACCTCATCGAGTCTTCGGAGCGGTGAGCCCGCCATTGAAAGAAGATGCTGAGAATGAAGCCTCATCTGTAGTAGCTAAATGAGATCCAAGAAGCATCGCTTAGATCGGGACCTTGATGCTGATGATGGTGGTAATGATATCCGTACCACTAGGCTCCGTAAGTTTCGGAGGCGAACGAAATTGCCTGTCCAATGGCTTCCGTTAAAGGGGCATATGGGCACGATAGCCACGAGGGCGTCGTATCGCATTCTTGGTTGTTTTCTGCTATTCCCCGGCACGAAGTGAGATGACTGAACACCATTCTTTGTAAAGCCTTCATGCGCTCTTGCATATAAAGGGTATGGCACTGGCATATTGCACTCGTTGAGCACTTACGATGTCGCAACATCATCTCGTTCATATGCCTCTCAAGTATCATTGGTCGAGGCCTGCATGTACAAGGTCAACACACGAGACAGACGGGCTCCCAAACGGACAGATCGATATTGATAGAAAGCATGAAATGAACTTATGATGAAGACAGGCGTGTAAAGACCTGGATCTCAAGATCACAGCACATGGACTGCCTTCATTTATCCCCCCTCGCCGAGGCAGCTCTGGCCTTTGGAGATGCATAGCCAACATAGTTATTGGAAGACTTCAATCTAGTGAGTTCCCTGGGGATCTCTCCAGCGAACCGTGACTGAGTACGTTCGGGTCATGATGGTGGTGATGATGAAAGGCATCCAAAGCCGTGCCGAGGTACGTGTAGTGTAGCTGGAGTTCGAGGTGCCGCTTAAGCAGCGCGGCCCTCAGACGTAACCCTCAAGGGTGCATATAGCAATGAGATCTTCAGGATACGCTCAAATACGAGGGAGTCAAACGGCCGAACTCAACTGGATCCAACTGCTCGAAGGCAAGTGCAAGAGTCTTCGAATCTAATGTAATTTAAACTTTCTATGGGAGAGATTCACTAGGCCTCTTTCCACTGCCGCCCCATAGTTGAGTCCCAAGATCTGAATGAAAGAATTGCTCTTACAGTTGATTGCCTGGAGAAAGTATGCAAAAGCGGCTAGATAGGGACGACAACCAACTTGCCCGAGATATTTGGGCTTGAACTGCCTCATAACGTGGCAAGCAGAATCAATCATGAATCCCTAATCTCAACTAGATTGAAGTTCAGGTCCATATCACTCCCTTTGCCGTCGAGCGCGATGATGGGGCATAGCGAGCGCTGTATATTTTACTTGTACTGTGTACACATCCATTGTTGTAGATGGCCTCAAGAAATTCGGATCCCATGAAGGTCGATCTTCAACGCCAGTGATCCGGGAAACCCGCGTCATATACGATGATATACCAAGAACGATGCCACGAAAATGATGAAGTTTATTCCAGAGCTTCCTGAGCTAGGTAAACAAGCCAAAAAAGTACCTGATTCCTTGTAATCGCCACCATCCCACTGCTTTTCCCAAGCCCCGAAAGTACCGTATCTTCTTCTCAAAGCTGGTATTGGTCCACTGGCAGCTGCTTCGGAAAGAGCTGGTTGCTGTCCGCCGTCGAATATGTTAGGCGGTAGTGAATGTGGTTTCATTTGCACATCTCTCTGCTAATCGAAGGAAAAGGAGGATGTTTGGACTTCCGGGGATCCGGCTTTTCGCAGGAAAGATTTAGTGAAAACGCCCATTCATGAACTGACTCGTGACGCCCTCCTTGATAAACACAAGCTCTTCTAGGTAAAGATTGTCGAGCTTGTCGGTCTTGGAGAATCTGACAGACGCGACCTGGAGGAGGACGAGGCGCATTGGAATACCCAAGGTGATGTAATAGCCAAGGTCTGATCGTGGACCGTAGTCTAAGTTATAGAGTACCTTGGTATTCGAAGATTCCATCACGGGATCTCTCTGAGTGGCTTCATCACCCCTCAAGTAGTTTTCAGCTCCTTCGAGGAGCATAGATTTCACTTCATCAGGCCAGTCAGCATTTTCAAACTATTGAGGTCGGGTTGGGTGCGGTAACTTACCTTCTTGAAGTGATAGGCGGAGATTTTCCAGGTCCTTCATGAAGATGGTTTTCTCGCGTGCACTTCCCTTTATTATCTTGGCATCGAAGGCAACCATCCCAATCAAAGGTTTAGGTTTATCAAGTGTCACTTGAAGGAATCTATTGATCCAAGTCCTAAAATCATCCCACAGTTGGCTGACCAGTTGTCGCGCTAGCTTATGATGGATTTTGCCAGAATGTTCCACAATGGTCCTGAACTCTGCATCACATTGCAGCAACTTTTTCGATGGATCGTGCTCGTGGATATTGGTGTTGACATCACTTGTTGATGAATCGTTGGCGGGAACCACGGCGGGAACCTGGGTGTTGGATTCAATGGAAGTCATGTTTGTCGTGCAAGGTGGTCCCGATGTATTGAGGCTACAGAGAGGTTTCTTAGAAGTGATGAGGCTATCTGGGAAAGGAACTCCCGACATCTTTTATAGTCCGGGAGACTATCTCGCCCTCGGAGTGTTCAATAGAGACCCGTGGCTATGCCTCTTACTCACAAGCCCACGATGATCGAGCTTGACGGCATTCTATGACCACTTGATGATTCATATTCCTCACCTTCTTTGTCCATGAAAGATCTGTTGAACCGTCCTACCCCGAGTTCACGATTGATGAAATCTAGGAGTATTGATGTCCTGGTATGAATCGGGCGGGATAATTGTGGCGGTTTCCGAGTCCACTGTGCGACCACACGATAAACAATACTGCCTTTCAACACTCGGTCCTCACAATTAAGACAGAGATGTCCCACCATCCATCACACCTCGAGCTCCCACCGTCACAAGAGAAACGTAGATCTAGAAAAGAGGCAAAGTTTCTACACGTGCAAGTTCGAAAACGACTTCTCCCAGATGAATGATCAGCCACGATGGTTCGACTTTGGCGGTGAACAGCGGTCACAATGACTTCTGTTTCCTCCCATGATGAGGTGGTGTATCGAGAGGCCGGCATACCGCTGCAAAGTGATTACCCACAAATGTATCTTCTGAAAAGTGATACTCAAGACCGCCGAGGATTACCGACGGCGGCGTAGCTGACTTAGTGACCTCAAAAGATCTAATGCCCAGCGCAAGGGATCCCACCCAATTTAGGGGTCCTATAGCAGACATTTGGTGGATGGAGATGGTCAATTGATACATGTACTCGCGACTAATACGCATAGAGGAGGGAGGAGGTGCGCACGACAGAAGTCTCTCACTCTACTGACTGGATATCCTTTAGATTATATTGCCTCCTCGGATAGCTCTCGCTTACATAATATATAATGATATATTCAGATCAACTTGACAATAAATCATCCCTTTCCTCTATGACTAGATAGGGAGAGGCCATATGTGGCAGTACCCCCCCAGTTTCTTTGTTCGACCGCGTGGTAAAAGTTATGAAATCCAAACTGGGAGGCCCTGATATAGGGAAACAAGCCGCAACGTGCCGGGTCCCTCGTAACTGCAGCGTTCTATTCTGCTTCATTCAAGCCCCGATGGCACCTCAGTCGTATTCATGGCGAATGTTTCTCGAGGTATCAATAACTGGGTCGGAAAGCTCACCCTGTGGTTGACCGTTGTCGGCCCAAGGCCCAGCTCTTCCGACAATGGATGGTGAAAGCGAAATGTAACCGATTCTGATAGCCGTCGTTCCTTTCATACCTCCTCAGTGGGCTCTAACTGCGCGCTGGGGTATCCTGGGACTGATTCTGAATGAGCTTGGCATCTACAAGTGTACTCATTAGGGTCTCCTGAGAGACAAGGTTTATAAGTTCTTGCTTCGTTTCCTCGCTTTCCATAAACTCGTGTCTCAAAAGGGCAATCTTGATCTTGATACTGTGCATATGCGCTGAAATGAGGTAAAACAAGTAGGCGCCAAGGGTTGTGCATGGAGCACCGCCTGTCATATCTCTCGGGGATCCTGTCCGAGTTCCACGGGATCTTCCCTCGTGGATGTTGCCCACGCCCTGTTTTTTGGTCTATATGGGTGGTAGCCGTCAGCGTCTTGGAAGCCGGTGACAGCGTCACCGACGCCGACCATGTTGCCCGCTGTATTACTTCAGTCAGCCTTCCTAGCCTAGATTTAGATTGGGTTCGTTGCGATCCTTGCTGAATTTTTGAGAACTTTAAGTAGACAATCGCCGCGACTCAATGTACCAGCAAAACGATTCTGGTCTACAGTCTTGAGGACTCCGAATTGCTCACTGATACCCGCGATATACTCAGGTACCGCTTGATGAGGGAAGGTCACAATTCGCAAATTTGGAACAGCCGTGGTCGTTGTAGAGGTCGTAGAATGTGTTGTCGATTTCACTTACAGTGCCGTGATCCGAGAGAAGTCATGAGGCTATCCTGGAACGGAAGAATGACTTCTTTTGTATCCCGTGAAATCGCATGACTCTCTCTCGAATTCGACACAAAGAAGCATATTCAGTAAAAGGCTACAAACATGTCTCTTCCCGTCACGAGTCCCCATGATTGAGCTTGATAGCACCTATCAAACACTTGATAAGTCAGATGAATGCTGTGTACCAGTTGCTTAACCTATTCTCCGTCCATGAAACATATCTGGCCTTTGGGAATTCATTGCCAAAAAGAGTCTTCGAAGATCGTCTTCCTGGTCTCCCGGTCTGCCATGGTACATTCATTTTCGCTTCGTGATTCCTTACATTAGTTGGCGGCCTTCTCATTCATGCTGGTCTTCTTCGAACGAGATAGTCAAAGGAAAGATAGCCGAGGGTCTTAGATCTTCAGCAAGCTGAATGAGAGACTTGAGTATCTGGCCTACATTAGCTTAGCAATCTCCGACAAATCGTGATGGCCATTAGTACTGCCTCGGTAAAGTATCACTTCGGTCGTTTGCCGACCCTCATGAAGGCTAAGAATAAGGAAGATGATCTGAGAACGGCGGCAGTTTATATGGAGACAGCGGGCTTACAACAGCTTCTGCCCAGTGAGAAGATAAGATCGATCTTGACTAAGCTACATGTATAGTCATTAAGGCCTTACAGCCAAGTTCGACATTTGACTATCTAATTTGGTGCTAAGGGTTGTATTAGATCTATTTCTCGATTCCACAAGTCTCAAGAGCGAACTCTATCGCCTGAACACCAGCTTTAGTGCAGAGAAGGACCGGCTTCTAGCTCGAATCACCGATATCTATGATGATTTGCACCGCTTCTTCGACAGGGACTCGGGGTTAACTAGACCAACCGCCTCGAAAGCGACGATTTCCTTCCAGGAATTGCACGCTCGTGCATCTACATTGTATAAGTGTTTAGCACATCAGTGGAAGTGCTGCTGTGCTACTGCACACAAAATCGGCATCAACGCGCACCTTAAAGCTACCAAGTCACCGGCCATGTCTAAGAGCGAGTATTTTGACATCTTACTTGACGCCAAGGACTGCAGAACACAGCCAAGGCTGCATTTCGAGGCTCCCAACACCACTGGTGAATCGGATAAGACGATGTTTCCGCTTGCGGCACCGAAAGCAAACTCCGCGATAGATATCAAGAACCGGGTGCTTTTCAAACAGCAGATTAAGTCTGGGGCTGATGCGGCAAGTGAGAAGAGCATTTCCGCGTTGGCAATTACGTCTCTGGCGATTTCAGCCCATGCACTTGAGGCGACACGCCGATCTATACTCAGGAACGCAACGAACAAGCTGAAAAAGCTTCAGAGTCGGACCCGCATGACAAGCGGTGCACAATCGTCATCCCTTGACGGCCCGTCCGAGAAGAGCACTAGGTTGAGTCCCGTGGTGACAGGCACATTCAGCACATCAAGCACCGCATCTGAGGTGACTAATGATCCGAGTCTGTAAACAGCACCTAGCAGGTAAGGAGAGCCAAACCTGTCACTATATATAGCGCCGCTAACATTCATGGCATAGGAGTGGGTTGTCACGATATAGCATCACCACCTCGTTTGCATCCAAAGTGCGGTTTCGCCGACGCCGCGCCTCCAACGCCGCCACCCGAGGAATGCGAAGCCCAGACAGAAGAGATGAAGAGCATATGCGAGCTTGTGACCAGTTTTGACAACATGGATGAGAAAGCCAATACACTGTCAGTGGATGGAGAGAAGTGAGTCGTTCTGATGCCTGAACCCAAAGACCAGGGCTCTGTCAAAACGTCAACGATGCAATCGATTGATAGCTTCATCCACTCCACATCACTGAGGCCGGTTCGGCTTTACATCGGTCTCAACTTTGCCCGCAGCCTGCTTTGCCTCGCAACGTCCTCCTGGATCCCGCCCAAGCTAGCAAAAGACAACATCTTCCTCGTTTGCTGCGGTTTGTCTCTTTCTTCAACGCAGGTTACCTCTCGTTTTGTGATGTCAAAAGCGTTTGGTCATGTCAGCTTGAAGACATCCATCCACCACGCCCCCGCGCCTACCGCCTTGAGATTGACATAGGCTTAGAAAAGGGGCAAATGTCTATATGCGGGTAAACTTTACTATGGACTTTTCCCACGTATAATCACAAGCGACGATGCTAACAGAGACATCTCACCAATGCTGAGGTGGTGTATCGACAGGCCAGGTCACAACCTTTTTTTAGTGCTGCTCACAGATTCAAAGATTTGGTGGATGGAGATAGCCAATTGGTAAGTTTGCTCGTTTATACTGGGTGGTGGGGGTTGATGGATACCCATCTCTCTGGAGCTATCTAGCTGTATAAGCACGCCCATTCAACCACACAACTCGTCGCCTCAAGACCTGGTCGGAAGTCTGGTTAAGGTGTGGTGGATGTACTGCCATAGGTTCATGTGACTAGTATGCATGGGAAAAGACTTCTTGGATAGCTAACGAAATTGAGCACATTACATCACCAATTATCAGCCAGGGCATAAAAGACAGTGTAGTACCCAACACATGGATTACAGATCATATACAGAGCTACATATCTACGTAAAAGACTCCTGGATCCTTTATCCGTTCTGTTTTTATCCAAAAATCGACTTCAATTTCTCCATTACATTTGATCATCTGTAATTCGTACATGACATGTTTGCTAGATAACCCATTGACATAGCGCGGAACGCTTACAGACGAGAGCCGTGGATGACCTTGACGTCGACGGCGAGCTCACGGCCAGCATCGTTGAGGACAAGGACGCGGACGGAGCCACGGCCGGACTCGAAGGCGTTGTTGAGGCGGGACCAGAGGTTGGACTGGTCAATGACGGGCAGGCCCTGCTTGACATCGCCGGTCTCGGTCATGGCAGTGACCTGGCCATCGGAGAGGTCGAGGACGCGGTACTGCTTGAAGACGGGGCCGAGCATGGTCTGGACAACGACGCTGGGGGCAGGGTTGGCGATGAAGGAAGACTCCTCGTGGAGCTGCTTGGTGAAGAGGTCGACACCGAGGTAGCGGTACTGGCCGGTGGCGGCGGAGGTGGAGATCTTGATGACCTGGCAGGGGCGGCCCTGGAGCATCAAGAAGTCGCCGAGGCGGATGTGGTGGCAGGGGATGGTGACGGTGTTGGGGAGGAGAGGGGCACCGGAGCCAGAGCCGGAAGACTGGCGGCGGGGGGCGGAAGCGGCGCGAACCTCGGAGACTTCGTAACGGTCAGCATGACCATGATGATGATGGTGGTGATGGTGGGGGTGAGCAATCTTATCCGCCAGCTTGTGAAGGCCTTGACGGAAAGAATGGTAGTGGCCTGGTGGTGCGAGCACCCTTCAGTGTCGGTCCATAGATTGGGGGGACGAACGGCGCAACCAAAACACACACACAAAGCCCGACAAGCATCGGACAGACAAGCAAGCAAGCAAGCACGCACGCATAAGGGGGTCAAGCAGAGCACTGGGGAGGGGATTTCAAAACTTACCATCCTCGTCGTAGTAACCCATCTTGGAAGACTTGTGTTGGGGCTTGGAGACGTGAGTGGGCTCGATGGTCTCTTCGGTAACCTTGATGGTTTCCTTGTACTGCTGAGGACGGGGGCGCTCAGATTCGACGGTGTACTCGTCGACGTGGGAGTGCTTGTGGTGGGAGTGGTGATCCGAGTGGTGATCGGAGTGAGAGTGGTGGTGGTGGTGGTGAGCCGGGTAGGTCTCGACAGTGACTTCCTCCTTGTGGTAGGTAGGCTGGAGACGCTGACGGTACTGGCGTTCGATTTTATCAATCGGGTTTACCAGGTGCTCGTGGTGACGGGTGTCGATCTCAACGCGAGTGTCGTGGTGGTGGATGCGAGTGTCGTGGAACTCTTGCTGAGTGGTGTATTGAGAGGGAGCAGGAGCAGGAGCGGGAGGGGCAGGGCTGGATGGAAGGAAAAGAAGAGAGAAGTCAGTTGATGTTTTGATGGGGGAGCTTGATGGGGAAGCTTTTTCGCTCCGGTTGACATATTTGACGTGACAAGTGGTTACTTGGCCAACATGGGACTAGGGGGCCGGGAGGAGGCGTCCAGGGTCCATGACTGGCGGCTCGTAATGGGCAAGGAGGGAAATTTGGCGAAATACCGGGGCCCGAGCTGAAGCGGTCCCGAGGCCGGGGTGTTGAGGTGGTAGGGTAGGGGTGTATGGAAGATAGGTGAGAGGTGAGAGAGAGACGGTTGCCAAGGGGAGGCGGAGGATGGGGGGAGAAGGGGCGGTGACCGGAGTGACGCGAGTGGGTTTGCATTGTTTTGAGGTTGCATGGGAAGAGGGAAGCGGGAGTGAGGGGGGGTTGGATGAATCGATCGATGCCATGCCATACATAAGCTGTGATGGGCACATGCGGCCACAGATAGAGAGAGAGAGAGAGGGTTGAGCACAGAGAGGTCGGAGAGAGAGGATGGAGTAGAAGAACAGATAGACAGAGAAAGATCAGGACATACCGGTACTCCTCACGGTAGTTGTGGGACTCGTAGTGGACACCGGGACGGTGGTAGTGTTCTTCGATGCGGACCTCTTCTTCGTAGCGGTGCTGCTCTTTCCGAGGGGGCAGAGGCTGCTGCTGCTGCGGCTTTTGCTGCGGCGGCTGCGGCTTCGACTCGGCGACGGTGGTGAAGGAAGAGTATTGACTTTCCTCCCGTCCGGGCCTCTGAGGCTTCTTCTCGGGGAGTTTGATCTCAAGCTCTTCGTGAGTCTGAGTGACTGTTTGGGTCTGGGTTTGTGTCTCACTCTCCTTGTAGGTGGAGGGAAAGACGCTAAAAGGGACGGGGACACGAGCTTCAAAATCCAGATTGGCGGCCTTGGGGGCGCAGAGAGGAGAATCTTCTAAGCGTTCCTGAAGTGAGGAAGGCAAAGAAGAGTATCCTCTTGCTTCGTTTTCCTAAAAAAACAAAGGGGAAGGGAAAGGTGGGAGAAGCCGGTCGTTCAAGTGACACGCGCTTCTGCTTTTCTCTTCTCTTTTGGATTTGGAGGAAAGGGGGTGTGCCGACAAAAGGTGAAGTTGGGCAAAAAGGGCGATTGAAGCTTTTGGAGATGGATGGAGAGGAGAGAAGAAGGAGGGAGAAGAGGGTCGCTCGAGATGTGCGATGCGGATTGGGTTTTGAAGACGGGGGGGTTGGTGGTTGATGGTTGGACGGAGCAGCAGAGCGAGCGGCGAGCGAATGCAGTCTGCAGAAAACGAGGGTTGCGAAGGGTTGCCGGGGCAAGGGGTGAAATGTTGTGTGTGTGTATCCGTATTGTGTGTGTGTTGTGTGTGAGAGAGTGTGTCCTCTTGATTCCTCTTGAGACTTGGATTGGTATCTTGGAGCGATGTGGGACTGAGACTGGGATCAGTTCTCTTCGTGGGTGGATGGACGGCTGGGAGTGGATGCGGAGGAGGCGGGTTGGATGATCTGGATTGGACAGGATTAGATCGAGTGTGTCTCGTTTTCTTGGAGAGATATCAAAGATGGGAGAGACCAACCGAGAGTCTGTGTCTGTCTGATGTGGGTGTGATGGATGGTGTGCGAGGGTGAGGGATGAGAGAGAGAGAGAGAGACGAGAAAGATGCCTGCAGAATAGCACGAAATGGTAGTGTACGGATACTCCGTAGAGAGAAAGACGAGCAATTCCCAGCAAGAGAGGTGGCCAAAGTGCGCAGAGTGTTGTGAGGGAATGTTGACATTGGCTCCCGTCTCCTGCATCAAACTAGCAGTGGATATTCCATTTGTTTATTTCGGCCCGAAGAGGACTAGTCCGGGGGATGGGAAGTGGAGATTCGACATGGGGGGGGGGAAGAAGCTCGGAGCTGCAGCTCGAAGCTTTGACGCCCTGGCAAGCCGCAAAAGTCACGACATGGGAGGGAATCCTTGAATGGCGTTGCGATGGACGCCTTGCATCTGAGGTGTCCAGGCCAACGGTACCCAAGTCAGGCACCAGCTTTGTTCCGGCGCGGCAGGTACCGGGCACCACTGCACACTTTCCCATTCTCCATTTCGATGGCGACCTACCTAACTGTCTGGGAACGTACGTACCTGTGGCCCTGGATACGTACCTGAGCTAGCACCTAAGAATGGAAGGAACCTCGGATACGTACTCCGTACCCGCTGTCTGAGGTCGTCCCTCCCGTCCTTTCCCATCTGATTCTGACTGCCCGCACATGTCGCGCACACACCTCAGAAAAGCTATCTCTTCCCATCTAATCACTGCGCCTAACCACGTCAATTGACAGCCCGACAACTTTGATATGGGGTCAATTGATTCAATGGCCCATCTTCATGCAAGTAATCACTATTCGAGTCATTCACATGCGATGGAATGACATTCTGATGCATGCACGATGCTGCCGACTTGATGGGCAGCAACTGCTCCAGAGCTTCCACAGAGCTCAGCTTCCACACACCACACCCACGCCCACACCTCTTTTCCCTAGCGCTGGAACTGGAAGGTGTGCCAGGCAATGTCGGCAGTAATCGCACCTCCAACACGCCCGCTTGCGCAAGCTCCAGCAGTGGACCGTCCAGCATTGATTATTGACCACCGTCCTGGAGAAGTTAGAATTATTGCTCGACTGACCGCTGCCGACCATCTTCGTCCTCGGCTGTTCCTGGGTCCTTCCCTCCACCCCAAGATTGCAGGCGCCGTGGTCGATCAGCAACAGAATATCTAACCCCAACTTTGCTCGCTGGGCTGGCCCTGACAAGATACGGAGGCTGGAGCAGAGAAGAGGAAGAAACTGGGACCTTTGCTCAGATAGAGGGAACCCCCGGATTCTCACAATCGACCCAGAATCTGCAATTTTCCAGACCCACAGGCATTCCCATCCAGACGACGTGATGGGCGCCACAAATCCAAGAGGCGCCATTCAATGGACTCATTGGACCGTTACTTGTTCTTGAGCATGAGGCGACGAAAAGACACCAACGATGGGCCGTGTCGAATGTCTCCTTAAGTCCAGCTGCATTGCTGACGGCTGTCGCGAGTTGCGCACTGCGGATGATTGACCTGAAGGTTCTCGACCCTACGAATACGCTCTGTGCATGTCGCCTGTCACATCTGGCAGCTTGTTGACACGCTCGTCAAGTTACGAATACAACAAACAAAACACCGACTTGGGGCTGGGTACGAAGATCGTCGTTTCGTCCACGGCCCAAATGCCCGCTATCGACCGTCTGCATGGTCCGCATAGCCTGACCGCGGCAGCCCGGAAACTCAATTGGCCAGTCCTGGAGCTTCCCCAACCACCTTTCAGCTGCAATCGTCCTTCCCGGCCTTTTGTTTCCAGGGTTTTCAGGCCGGCGGCTGCTGCTGAGGCCCTGCCGAAAATCAGCAATTGACCACTTTCTCACACCAATATGGGGATCGAATACTGGGTCTCACACATCGTGGAACACCTCTATTGGACTGTCCGTCTGCAACCGCCGCACAACTCATGCAAGTCGACGGTCGCACATGCAAAACGAGGCTGGCTGGCGGCTTTGCTTTTTCCAGGGAGGCCTACGACGTGGCCAAGGCAAAGTTCCCTACCTGCGGTGCCTGCCTACCTCACGGATCCCGCCCGCAGCGCCCGAGTGGGTCTTCAAACTATTGATGGATCTCGACAGTCAGATTCCCCATTTCCCCTGGATCCATCAGAGAGTCATGGAGACGCTGCTCCGTCTCAGATTTGCGCTCCCACGAGACTCTGCAACGGGGGGAGGTTGGAGTTATTGATAATCACCAGCCTCCCGTCCTTGGATCATCCCGATTGGCATCAAATTGTCCATGGTTTCAAACCAAAGCCATCAAACCAGACGAACCGGTCGGGACACACGGACGGGAGCTCCCTTGCAATGCACCTTGTTGCCGTAACGACTACCTAGCCCCGGCTCCCGCACTAACCGTAATTGGATACCCTTTCTTCGGCACTCGACGACCATCGCTCTCCGCCGCCGACGGGATCAAACAAAAGACAACAGATCTGTTTGTGTACGGAGTAGATGGATGATGGATCACATGAAGTTGAAATGCAGCTTGAAAGTCTATGCCGCTCACTGTTGCCATTTTAACGAGAGTATTCTGCGGTCGCGGAGGAAAGGAGAAATCCGTCGTCCAGAGAGGCAAGAGATGACATTGGACAACGAATTTGAGCCGAAATCCTCAAATTGACGAGCAACATCAGTCACGACTCTTAGAAGATCTATCTAGCGTCTTCTCTGGCGGTGCAATGTTCATGGCCTAAACTCTTCAAGCCTGTCAAGGCTGGTAAATGTTGGCTTCTTTACTGAGTACGCAGGCTCCTGCTTCCAGTAGAGTCTACCTTGTGATGCCCTTGCGTCCAAGTTTTGGATCCGAGTTGCTTTAAAACATCGGCATAAACTTGACGATCTAAAAAACGAACTTTGGACTACTATTATCAAGTAAACTCTTGAGCGGCCTGGTCTATGCGATAGTACATTCTATGCTTGTCAAGTTGTCGATGCTAGTTTTGCAATACCTTTTACCTGTCGAGCTGCACCATCTGGTATGATGTAGCTTGACAATATGAAATGCTCACAAGACCGTTATCAAGAGTAATATATGACTTACTAGCCATTCTCTGACGAAGAGTGTCGGGGGTCCTTTCTTTATCTGAACCTTCTGTTGAACTCAGTATACGTAACCGCGTGGTTGTAACGGTTACTTCAAGATTGAACAGTACTGCAACCCTTAGACACGCTGTTCTGTGCTTTGTAAATCAACGTCTCGAGTGCAACATTCTAGACAAAGACTTTGCCTCGTCTTATTTGAGTTGGCACCTGTCACTACAAGCCGGTGGCACAGAGCTTTAATTTAGTATGACAGCTCTTCATCTTTTCTTTGCTTGAAGCTCGAAATGTGGCGCTAGAAGTTCGGTGTGCGTCATCACGGCCACCTCGGGTTGAGAGATGAGAAATCGAATTGAGGCCAATCCTCGTCAATTCGGCCAATAATCCCATTCAGAATCATTCAATTGTGTTAGTATTTAACTTGACTTGAAAGACATTCATAAGACCCATCCAATTTCCCAGCGATTGGCAGAAAGATACGGCGAATGTCGAGTGAAGTCCCGGTGACAAACCAGGCACGTGACGTCATCGTGGCGCATCCACATCTCCAAAGCTCTTCAGCCACGAATGCCCCGCGATTATTCATTTAGTATCACGAATCTTGCCCCTCATTCGAGTCAACTCCTGCAACGAAAGCCGCCACAAAAGACTGGCGCGCGTACTGTAACTACCCTCGCTCTGTACGAAACCTCCGCGACTCGAATTCCCGCAGTCATGAAGCAGCGTTTCTCCTCCATCGACGTCAAAGTCATCGCCCACGAGCTCCAAGAGAGCCTGAACACCTTGCGACTGGCCAACGTCTACGACCTCTCCTCCAAGATCCTGCTCCTCAAGTTCGCTAAGCCCGACAACAAGAAGCAGCTCATTATCGACTCTGGCTTCCGATGCCATCTTACAGACTTTACGCGCACGACGGCCGCGGCGCCGTCGGCTTTTGTGGCGCGGTTGCGCAAGTTCCTGAAGACTCGGCGGTTGACGTCTGTTAAGCAGGTTGGGACGGATAGAATTTTGGAGTTTCAGTTTAGTGATGGGCAGTACCGTCTGTTCCTTGAGTTCTTTGCTGTAAGTGGCTTACTTTGATCATCTTGACAAAGTATTCAACGCTGACTTTGTCCCTGCGCAGAGCGGAAACGTCATCTTGACCGACGCCGACCTCAAGATCCTCACAATCCTGCGCAACGTCCCCGAAGGAGAGGGCCAGGAACCCCAGAGAATCGGGTTGAACTACTCACTAGACAACCGGCAGAACTTCAACGGCGTTCCCGACCTGACGAAGGAGAGAGTACGGGCGGCGCTGGAGCTTTCAGTCAAGAAGAGCGCGACAGCCGTCTCGAAGAAGATCAAGACGAAGCCTGGTGATGAGTTGAGGAGGAGCTTGGCGACAACTATCACCGAATTACCGCCTATTCTCGTCGATCACGCGTTCCAGATTACCAAGTTTGATGGCACTAAGAAACCCGCCGAGATCCTCGAGGATGAGTCGCTACTGGATGCGCTCTTGAAGGCGCTGACCGAGGCCCGAAGCATTGTTGAGGTTGCCACAAGCTCTTCTACAGCCAAGGGTTACATTTTCGCCAAGTACCGATCAAAGCCGGACGGCGCGCCAGCGGCAGAAGGAGATGAAGCCAAGAGGTCGGATCTTCTCTACGATGACTTCCACCCTTTTTTGCCCAACAAGTTTGCGAACGACCCCACTGTCAAGGTTATCGAATTTGATGGCTACAACAAAACTGTCGACGAGTTCTTCTCGTCTTTGGAGGGCCAGAAGTTGGAGTCAAGATTGACTGAACGAGAAGCCGCGGCAAGGAGAAAGCTCGACGCAGCGAGAAACGACCAAGAGAAGCGCATCGAAGGTCTCCGTGAGGCCAAGTCCCTCAATGTCCAGAAGGCTACCGCAATTGAGGCAAACGTCGAGCGTGTGCAGGAGGCGATGGATGCGGTCAATGGCCTTCTTCAGCAAGGCATGGATTGGGTCGACATTAGCAAGCTCATTGAGCGCGAACAGAAGCGCCGTAACCCTGTGGCTGAGATTATCAAACTGCCGATGAACCTCGCGGATAACACGATTACCTTGTTGCTGGGAGAGGAGGAAGAAATCGAGGACGACGAGTCCAACTACGAGACCGACTCCGATGCATCCGACAGCGGGGACGAGGATACCAGCAACAAGCAAAAAACTGCGAAGCATTTGGCGATTGACATTGATATCACTCAGTCACCTTGGGCGAACTCCAGAGGATACCATGAGCAGAAGAGGACCGCCGCCAAAAAGGAGGAAAAGACAGTCTTACAGTCTCAGATTGCGTTGAAGAACGCCGAGCAGAAGATCCAGGCAGAGCTGAAGAAGGGCCTCAAGACAGAGAAGGCCGTTCTCGCTCCGATCCGGAAGCAGATTTGGTTCGAAAAGTTCACGTGGTTCGTCTCGTCTGACGGGTACCTGGTGCTCGGAGGCAAGGATGCGCAGCAGAACGAGATGTTGTACAAGCGCTATCTCCGCAAGGGCGACGTCTACGTTCACGCGGATATGCACGGCGCCGCGACTGTCATCATCAAGAATAGCCCCAGCGATCCCGGTGCGCCGATCCCTCCTTCGACGCTGGCGCAGGCAGGCACAATGGCCGTGTGCAGCTCTAGTGCGTGGGACTCCAAGGCGGGTATGGGCGCATGGTGGGTGAACGCCGACCAGGTTTCCAAGTCTGCTCCTACAGGAGAGTACCTCCCCACAGGAAGCTTCATGGTCAGGGGCCAGAAGAACTTCCTCCCTCCGGCACAGCTTCTGCTCGGATTGGGCATCATGTTCAAGATTAGCGAAGAGAGCAAGGCCAGACATGTGAAGCACAGGCTGTATGAGAGCGCCGATGTTCCCGCTTCGGCGGCTGATAGCGCGGCACCAGAGACTGCGACCGATGCCGCCCAAGCCAATGATGATGTTCCGGATGATGCTTCTGATATTGGTTCGGAAGATGACCAGGAAGACGAGAAGCCGCGGGACAATCCTTTGCAGAATCTTGGACGGGGTGGACAGGATGACTCGGAGGAACAGCTTGCATCTGAAGAGTCCCCTGCCGAGGAGCTGTCAAACCTCAAGATTGAAGAGGATAAGCCTGCGGAGGACGAAACCGAGCCAGCAGAGAAAGAAGAGGAAGATGAAGATGAAGAAGAAGAAGACGACGACGAAGAGGAAAGCGACAAGGCAGCCACAGGCCAAACATCAACGCCCGCAGAGCCCTCCGGCGCACCAAGCACCGCGGCGACTGAGAAGCAGCAACCAGCCAAGCGAGGCCGACGCAACAAAGCCAAGAAAATCGCAGCCAAATACAAGGACCAAGACGAAGAAGACAAAGCAGCTGCTGAAGCCCTCTACGGCTCCGCGCGCGGTAAGCAACGAGCTGAAGCTGAGGCGCAGAGCAAGGCAGAGCGAGAAGCTCAGCTGGCGTACCAGAAGGAACGTCGCCGCGCGCAGCACGAGAAGCAGCAGAAGGAGACTGCAGAGCACGAGGAGATTCGCAGGTTGATGAACGAGGAGGGCGTCGAGGTCCTGGACTCGGATGAGCTCAGCAAGATGACGCTGCTTGATTCGCTGGTTGGATGGCCTCTCCCCGGTGACGAAATTCTGGAGGCGATACCTGTGTGTGCGCCGTGGAATGCCATGGGCAAGTTCAAGTACAAGGCCAAGCTCCAGCCTGGTGCGGTGAAGAAGGGCAAGGCTGTGAAGGAGGTGTTTGAGAGGTGGAAGAGCGATTCATCGAAGAAGGGCGCGCTTGATGAGCGGTCGCAGGATAAGGAGAAGATGTGGCCGAGGGAGGTGGAGCTTATGAAGGCTCTCAAGGCGGAGGAGAGTATTAATGTTGTGCCGGTTGGTAAGGTGAGGGTAATGATGTCTGGTGGTAGCGGGGGGTCGGGGGCCAAAGGGCAGCAGGGGAAGGGGGGACGTGGTGGAAGGGGATCTAAGAAGAAGTAGGTTGATGAGAATGAATTCATGGCGAGGAAGGGGTCTAGGTATGCATTATATCTATATAGAGTTTCTTAGGTCTCCGATAGGAACTTGAGAACACCAATTGCATCCAACTCCCCCGTCTGTTCAAGTCTTTCTTGTCTATCGACCCATTCGCCAGCCTCGTCGTAAATCTACTTCTTCCCCCTGGCAATCTCAAAAGCCCTCAAGATATCCATCTTCTGATGCTCCGAAGTCCACTCAAACACTCTCTCCCCGCACCGATCCGCACGCACTTCCTCCTCCGTAGCCCAGACAAAGTCCTCGTGCTCCTCGGGATCAATCTCGACCTTCGCGGTGGTCTCAACTTCCACGAGATACGTATACTTCCTCCACGCATCCCGTCCCTTGAAGAACTTGTGCGAATCCTTCACCACCCCAACACCCGCAGTCCCCTCCTCCTCTACACCCCCACCATCACCAGACACCCGTCCAACCTCAATAATCCCCACCCCGCCTCTACTTAACCCCCACGCCTGATCCCCAGCCACAGCCTCTGCTAACTCGCCCGCCCCAGCACCTTCCCATTGATAACACCCCACCAAGGCAACAAAGTTTGCTGCGCGGAGGCCAGTTTCTTCCCAGAGTTCGCGGGCGGTGGAGGCGAGGGAGTTGGTGTCGATGGATTCTGCTGCGCCGCCGGGGAGTTCCCATTTATGGGGCAGGGCGGATTCTTTTGCGGAACGTTGGAGGACGAGAATTTTGCGGGCGGAGGGAGGGGAGGAGGGGGAGAGGACTGCTGCGCCTACGCAGAGGCGGTGGGTGTGAGGGACTTCTTGCGCGGATGACGACGACGGCGATGGTGATGGGGGTTTGTAAGGGTGGAAACGGAGGGTGTAGGGGAGGAGGGAGGGGGATGTTGAGTAGTTGAGAGGCTGTGTTGGAGCTGCGAGAGGCATTTTGCAGGTTGAATTTCTGTTACGGACTTTGGAGTTGGTTTGAATTGAGAGAGAATGCAGACGGAAACAGGATCGATGCTTCGATGACGGTAACTTTGTAGATTGTGGGAGCCTGGCTGGCGTCGTGAGGTTCCCGGGTGCCTGTTTGTGGTGGTGCGGGTGCCTGGTGGTTGGAATGTCAGACGGAAGGCGCAGTGCAAATGCGAATTGGGGCCCGTTCCGAGGACGGAGGTGGTGGCGCGGGGTTTGAGTCACCTTGCCGATGTGGGGCACGGATGCGGCGCCGGAGTGCCATACGCCGGGTATCGAGGCGGACTAGCCGGATTCGGTAAGAACACTGTGCACATGGTTGGAGGTGAAATATGCTTCATGGGATTCTTCTGATACTCTAGGCGGTCATTGGAAGATTTGTTTCAATGGAAGTATCCCATTGATGATTAGATACTTGCTACTGATGTTTCTAGTTATGTAGCTTCTGGGGTATCATTTGACCCATGGACATGACCTACTCCAGGTACGTCCGACCTCGAATCCACGCTCATAGTTGCTTCGACCTGCGTAACCTCCTACCAATCTAAGTATCGCCTGTGATATCTTCACTGACTCTCTCCATATACCTCCAAGGTTCCCTCTGGCTTTTCCCAAAGAATGTACTCACACTCCCCGCCCGTAAACCGTTCATGCCAAAACACAGGCGTATCCTCATCAACTCTCACATACACGTAGCTATACTCCCGGTCATATTAAATCTCGATATATGCTCAGACTGAACGATGCCGTCCTTCCAACCTTGTTCATACAAGAGATCATCGTAGAACCATACTCCACACAGCGAGAAGAGTCGTCTTCGTCGGGATTTCAAGTGATGCGTGACGTGAGGAACTGTTGATATGGCTCGCCTCGTCGTCGCTATTATTTATGCCAGAATCAAAAGGCTGACACGTGCTCAAGGTCGCCTTGAGGAACATCGTCGCCGGATGTTGCACCGCCTTCTCCGACGGTGATGGCCTGCATTTCGTTATGTTGTTCGTGAGAGTCTTCTTCTTCGCGGTCAGACTGCCAGCCCCAGTAGTTGATCGGATCTCTGACCTCTGAGACTTTGTAAATGTCCTTGCCATAATAAGATTGATCTTCCCAGTTGTCTCTGTCGTCGTCGTCGTCCTCCTCCTCCTCATCATCATCATCATCATCATCATCATCATCATCATCATCATCCTCTTCGTCATCGTCCTCATCACCATCATCGTCGTCGTCGTGACCATCCTCCTGCTCCTCCTCATTGCTCTCATCACTCTCATATCCCTCAAAATCCCCCCGAAGCCTAAACATCTCACCACCCTCCTCCACCCCCTTCCACCGTCCCCACACCCACCGCACCGCAAAAGCCAACACTCCAAAAAGTAATATCGCATACAACAACCCACTCACCACCACGGGAACACACTGCCCGAAGATCAACCTTCTCATTGCATCCCAAACAATCGCAACAGAAAGATACCCCGTCGCCCGACTCAATACACTCCAACTCCAGAAGCGAAGAGCATACCACAACCTAGTGAAGCACTCATACCTCCCACTCTTGGGAGTTTCCCGGGCACCGAGCTTAGTTCGTGAGACGAACTCCTCAAACATGGCATTCCCCTCGTGGAGAAGTAGGATGAGAGAGGCGTAGTGGGACCACGTCATCTGGAACGGGACGCCCTCGTCGGAAAGAGCCGTAAAAGCCGAATTTTGCGTGTCGGGGAAGTGATTCGGAGTCCAAAGGGTGAGGTAGACAATCGCATTGATGACGAAGGAGATAATCTCCCATGTATCAATCCAATTTTTCCGCGGAAACCGTCTCGTTGAGAGAAAGAAGTGAATTGAGAGAATGAATCCCAACAGCACTGCATCAACCCAAATCGCAGTCAACGAGTGTCCCACAGTCAGGATAACTTGATCGATGACATCCGGATTCGCGTAATTGAGGAGTAAGAAGAAGCCAAAGATCAATGGGTGGTTTGTTTTCTCTGTAATAAAGACTAAGATTGCTGTAGTTACGAAGACATTGCCTGTGATATAGGATCCGAAGAGAGGGGTGAGGACGTAGGTGACGTGGAAGAGGGACGTGTCGTCTAGGCACCCGCATATAAAGTCTTTAGCCCGTTGAGGGATTCTACTGGCCAGAGATTGGACGGCGTTGAATACAGTCTCTCTGAAGCCGTCCATTGTGTTGAACAGGCCGTTCTGTTGCAGTGGTTTCTGGTAAGTACTAGGCCGGAGAGATGGTGGTGACGAGGTTGGTGTTGACTTACGGTTGGATGATACTGTTGCTGAGTTCCTGCTCTTGGAGTTGGTGTATTCAATGATGTATAAGTCAGAGTTGAAAAGACGACGTACAGTAAAGTTGTCTCGACTTGAAGCCCAGGCGCATTCCATCTCCGAAACCAATGGGTTGCGAGGCATCGTGTTGGACTGGAAGTGCACGACCAATCAGCCACTGACGGAGCTACCTAAGATACTTCGAGCTTCCAGAGCACGTCTTGCTATCATTTCTAGCTAGCTTTCGGAGATCGTGAGTATGTATAGCCCGTCCTAACCATTGCGACGGAAGCCAGGGGAACGCGTCAGTCAACCTTCTTAGAAGGGACGTGGTTAGGCTATTTGGATCGTCTACTTATCACGCTCTTGGCGGACTACAGTCATTACCATTATATTGTGGCATTCTGCTATATTCCACTTGAGCCGGGGTAGTGTCAAGCTCACGATAACGTTGGATGGTCCCAGAAAACTTTGCGAGGAGATGACTCGAAAGGTTGGCTGTAAAGTCATACGAATGATCTGGGCCGCTCCTAATAGGTTCTTGAACTTTGATAACAAGGTGTTTGTACAACTGTTGAGGATATGAATTTCATTGTAAGAAAAAATAAATTGTAATTCAGAATCACGACCTCACGCATAAACATAAATAGGGAATCCTAGGAAAAAGCAGAGACTACCTCAAAAGGAAACTATCCCTCGGCTCCAGGATTTCGAACCCTCCACCTTCCTGCTCTACATGTATCCGGGTGTCCGCTGCCGCAGGCGGGGACGCTACAAACAAGTTACCGTCAATGGAATCACCCGTCCACAAGAATTCCAAAGGTAGGAGACCACTACAGTCTCAGCGTATCTTGAGCTCCCTCCGCTCCCACCCGAAAGCCTCCGGACATACATGTGTCTTACAATCTCTAATGTCGATCCTGAATATGTTCAATCGCTGCCAAGTCGACCCGCCATCACATGACACCAATCCTAGACAGTAGAGAAGACCGTTCTCTTCCTCTTCGATACCCGACCCGATGCAGAGACAGAGTGCCCGAGACTCGTCTGCCAACTCATCTTGCGTGACTCCGTAGGATTCTCACGCAATTTTAGCCAAGTTTTCACAATATAACCACAAAACTGTTCCCGGAAAGTATTGACCCGTTTCCCCCAAAGACCCAGCAGCCCTGGCGACATATTCGTCTGGATCATCTTTATCATGCATGGACCACAACGCTTTGAATCCAAAAGTCAGCCCCGTCACGAGAATGAATTCTATAGTGCCCTCATCTCGGTCGTTTATCAATCTGGAGATCCGCTCCTGCGTCATGGACGACCATTTGAAGGTGGATCCATCCGCGTACCGAAGTGACACTTGTACAGCAGACGCAAAATACACCTTAGAGTGCACCATCGATTAGTATGGAAAGCACTGGAATTTTTGGAGATGCTGAAATCCCGGCGATCCATGCCACCCCAGCCATGTCCAACTCTGCCCCCAAGCGCGTCTTTGGGGGATTGGAAGGAAGGGTTGTCGCTCTCCCCACAGCAAAGCCGGCGAAAAATCGCAATGGCCTCCAATCTTGATTCCACAAAACAGGACAGACTTCCCCAAATGCTCATGGTTGTAATGGCACTGCCATCCCTGGAATGCGCGGAAGACGTCCGCTTTGATAGATAGCTCCCGTGTTGCGTAGCTCTCAACGTATGGAATAGAAGATGACTGATTTAGTACAGTACTATCCCATGCGGTCCCATTCCATGGGCACAGTTCATCCGGTAGGCCTTCGACGTAGCTTTCTCCCTTGTTGCCATTCTCCAGAAGGGCAAAGTGGTTGGTGAAGTACAGCCGCCTCGCCGATGAAGCCGCCTCTTGACAGGTCCAAGCTCTCGTATTACACTTGGAATTCTGGATTTGTTGCTTGGCCCAATCAATGTTGGTGGGCATCCATCTGATGGTCTGGGATCCGATTTGGGAAATGTCAAAGACTTTTCGTGTTGTCTTTCCAACCCCCGGTAAGCCGTAGTCAACTGCATCGAAAAACCCCACTGACACAATGCAATCCTCGAGGCCGATAATCTCGTCCGTGAAGCAATCTATAACACTCCACCCGGGAACCTCTTGTCGGAATTACACTTCCCAGTCTCGACTGCCCTCCAACTTCGGGTGTTATGGGCAAGCTTTTCGCACTACGGCAGACTTGATTGACATCAGGTCTGCTGGGAACTTCGGCTGCGGTCGACTCGAGGAGATGAACTCAAAGGTGCTACCCTCGCTGGAAAATATCAGAAAAACAGTTACGTCCGCTTCCAGTCCCCTAGTTGGTTTAGAGAACGACATATTTAATCTACACATCTTAAGCTGTGGAATGAGAACTTCATCCTCCATGGGACTATGATGATCATATGCTGGCCTCCGTCGGTAGTGTAGGCAATACACAATATAAGCGTGGGATCATGGGTATCTGATATGGTTGAAAATGTCGCAACAGCTACAGCCATTGCTCTTGACGTGTTTGACTCTGATGCCCATCATCTCTACGATGCCATCATTGTCAAGATGCAGCAGTGCAAATGGAGAATCTAGACCATCTAGGTTGAGATAGCGCTTGCGGATTTCGGCTACCGGTTTGCCTACCACTGCTTGTGCATCGTTGATGAAGGTATCAAAGTCGATGGATGCGCATGCTGAGCGGAGGTTCCCTCTACGCGGGAAAGAGGAGATGGCGTCTTCTGACATTATTGTCGTGGAACAACTGCAATCGAGAAAGTGTGGTGATGTTGTGAGATTGACGAGAGGGAGTTGTAACTTGGAGCTGGAAAAGATGACTAACAGGCTGCGCACATGAAGTGAGGCTGTTGAATTGCTGCCTTGGCCAAGCACCAATCATGTCGCAGGTGAATTTACACGAAGCCTTCCTCAGCCCATGTGAGCTTTCGATAATGCTCCTCCCCATCATGCCGAAACATTGACTACTAGAACGGAAAATCTCGAAGAATGACTCAGCATCATGGGATTTGCCGTGCGGTAGTCGACAAGCGAACGGTGTTCGTCCGAACATAATGAAATGACCATCGGTCGTCAAACGGCTGATTCTTAAACAGTAGCCAATGGTCTCAGCTTCAAGGAGGCAATCCAGATGAGATTGTGAACAAGAACTTGTTTGCTACGATCTAACCAACGATTCGAGGGACTAGAGAAGAATAGCCATTGTCGCTTCGCAAACCTGCATGGATGCAACCTTCCCCACCCCGCCCATCCTCCGTCAAGTCCGTCCGCAAGTCAACCAGGGGGGCGGCTCGAGAGCCAGTCTAGGCCCCTGCAGCAGCGTGTTCGATCTGGGATGGGCCGCGAGCGGGACAGGCAACCTTGTTGTGTAGTGCGGCGCAGAGATTTCGCACCGACCAGGTAATTGGAGCTGAACGATCTACTGTGAAGTTGCAGCTCCAGGGAGGGCCATAGATTGCTTGCCGTCTTGGCGAGGGGTCGAGCCTTTCCGTACCCACTGTGGGGGAAAGCAAAGAAGAAGGAAAGAGGCCTGGTTTGAGAACGATATTGAGAGCAAGCCACAAAGAGCAGGCCAGACAAATGACCCTTGACAGATCACATTCAGACTTGTCCACCCTCTTTTGACGTATCGGTAAAGTTGAGTAGTTGACGCATGGGTGGCCTGAGCTGTCATTCCCTCCGTCATTCCGTCAGATAAAGCTCCAACGTGCTGGACTATGGAGTTTCGCCAAGCTCCTGTTTGTGCGCCACGGCCGAGCGTTGGCTGATGGTGAATGGCCTATGCCTCGTACAACTGCAGCCGCAAGTTGCCTCCCTGTTCGTCGCATGACCCAAGTTCAGGCGGAATCTGCCCTCTTAAAGATCCGTCCACCTCCCAAGAATCATCGTCAACTTTTGATGCTTGAGTACTTGTCTGAGGCGGCGGGGCGACAACAAAAGAGACCGACAGCATCAGACCAAGTCCAGACCGAGCCAGAAGCGTGGAAGCGAAAAGCGGTAGCCGTTTTTGACTGCGTACATTATCCAATGACCGCAATGACGGGGCTTTCGACAGCAGATGAGCAGACAAGCGAGATGCTGTTGGCATCTGGTGGAACCGCTAGAACACCGTCTCTAGAAGGGCTCCAAGACAAAGAATACAAGGCTCATGTCTCTATGGGCATCGGATCTGAGACACTTTCTGCGAGCAGACACGAGCTGCCAACTGCTTTTGCGACGCGAGAGGATGATGGCATCCCTGGTCAGGCATGGACCTCAAAAAAGCAATATGTGGCGCCCGACGGCCAACTGGTGCTCCCGCAACACGAAGAACCAGACTCCGGGCTCTCCTCTCAACTTACAGAAAACACAACAGAACCCGCCATCGCGCATTCGAACCAGCAACGATCGATCGACTCAATGACGGACGCGACAGCATCGGTGCCAGCAAAGAAGGAGAAGCCGTCCAGGCTGGATCGGCAGCCCGACGACCCCGCGGCGGCCAAGCCAGACACTAGCGAGTTCGCGGAAAAGAGTCAAGCAGCGCCCGATTTTGCATCTGCCAACCGCAACGCATATGAGGCGAATCAACACCTGCCTCGCGATGCATTCCCTGCGCTGAGGTCGCCTTTGACACATCCTAATGGTGTCCCGATTTTCCCAGATCTGTCGGCCGAGCAGGAGGTCACAGAATCGTCAGAAGCCACAACGCAAGCCGAAAGCTCCATCGTGGCAGACAGTGACGACATGGCCTCGATTTTCGATGGCACAGAATCGGATGGAGGATATGGAAGCGACAGTGCGACAAACGCCAGTACGTCCGTCACGTCATCAGTTCGAGATTACATGTACGAGAATGGGCGACGCTATCACCGCTTCCGAGAAGGACTGTACAACTTCCCCAACGACGAAGTAGAGCAGGAGCGTGAAGACATGAAGCACGCCATGGTGAAGCTCCTGTGCAATCAAAAGCTTCATTTTGCGCCCATTGGCGAATGGCCGCAGCAAATCCTTGATATCGGGACGGGGACAGGCGCGTGGGCCATTGAGAGTAAGTTGGGAGACTTCATCCTCGCAGAGTTCGTAACGAGTTTGTGATGTTAACAATGATGCAGTGGGCGACCAGTTTGAGAGTGCGACAGTGCTAGGAGTCGATCTCAGCCCCATTCAACCGGATTGGGTACCGCCAAATGTCAAATTTGAAGTCGACGATGTGGAAAGTTCGTGGTTGTATCCGAGGAACCATTTTGACTATATCCATTCTCGACACACGGTCATGGCCATCAAGAACTGGAGGAATTTGTTCAACAGGGCATATGAGTAAGTCGCGAGTCTCCGACTTCTCGATGGCAGGCCTAACGTATTGATAGGCATCTGAAGCCTGGCGGCTGGATCGAGTTGCAAGAAATTCATCATTTCCCATCCTCGGCATATAACGCCATGCCGCCTTCACACCCAGTGGCACAGTATTGGAGTTTCGTAACCCAGGGGCTCACGAGCCTCGGCATCGATTTCAATGCTGCCGCAGGAGATCGGTTGCCCAACATGATGCGCGAGGCTGGTTTCGTCAACGTGACGGAGAAGATTTTCCACGTGCCGCTTGGTACATGGCCGCGAAACAGGGTGCTCAAGACAGTAGGCATGTATTGGAGGACGATTCTCCTCGACGGACTGCAGGCCATTGCTCTCGGCCCGCTGACTAGAGGACTGCTGTGGACACCAGAGCAGATTGAAATGTTTCTCGTCAGCGTGCGGCGGGCGTATCACGATAATGCGGCGTTGATGTATATGCCATTGAGGATCATGTATGCGCAGAAGCCGGCGTATGGGGGTTTCCCTAGGTATTCGTAGCGCACTGGGGGAGAGCTCTTAGGTATCAGTCCTAACGCGGGCTTCTGTCTCGAGATGGGTTCTGTGGGGGGCCATTAGCGTACAGTATTGAGCGAGTGTCTGTTTTGAACCTCTGCAAGCGGAGTGGGTTTGTGCGACATTGACGACTTTGGTGATGGATAAGGTTGGTGTGGTCGGTATTACGGACGTATCATGGATGGGTTTCTGCTTGGCGGGGGATGTGAACAGTGACGACGAGATGGTCGGCTAGGAGGTGCATATGGATAGCCGCATCATGGCCGGGTCTTGGCGACATGAGGCGAGATTGCGAGAGGAGCATAGTTTTCGTGATGGGGTGACATGGGCGAGCGCTAGACAACGAGCTTCTGCGGTGTCTGATGGAAGAGGAATAGGATCAAGTAATGTGGTGCAAGCCATGGCTTGGGAGGAGGAGAATGGGGGGGCGGAAGATGGGCGGCATTGGTTGACGGAGCACGTTGCCGTTGCATTGCAAGAAGATGACCAGGGATTTCAGGACGCCATTTTCCAGGCCCGGAACGGCGGGTATCCTCTCTCGTGCTTTTTTGGCAGGGGGCGATGGATGGAACTTGCATGGAAGCTGTCAATGGTTCAGTTCTTACTCCGTAGGTTCCTTCCGAAAGAAAAGGGAGAGAGACAGAGACACCCACGCACACCAAATGGCAAGAACCACTTAATTCCCGCTGCGGTTGCAGGTTGAGACTCCACCTGACGGTAAGCCTCAAGGTATTTGGACAGTCCATTGGTCAATCGTTGGTCAGCTCTTTCCACGTTTTTGATGGAAAGACCGGGTTGTGATGATGCTGTGCCGCACCTTCCCAACGCTGTCAACTTGTCAAGCCCAATTGGCAAGTGCGCAGGGCAGTGGCAGGGCAGTCACGCTTGCCGAGTCACCGGTGTCTTGGAAGCCGTGGGAAGGTGCCTGCCTGCCGCCAGCGTGGTAACGAGGCGGGGGGAAGGTACACTATTCGTAGGTGGAAGGGAAGGGACAGCCCGTTGTGGTGCACCCACACTGCAGTCACTGCACTCGTCTGCACCTTCCATGCTTTCCCCTCCTCTCTCCGACTCGACTGAGGTGTCACTGAGGTCGGGTGGTCAGCACTCAGTCTGCCACGCTGCCACGCTGCCACCTGCCACAAGACGCCGGACGGCACCCGGGAGGAGTTCCTTCTCCCCATCCCTTTCCTAACCAGGAAACATCCCACACATCCCAGGCCGGCTGCTGCTTGACATCGATCAACCGGAAACTTGACATCTGACCACGGCAACTATGGGAGAAAATGTGACCAGTCTCTTTCTTGTTTCTTTCTGTCACGTCTGTTCCGAACCCACGCCGGTCAATTGACGAACAGGTTCCCAAATCAACGGCACTGCAGAATTCCCCGTCAAACGGCGGGCGGGATTCGTCAACGAATTGATACGACGCTGCCACCGGTCAAACTACCCTACCTCACCTGCTTTGTACAGATACTCAACGGCAACCACCCCTTTTGTCTGCCCTGTCCCATTTGGTTCCAATTTACCCTTTCGACTCCCGGCTGGGCCCCTGCCCGTCTTGCTGATTCCACTTCTCAGTCATCAGTCCTCACACGGCCTCGGTCTCGGTCGACATTTCACTTCTGAACTGAGAGCTCATCATGACATTGTCGACGATGCCACTCTAGAACCGGTTTGCCGCGGGAGCTTGGGAGCGTAACAGCCATGCAGCTTAGCTTGGGAAAGCTTGGGACCCTGAGCGATCGTCGATGGCTCCGCGCCGGCGCATGGCCTTCGTCCGAACAGACTCTTCTAGCCGCCAGCCACTCCCAAGCTTAAAAAGCCCAAAGATTAAGGACAAGGAGAGACTTGGACGCAAAAGGCACGCAACGCGGACGGCAATCCCAGCCCATGGCGTCGGATCCCAAAGCATGGACCGCCGCTAGCTAATGAGGTGTCGTTGCAATACTGAGCGATTCAGCGCCCATCCCGGTTCCTGTTCCGTCCAAGGCCCACGCTCGGTGAACCAAGAGTTCCATCCTCCCAGTCTTGGGTTCGCTCTTCGCTGTTTCGTTCCATTCGTGTCTGGCTCTCTACCTCAGTACCTACCGTACCTACCGTACCTCTCTCTCTGTCTCCGGTAATCTGGCACTCTGGGTCCATACCTACTCCCTACCCATCACCCAATGCCGTCCGTCTTATTAAACTAGGATGTATCCCTCCTTGCCGTTCCCTTGGGTCCCTCTGGTGTTTTGACGAGAGTTTTCGATTGTTTTCCCCCTAACTTCTCGGCGTTCACAAACTCATCGCCGCAAACTCGTTGCAAACTTGTTTACCAGACAATCTGACCAAACCTCAATTTCCCGTACGTCACAGTAGTTGGCGAACGACCTCTCGGTATAAAACCGTCACCGTTTCTTTTGCATGCCAGCTGGCCCTGATTTGTGTCAGTCGAGACCGCGTCCGTGTCCTCGGGTCCCTCTGTGTCACAATCGTTCCGAGCGTCGTCGCAACCCTGTCTGTCACCTCTTTCCGCGAATCTGTCGCCCAACCCATTTCAAAGGATCGTGGGAATCGACCATTCTATAGTTCCGAGGCATTTGGAAGGTGTGTACAGGTGCCTTCTTACCATCTTCTTTCCCCTCATATCGAATGCATCTCCAAAGCAGCTTCTCAAATAGCTCTTTCCCTCATACCTATCTTCTTGCCCCGCAACTTCAACGTCTGGCGCATTCCTTCACGATGTACCTGCCTTAGTCCAATCTAGCTCGCTCTCAAGCTCGAGCACAGATGGCTAATGAAGGCGGAGTCTGCGATCAACGATGCTAGTGCTGCTGTATCTCAAGCGGGTGAACCGCCCCCTTTCCTGGCGTGTGCGATTCCATTGACCCATGCTGACTGGAAAAGCACAAAGTTCTCTCGACACCCGCAGAATACCAACGTCTCTGTCTTAACTACCATCGCAAAGATGAACAAGTTCAAGTTTAGCAACTGGCTGGGTACCAGCCCGTCACCCACCGCCGCAGAGGTTGAGCAGAAGAAGCAAAACCGACGATCATTCACCCCATTCATCACTCGATCTACCGCCAAACCTAGGGACGAGGTCCCCAATGGAGCGCCGATTTCCAAGCCCGCGCCTGTCGCCTCAGAAAAGCCTGCGCATACGCCGTCGAGGTTAACGGAGCTCGCAAAGAAGATTGCGTCCGAGACAGAGAAGCTGGAGAGGTACATGCAAGAAAACAATCTGCCAATGCCTACATTGGACCCCAACGGCCCCAGTGACTTTCCAAGACTTCCCGAGGACATCCAAAAGAGCCGTATGGAGATTATCTTTGCGACTAGAGAGCTCGAAGCATTGGCCCACGGCCCGAGAGAGGACGTCCGGTGGAAGACGTGGAGTGTGAGTAGAGAAGCCGGGAGAATACTAAGAGTCGCAAGCTGATTAGTTGGCAGTTTCAAGACAGTCTGAGTCTCCAGCTTGTCAACCACTTTGGCATCGGTAAGTGCAGAACTGCAGAGCCGGAAGGTTTCTCTACCGCACACTAGACTAACACTTCACAGCCAAGCTTGTACCCATCAACGGCACCATCACACTAGCAGAGCTTCAGACCAAGACTTCACTGGATCCCGTCAACCTTGCCCGCGTGCTGCGTCACGTCATGACCAACCGCATCTTCCGCGAACCGTCCCATGGAGTAATTGCGCACACCGCAGCATCTCGCCTCCTGGCCGAAGACCAAGCCCTTCAAGATTGGGTGGGCTACAACCTCGAGGACAACTTCCCGGCATCAGCGCACGTTTTGCAGGCTCTCAAAGCATACCCAGAAGCCACGTCCCTCACACGGACCGGCTTCAACTTTGCATTCGACACCGTAGACAAGGAACCAATGTTTGTCACCTTTGGCAAGGACCCTCCTCGCGCCAAGCGATTCGGCGGCGCCATGCTCAGCTTGACGGGCGGAGAGGGTTACGAGGTCAGGCATCTTGTCGACTCGTACGATTTCGAAGAGATTGACGCCAGGGGAGGGACCATGGTCGACATTGGCGGCAGCCATGGGTTCGTGTCGATTGACCTGGCCAAAAAATGGAAGAATATGAAGTTTGTGGTGCAGGACCTTCCCAAGACCGTGGATTCGGCGCCCAGCCCGTTGTGCGACGACGCTCAGGTTGCAGAGCGCGTTCAGCTCATGGCGCACGACTTTTTCAAGGAGCAGACCGTCAAGGATGCCGATGGTGAGTTTCTTTGTCTCGATCCTTTTCAGGATTCTGTTGTGGGAAACCCCAAGACTAATTGAACCGCACAAACAGTCTACTTCTTCCGCTGGATCATGCACAACTACTCGACGCCCTACGCAATCTCCATTCTCAAGAACCTCGTTCCCGCACTGAAACCCGGCGCCAGGGTAGTCATCAAGGACCACTGCCTGCGCGAGGCCGGACAAGAGACGCCATGGGACGAGCGCATCATCCGCAGCATGGACATGGTGATGCTGGCTGTGCTCAACGCGCAGGAGCGTAACGAGGACGAGTACCGCGAGCTCTTTCGGGCCGCGGACGAGCGGTTCGTGTTCAAGGGCGTCATGAGGCCGAGGGGTTGCAGGATGAGCATCATTGAAGCGGTGTGGGATCCCGAGTCGGAGAGCGAGGGCGAGGGCGAGGGTGGTAGGATTGAGGCGGACGCCCAGACGGACGCGGGGTCTGCTGATTCTGCTGTCGTTGTGGAGGTGAAGTAGCGGTTGCGTTTGCGATGAGATGCGATGCAGTGTCTCCCTTACCCCGGATCCGCGGGCCTCCTGTGTGCGATACCCAGTTAGTTTGTTAGATTGTTTCTTTAGATCTTCTGTTCTGTGACAGAGATCCCCGAGATGGAATCCCCGATGTGATCGATCTCGGGTATCTAATCATAATGCCTGCACAAACACAAACAAAAAGCAATATGCGAGATCTTTGTCTTCGCAGAAGTGTTTGTGTTGTATTGTGTTGTTTGTCAGATCGGACCCCACATCGTAGATCTGATTTGGTTGGCATGCCCCGCCACGTCTACCTACATGAGTTGTCTTTTGTGCTTCTTTGTCATCAATAAGTGTTGGCCTGCTGGCGAAATGGCATCGCGTCACATTTCGGCTTTCTCTCTTAGTCATACTGTGAAGATTGTAGGTTCGATCCCTACGTAGGTCGCCAATAATTCATTTTTGCATTTGTTGCACGTTGTCATGGGCAGTTTTTCTGGTGAGGATAGCAAGTTGGTCATGTTTGTTTCGATGTTGATATGCTCTAATCAAAGTTTTGGAGCAACATCCGATCTCGTTAAACTCAAATTAAATTAGATTCAAACCGAATTAATTTGGAGTTCGCCAGGTACCCTGGAGAACTAGACCACCACTACCGCCACCACCATTACTGCCTTACGCCTTCCAATACTTCTCCAACATCTCCCTCGCAGTCAAAGGCTTAATCTCAGGAAACAACTCATTCAAAGACCCCTTCCCACCCTCAACCTTCCCCAACCCAGTCGCCATCCACAGCTCAAAAATCGACAGGAACCACTGTAACCTCTCCTTGGGGAACTGCGCATACGACGCCTGGTGGCCAGGTAACTCTGAAACCTCGGACCTCTTCAACTTTTCCACGTCATCGTAGACCACATCAAAATTTACACCCCTGATTTCCTCGGCCAGTATAACGAATTCGTTAAAGGTCAGTTCATCGCCCACGATGCGGAGTTCGTGGTCCGCGGGCCAGGTGGGCAGGTCTAGTGCTGCGACGACGTAGCGCGCCACGTCAAAGGTGTAGGTGAAAGTCACGGGGGTGTTGCCGTCGCCTGGGATCGCGGCGGCGGCGTGGGCGATGTCGAGGACGAGGGTGCTGTGCGGGTGGTGCGATTTAAGGGTGGAAGGGGCAAAGTATTCTAGAAAGGTGCCGTTGTGGACGGCGGCGTATTCGAAGGAGGTGAGGGAGAGGGTGTGAAGGGAGGTGAAGTAGTGTTCTAGGGGCGGGAGGAGGGCGACGCCGCTGGGGGGGGTTTGTTAGTCTTCTTGATGCTCTCTCAGTTGTGGTATGAGGGAAATTATGTGGTGAGGCGAGACGTACTCTTCGGGATACCGCATTGCAAACGAGCTGGGGATGAACCGCTTCGTTGCGGATGAGAGGTCCGCTGCCTTGATGAGGTTCAGCTGCGATGTCGCGAGGGACGTGGCGGTGATGCCGAACGCGCTGATGACGGTGTGGATGTTGTGTTCCTCGAGGAACGTCTTGAGAGCGTCGACGTTGGCGTAGTCTACCTCGAACGTCGGCGCCAGAGGGTTTTCCTCTGGATTGGGAGCCTTGCGGTTGCGGGAGAGGATGAAGGCTTTGTGCTTTGTCTGGGTGGATAGGACTTCGATGAGGGTGCGGCCTACGGCGCCTGTGCCGCCTGCGATTGCGACGTTGACCATTGTTGCGAGGTTTGGTTGGATTTCCAAATGCGGGGAGGGGCTTGAGGGGCTGATGTGAGGTGTTTGAGGGAGTTGGTGATGTTGGACTTGTATCTCGAGAGAATGCCTCGATCTTCATACCGGTGGCATTATCGTGGCATGATTCGAATATGTAAATATGTGATCTACTCACGGTATTAACGGACGTAAAGCACGTTTAACAAAGTTTGCTGACATTTTCTCAGAAAATCATCGGTTATAGGCCGTGAAAGACACCCCGTTGGACGGAGTGACTCCATTTCCTCGGCGGCCGCGGACAGCTTTGGATACACGTACGCTCAGTCTCATGGGCGACGATGATGGGCGAGGCTTTCCTCCGGTTGGGTTCTTGCTGCGAGCCGAGTCCGGGTCCGATCTGACGGATTTGTGGAGTTTCTTGCTCCGCCGAAAACCTGCCTGTTCTGGATGCGGGCGGACGGCATGTGGGTGAGGTGGACTTGGGGCAGCCGGCTTGTCAGACTAAGATCCTAGAGATGGCGAGGCGCGTGTTCGATGAGATGACGATGATGGAGTTTTGGAGTTTTTGAAGAATATTGGAAGGCTTCCGGGACAGATAATGTTACGGAGTATGGTCAGTCACAGGCACGGTTCCTCATCATGATGAAACGCAATGGTTCATTTTCTCAGATATAAAGGCAGGCCCCCAGAACCAAAACCTAACCCTCACCGGCCAGGCTCTGGCTCCGAGAGCCCGCCGCAAACACGCAAACACCCCCTCTTCCCTTTCCCCTTCTCCTTTCCTCCCCTCCTCCCCCTCCAACAATGGTATCGCGCAGACACCTCCCGACGATACCTAGCCAACTTTGCAGTTGGTAGGCATCGCCGGTGGTGTCTAAAGGGAATAGGCCGAGGCCCAGGGCGGGAAGGCCATGGTGGCGGTGGTGGTGGTGTGTTGCCTCTCAAAGGCCAAGGCGCTCATTGACGGCGGTGGCGGCGATCTCCCAAAAGACTCTCTCCATCCGACCACCATCCTCCAAGTCCTCCGGGTCGAAGATCTCGTCGAGATAGAAGGGCTTGAGGAGGTATGGACCGTGGTCCTTGTCCGTGTTCCGATGGAAGATGATCCGAACCGTGAGAACGCCCTCGTCGTCCACGTACTCCGGCTCCTTGAGAGCCACCTCGTCCGAGCTGGTGTCGTCCGACTTGTCGTCCGACTCGCCATCCGAATCGGTCAACTCTGCATCAGACATCAGCTTGCGATACTCGATACGGAGGGTCTCTCTGGCCAGCTCAGAGCCGTCTTTACTGTCGTAGTCGACGAAGACGCGGTCAGTGTCGACATTGTAGTTGACGACGTAGCTGTTGCAATCGCTTTTCCATTCGTCCTCGACACCACGGAAGATTGCGATAATCTGATTGACGTTGGGGTATTTGAGCTCGTCCAACTTGATTGTGGCGACGGGCTCCTCGTCGAGTGCGTTGAATTGCTGAATCGGGTACTCATAATCGGTCCAGGCGCTAAAGTCTTCTATGACGATGCGTGCCATCTTGATTTGAATGTTGATGTTGTATCCAAGGTCTGGCGAGACGTATCCGGGAGCGAAGGCGGGGTCGGGAATGTCGGTCTTACAGCCCAGCGAAATCTCATCTGTGCGAGGGTTTATATAGACACAGTCAACATGAGGAATCAGTTGGACCGCCTCGGTAAAGAAGAGGTCGCACATGTCCTCCGGGCGCAAGACTGCTGGATCGTAGACGATCGGATCACCCGGGTTCTTGTCGATTCTGATGTAGGCGTGGAGAAAGGCCTGGAAAGACTCCTTGTTGACATGGGCAAAGGCAGGGTAGCCAGGGCGGCGCGCGTTTGCGTCCGCGTTCGGACCGATACCGACGAGCTGGCCTGAAGACTCGGCGACCATCTCCTAGATGACCGAACGAATTGCAAGCGGGAGGCGACGGAAGCTGGTAGGGCTGGGGGTGGTGTCGGACAAGGCGTCAGCCGAGGGGGAAGACATTATCTCGATGACGGCATCGGAAGCGTGGTCGGCGGCGGCAACGTTCGAGGAGCTGTCGACTGAGGGAGAGGACATGATCTCAATAATGGCGTCAGGAGTGTTGTCAGTGATGACGATGTCGGACGAGTTCTCATCCGAGGGAGAAGACATGACCGAGATGACAGCGTCTGTAAGGTTGTTGGCGGTGATCATGTTGGACACGTTGTCAGTCAAGGGAGAGGAGGTGATCTCAATGAAGGCCTCAGAGGAGTTGTCTGCAGGAACGACGTTGGGCGAGGGACCAGCCGCGGGGGAAGACACGGTTTCCATGATGGCGTCGACAGGCTGGTCAGCGGCAACGACGGTAGGCGAGTTTTCAATCGAGGGAGAGGACATAGTCTTAATGAAGGAGTCGAGGGGGTTGTCGGTAGGGGGATCGTTGGACGAAGGGGAGCTTTGATGAGCCATCGTCGGTTGTTTAGTAGAGTCTGATGATGAAAGCTCTTCGTTCTCCTGAGGTGTAGGAAGGGAGAGATTTTTTTGGGAAAGAAGGGAACCCATGAGTAGGTCTAAGTACATATTTCGTGGGATGTCATATGATCAGTGAGCTTGCTTAGTCGTTAAAGCCTTCGTCTGGTGTTGAGAGAGGTGCTTTAAAGCGGGAACTAATATCATCGTGAGTTTGGACGGACTGCTTTGTTGTGATCTGCTCTCGGCCGTGATGAGACGGTTACTTACTGATGAGGTTGGCGGGTGGGATGGCTTCTCGTCTGGCGTTCAGACGATTGCTTTCGGCCGGCTTCATACCTTCAGACGTGGAGGTGTTCAGACGAGTGACATCGATACTGCTTTCGGCCATACCTAGACAGAGTTGTCCTCGACTCAATCTCGCCCCTATTCAGACGAATGCTTCGTCTGAGAATAGCTTCAACCCAAGTTCTTGCCTGGTTTGAAGTTGTCAACTCTTGACTGGGCATTCATCTTCGCAACAATTCCTTTCAGTGCATTTCATATTCTTGTGAACTCGACAAAGAACTTCATCAGACAAACTTAGACGGGAGAACTATGTCAATCAGGTCAAGTACCAACAAGGAGAACGCAAACAAACCAGGGAACCCTCAAAGTCTTAGAGTTTTCAAGATTTCGCAATCTTTGTAAGCGCATTCCCTCTCTACCAATTTCTTGTGGTTTTTATAGATAAAGTAGGTAATTGATGCATCCAGCATCGGACGTCAATCATTGCAGAAAACCGGTGGAAGGGTGGCAATAGTGATCATGGGAGGCGGGGGAGCCGGTTGAAAGGCAAATTGCAATGCCACATCTAAAGCAAGTTAGTAAACGGGACGGATTTCCCGTCGGTCTCAAGTCGAATCGAGAACCTGAATCGACACTCGAAGACATTCAGGAGCCGGAGGAGAAGCAAAACCTACAAGCACGCGCTGGACGAGACTCTAATCATTCCCTGTGCAGAGAGGACTTCGAACTCTGCTCTGAAGTCTTGGACCACCGGACAGCTGAATATACTTAAGCTTCTCAGTTCAGCCATCGAAGGGGAAGTTGAGATCACTTGCGCTGATATACTACAACGAATGGGAGGATGAGGCGACCACAAGATCATTGGGGGGAAAGTCGAGTCATTACACAGACACATGTGAGTAACATATGTTTGCGTGACTATCAAGTCACGAATGACGCCGGGGTATCCATATCAGAATCGATTCAATCGAAAGAAGAACAGTTCTATAGACGCTGACCTTGGACATGCTCAGTAGAAGTAATGTGAAGGCTTATCCACCACAACGCTGACTTTAAAAGGCCCTTGTGTACACGCACGTCTCGCTTCCTAACCGACTGGAAGCGTCCGAGAAGGCGTTCTCAATACCATCCACCGGCTAATTTTCATCTAGGCGCCCCGAGATATAATCCAAAGCAATTTTCCAAGCGCGGTGCATCAAATGAAGTCCATCGACGTGGAACTAGTCGTCAGTGATCCAATCGAGATTGCTATCGCGCAAGATGTCGATGCGGATACAGCAACTCTCATTCGCGTCGACCCTGAAACAATCATGAGGGGTAAACTCGTTTGGCTGTATACCTCCAAAGTACTCGCTAGGTAGAATCGCGTCGCGATGACAGTAAAGCTTGTTGGTCGGCAAGATGTAGCGAAGATGAACTCCCGTACCACGCAGCGAGAGTGTTTTCAGACCTAGGTTTGTGGGTATTGGAATGCAAATCAGAGAAACCAGGTAGATGACCTCGAGGCATGGGAATTGGAGTTGGGGAAATGGAATGGGGCCTTGTGGGCTGAAAGAAGTGATAGCTTTGCCTCTGGAAAGTCTCTCGTTGAATATCCGCTGCAAAAAGCAGGTGTCGTGCAAACGTAGTTTTCGAAGTTGTTTCTTGATGTCATCCGGCAAGGTTGGGACCACAAGTGGGTGGCCCAAGCCGTCAACTTGTACAAGCCATTGAGGGTTGGCGAGCTGAAGTCGATAATTCCCCATTTTGTGAACGCTCGTACCGAGAATGAGGGTGTCAATATCAGGATTGAGGTAAACGTGGTCTTTGATGAGCCAATAGAAGGAGCTTCTGTTATGAGGCATGCCCGTAGCTTCGCTGATGAGCCGAATGTACATGCTCAAGAAGAATTTGCGGCTTTCTTGATGAACGGCGGACATGACGGGCAGACGGCTTCTTCGGGCAAGCCAGTCTAGCCTGGGACATATGGCCACGAGCCGGCCTTCGAGAGTCTTGCGCCATACCAGGTGTCTTATTTCCAATGGTAAAAGGCTGAAAAGGTCGAATTTGCCGGCTTCGGACATGACTGACGCCTCTGGGTCTCGTCTTGTGCTATGGTGCGTGATGGTATGGCGATAAAACGAATGATAATACGAGCAGAGTGGTATTTTGGGAAGAAATGTAGCACTGGAAGATGCTGACGACTTAGTTGATGAAGCAGAATGTGGGCACTACCCTGCTTTCTCGTTGCTCTTTTCAGCCATTCGCTTCTATTAGAGGTGCCTGACTACCTGTGGAGATGCTGCCTTCTCATATTCGTGGAGCTGTCTATCGCTGCTTCCGTGGATGCGAATGGCCACTTACCATTCGAGTCCTCGGCACTAGATACCTGTTCCTTTTTAAGTCTGTCGCCCTTTCTAACACGAGGGCACTTTGAATGAAAGGCCAATCGAGTAATGAGGATGAGCGACCAAAGACCAAATGAGCTTCCATTCGAGAGATCCGACTATTTAATGATGCCTTGGCTTCATTCTCATCGCGCGTCTATTTGATTGAAATGTGACGATGCGCTCCCGAATTTCCATAACCTGATCTCCATAACCTGATCTCCATAACTCTCAGATCCACAACTCCCAGAACGCCCGTGAAATTTCAATACTCATCTTTCGCAAAAAAACCTCATTCTAAAACCCAAAGAACTCCTTTATCTGCACCGGACAACTGCAGACGAACCGTATCAAGCACCAACATCGCGTCCCATCTTAGGACCAACGTTGACCCGCTTGCCGTACTTCCTTTTCTTCGGCTGAGGCTCCAATCCATCTTCATCGGCGTTGTTGGTGCCCCCTTCATCATAGGCCTCGCACTTTCGCGCAACTACGTTCTCCGCTTCCCTCTTCACAGCTTCACGGCGCTCCTTCGCCTTGATCGACGTGTTGTGTTTCCCTTCGTATTAAAAGCGGGCAAGGCTCCCGAAGCGTTGATCTGGGTCAATTATGCCTTTGTCACTTGGCCACTTGTATCTGCGTCGGATGCTAGACTCGGGAATTGAATGTTCAACAAGAAACTCGTTATCGAGCCACGGCATAACGTCTCCATGCAGATTGAGGTCCCGAAGCAAGGATTTTGGGTCCCAGAGGCGCTGAACTTCATGATCCCAAGCCAAGCCAGTGCTTTGGAATCTCAAGATCGTGATATTCTGAAATCCTCGTAGCTCGTACGTAGTGGCGATGCGGATGGCCTTCTCTCTGCTGTCGGTTGCCGAGAGGAACGGACTCAACTCTCGACAGCGCCAGCGAAGATGTTTGCGCAAGTGAAGGTGCAAGAATATTGGATCGGTTCCTCGGCCCAATCTGGCCTTGATTCCTCCGTGAGGTTGATCGCCATGAATCGTCCTCCATAGGTACTGTGGACGAGTCTCGGCATCAACAGTCGAAACACTTTGATCGATTGAAAGCAGCGCTGTGCCGTTGACGCAACCACTGTGACGAGAATGCTTCATGACGTCCAGAACTCTGGGAAAATGGTCCTTGAGAACTTGTACGTACTCTGGCAGTGCCGGAAGGACCCAGGGGACGTTGTTCGTAGTGTTTTTGGTCAGCCAAGCCTTGACTTTCGAAGATCCATTTTCTGCAATCTTCTCGATTTTGCGCTCGTAGCGAGCCACCAAAACTTCCTTGGCTGGAACATACTCCATTATCGGGGAGCAAGGGAGCTACTTGAAATTGTTGTATGTGGATTCCAAGTGAATGATTGCAATGCCGATGCTGCCAATGAGTGATGTATGACTGTGTAAATTTGCAGAAAGAGTAGCATCGAAAGATCGATGTATTTGGAAGAGATCTCTATGTCGAGAAGCTGAAGATGGCCTCCTCTTAAATAGAACCGTCGGTAAGAGGAAGGCGTCAAGTGGAATGAGAAAGGAGGAAGGAAGCCATTTGAAATGGCAGGAGGTGGAAATGAGAAAAAGCATGACCCTTCGATACGCTCCTTTTCCATCGTATTTACGTTCAAAACATTCGTTCTCACTTGCAGGAAAGACCATACCGGATTAGACCATGATGTTTCCTTCGTCGCTTTGGTGGCTTTGGTGACTTTGGTGACTTTGGTGACCTTAGTGACCTTGATGACATTTTTTCCTGGTGACTGTTGCGACTTTGGTGATCTTGGTGACCTTGGCGACAATTTTTCCTGGTGACCTTGGTGACTTTTTCCTGGATGCGGAATAGCGCATACCGACAAGCATATGAATGTTGCATCGACGAATGACCAATCGTGGTTCAGCATGATGATTCTTCTCCGAATATCAAGACGCGCCGTTATTTAATAGGGGTAAAGAGCTTTCACGCCCTAGTCACTATGTCGGGGTTCAGCTAAGTAGTAACAATTATTCGACTTCGTTCTCCTTTGGCGCTAATCATCCCTCGTGTGGATTGAAGCGTACCTAGACGTTTTTGATAGAGCAGGTCCTCTACTCGCCCTAGAAGACCGGTGATTTGAAAGGCAACGACTGAGACTGCCCTTATCCTCGAGGGATCGGCGGTGATACGAGTGATGAGTTTCGGTAATAGGGTCCTCATTATCAGCAGCAGAAACTCAAGGCGTATCTCACATGAGGTTCGGCAAAGAGAATATGATCGGATTAATCTTTGCAGAGCTGGTCTTGGGGGCTTGGGTCGTCTCACACCTCAAGAGTTCACAAAAGTTGGTCAATGGAGACTATTTGATTCACTTCTGAGCCTTGTATTTCTCATGTCCCATGATATGAACCTAACACTCGAGATATCTAGGCAAATGCCGAACGGCTCTCATCCCAGTCAGGTCTCAAGGACTTGCTGTCGAAGCTCATATCGAAACTAGAAGTGTGAACATAATCCGCCTGCCACTCAACATTCAGCGCAACACCCTCCGCAGCCTGACTCCAAACCGTGACAGCAATGGTGTTGTCTCCGTTGTAGTTGAGAATACCAGTCGGGACAGGGAACTGAACCTGGTTGCCGATGTACGGGTTGAAGCGACCATACTGGTATCCGTTGACGAACAGAAGGGCGCGAAGGCGGTTAGTCTGGTCAGCTGCCGCCGTGAGGCGGAACGAGATGGAGACATCGAGGCCAGCGGGGACATCGAGAGGTACAACAGTGCGGAAGATGCGGATGCCGGCGTCGGGAACGGAAAGAGATCCGTTGGCAGCGTCGAAGGACTCCCAGTCTGCGTCGGGGTAGCCGGGGAGATGGGCTCCGACACGCTCGGCGTAGAGACCACCTTCGTTGATGGGACCGCGAACGGGGTCGATGAGGTCGTTGCGGCCAGCGGTGCCGGCAATCTTCCACTCAGAGAACTTGTAGTTCGCGGCGTCGGGGCCGAGGAGGGTCGCGTTAGTGATACCACGGGGCGCGAGGGCTGCCTCACGCAGGTCGTGGCCCGAGTTATCCATGATAACGACCAGGACATTGTCGCCGGTCTTGGAGAGGGTGGCGTTCGCAAAGGAAAACTCGCTGGCGTCGGCTCCCAGGTAGGATAGGCCGAGGTAGGAGCCGACGTACTCGGAGTTGAGCCAGACGGAGTAGCCGAAGGCCAGGCCGCCGGTGACGTTGAGGAAAACGCCGGTCGGGGCGGACTCGGAGGTCGGGAAGGTTGCACGGTAGATGTGGTTTCCGACGTGGATGTCGTACTCGTCTACGTAGAGGATGGGGTTGTTGGAGGCGGGCTTGACGGTGTTGGAGGTGTTCACCTTGTTGGCGGCTGGATCCTTGTTAGATTGCTTTCCCCCGAAGTTACAAACAAGATATATTAAACATCACTTACCAACCCAGCTGTCAGATGTAGCTTCGTAATCGGTGGCGATTTCAGGCAAGCTGTCGTGAACCTTCCAGGGGCCAAGTGCGGGGACCTCAAACTTGGCAGGGCCCTCGATCTTGGCGGTGAAGACGTTGCCTTCTCTCGAGAGGAGCTCAAGCTTCTTGCCGTTCCAGGTGATGCCGCAGATTGACTCAGAGGCAAAGACGGTGATGGTTGTCTCCTGATCGGCATCTCCAGAGAGCGCCAAGCTGCGGCCGGTCTCGTTGAAGGCGGCGTGACGGACGAGGTAAGGGCCCTGAACGAAGACTACACGAATTTGTCAGTGAACTGGTATACAATGTGTCAATGAACGAACTCACCAGTCTTGTTGGCAGGTGCAAAGGGGTCGTTGTCAAGCACAGGAACCCAGAAGAGGTACGCGGCGGTGCGGTCGAGAAGAACGACGCGGGATCCATCTTCAAGATCAACGAGCGTGATGCCCTTCTTCTGCGTGTATGCAATGGTGACGTTGCTCTCGCCGGGGTAGACGTTGAAGTCGCCGACGTTGCCGTCACCAACAAGCTTGGCAGAGTTGACACCAGTGACTGTGAACTCGCCAGCCTCGCCCTCGGGAAGCCAAAGAGCAATGACCTCTTGACCGTCGAGAATGGTGTAGCTGAGTACCTCGGCGGTGGAGTAGACGAGCGTCTTCTCGCCAAAGGTGAAATCGGTGACGAGGATCTTGGCCTGGTGGCCGTTGATGGCGATCGAACTGCCGTGCTGGGGGATGGTGACTTGAGCCCAGTTAGTATTTGATCCGCGGAAGTTGATGTTAGGTACAAGGAAGACTCACGGGCACCCTGGGAGGTGTTGACGGAGAGCTTGAAAGCCTCGTTGGTGTTGGAAGGGGAGTAGGCGTGACGAGCAACGTAGAAAGCTGCGTTGTTGTCGACATTGCGGAGCTCGGACACGGTGATGGCTGAGTTGGTGGTGTAGCCGGTACCCTGGAACAGATCAGCATCTCGGATTCCTGGGATCGCTGCTTCACTTACGTTTCCAACTCTCTCAGTCTTTGTCAGATCCTTGGCCACTGCCTAAATGTTAGAAACCATCTTGCCTCCCGCAAGTGCGAATACTCTACGAACCTCTAGTGAAGAGAGTTAACAGCTTCGTCTCATGGAACTTGCTGCCAATGATTCTGTTCTCAGAAACTGGGGAAGAGTAGTCGTAACTCGAAGCTAGTCCGCCCAATTAGCACAAGTCGATCTCATGTAGGCCGTAGGTTAGCGGTATGGACTTACCAACGACGGGACAAGCGAGCCAACCCCAGTTGGTTCCGCCAAACATCATGTAGAGGGAGATTGCGGTAACTCTCTGGTAGATGAGATCGCGGTAGAAGATGTTGGCAAAGTCGGCACCAATGTCGCTGGGGCATCCACCCTCGGGTCCACCCCAAGGATTGTAGGAACCGCCCTGGAACTCTGGGAGAAAATTGGGTTGCGATCTGCAAAAGTGTTAGACTTCTGCTTTGAGGGTATCAAGACTCGGAATACTTACGGTGATTGAACTGTGAAGTAGCTGGAGGAAATTTGTTAGTTTTGACACACACGAAGACATTCAAGCAATAAGGCATTCTCACGAGTAGTAGTCTTGAGTCAGCTGCAGGTGGAATGATTAGCAAGAGAACAGCAGTTCCGGTGAATCTGGGTTGCTCACGTAGGGGATGTAGGCTCCGTTTGTACCAGTGCACTCGCTCAAGTTGCAACTCCAGCATGAAGGGTAGCTGTCGACACCGACGACATCGACGTTTCCAGTAGCATTGGAAAAGTCTTTGGACCAAGAAAAGCCGCGCTGAGTAGGGTCAGAAGATGAAAGAATGCGGTTCCCTAGATAGAGTTTCTTACCATGTTTGGGGCGTTGTGGGAGAGAGGCACGTCAATTCCGTTCTCCCGGGCGCTGTCCTGGAGAAGCTGCATGTAGTTGGCGACAGGCGGGTTCAGGGTTCTCTTCGCAATGTCCTTCCACTGCCCGTTGAGCTCGTTTTCGATCTATGTTTCCGCTTAGCACATGCTCTCTCGTGAGTCCTTGGGAATCATCGCGTACCTGGAACATGATGACGTTTCCGCCGTTGGTGATCAGATGGGGCTTGATAACCTTGGAAATCTCCGACCAGAAGGGAGTCCATGCCGCAGTGTACCTCTCGTCGTCGTTTCTCAGATCGCCGTAGGCGCCAGTGGTGGCCCAGAGAGGGAAGCCGCCGGCGTTGGTCTCGGCGTTGACGTAGGGTCCAGGTCTGATGATGAGGTAAATGCCGAGTTCCTTTGCGACGGTCATGATGGAGGTGAAGTTGTGGGCGCCGGTCTCAAAGTCCAAGACACCGGGCGTGGGGTTGTGGTAGCCCCAGTGGTTGTAGATGGAGAAAGCATTGAAGCTGTCATCTGCATGTTAGCCACGAGAAAACTCATTTACTCTAGAGATTCTATCTTACCCAGCCGCCTTGACCTTTTCGAGGAGATCTCGCCAAAGTTCGGGACTTAAGAATATGTCAGTAAGCTCAGCACGACGCAAATTAAATCGAGTTGGATCACGAACACAGGAATACGCCAGTAGTGGAACTGTGATTGTTAGCGCGAGGGTCTCAACATGCGAAACCGGGAGGGAGTTCGTTGCCATACCTCGCCAGAGAAGACGAAGAGCCTCTCTCCGTTCACAATGTAGCTGTGGTGATCCCTGCGTGGAGCTCAGTCAGTATCAAAGCCACGATTCCACTTGTCAAAGAAGCAAGGAAACCTACCATTGAACGACCTCATTGAGACCATTGTCGTGAATCGGCCAGTCAACATCTTGAGCCAAAACACTCTGCGATCCGCAAAGCGACGCGGCAAGCCAAAGAAGGCCGCCGGCTTTCAGACCAAACCTCATCGTGGCGTTTCTTTTTTGACTATTGCTGAAACTTGACAGATGCAACACGATAGCCGAAAAAACAAGTGAAAGAGCCAACAGCCAATTGAAGAAACCGCGCGCGCAAGGAAGCCATCGCGTCTCTTCTTTAAAGGCATCCTACCCTACCTTGCTTGCCCACCGGCCCCCCCGGTCCCATCCGGTGTGCACCCCGGCACAGCGTAGCATCCGGACAAACGTGCTCGGTGTTGATCGAACCGACAACTGCGGGGAATCATGAGGGGGAACCGGGGGCAAAGACTGGAGAAGATGATTTTGACGATCCAACACCCCGGCCCGCAACCCCCGCGATTCCTGTAGCCGCAGCAATCACTGACCCAAGGCACCTTGGATTGTGAGCCTGATGTCATTCATCGCTTGGAGACTTTGCAGTAGCGTCTCTGAATTTTCGATGAGCCAATTTTAAGCGATCTTTTCACCGACGGGCATGGCTCCCGTTGTGAGCTGGGCTGGATGACTGGTTCGTCTAGCGTGCTCTCGTGAAAGTGCTGTGCCTTGGCAGCCAACACGGCCGGATATTACGTCGCAACATCATGGGCCGATGGCCACTTTTTATGTCAATTCGGTAGGATCCGATCATCCGAGGCATAGGTAGTATAGAAGCAAAACATGCTTAAAGTTGTCTTGGTGACATCAAAAACTGACCGATCTTTCAATGAGGAGTAGGTCTACTCCATATAATGAACGTCTGAATTTCTGAAGTTTGTTGGGTTACAATTCGGGCTGATCTGCCTTGCGCAACATGCCGGACGAACACTCATCCATGATTCAGTTCGTGTTTGTTTTGAGCAAGACAATACATTTGACTTTGGCTGATTCCGGTGGGATTCATTTGCCCATGAGTTGTCCACTGCGTGTTGGTCCGGACGGTTCATGCAGTCATCTCGCATTACTCCAATGCATTAGTGGCACAATAGCCCACAGAGTCTTGGGTCGGCCGACACTGCATTCCTCTAGTCTCCAAACAACATCACGCAACAACCCCTCATCTTTGGAGATCTCGTGCGGAGATTTGGGGTGGTCTTGTCTCCATCTACAGGAAGTAGTGTCCGAGTTGCCGACTTGGAGCAGCCTTAGTTTCCTTGAATTCAAATACTCTAAACATTTAATAGCATACATAATCAAGCGGATTATTCGTTCTACGAAAGATTGCGGTTGCAATTGAGTACCTATGGGAGTTGCAGCAAAGCTTGTTCAATCTCTAAGGCTCACCTCATCGTAGCCACTCTGTTCACACCATCCACTTTCCCTATCCTTACTCCAAGTTCGACAAGAAGAGAAGAGGAACTCTAGCACACAGGAGTTGTTGCAACTGCATACACAGTCCTGCACCCAATCTTGTTACAAACATCAGCCTCCTCACACTCAAAGTCGACGGATATAGTTGATAGAGCAGGGCAGCCGCAGGATCTCGTAATAGACGAGGTAGTGGTGCATTGAGCAACGAAGCAGCTCTTGCAAATGGTACCAGTAGAGGTGATCTTGGGACAGCTGAGAGATGAGCAGGGCGCTGTGGCCGTCTTCGTGATGATCTGAGTGACGAGTGCGGTGGTGGTTGAGACTTCTCGCAGCGTCGTCGGGCTCGTCACGACAGCAGTCGCCGTCGTAGTGGCGGTCGTAGTGGTTTCCCGAATCTCTGTCGTTGTGACGGTGACGGTCCTGGCTCGGTCTATCTTTGATGGAGTCAGCGTGATGACTTGGCCAGAAGCTCCCCTGAGTCGATCAGTCAGTAGCGCCCTCGACATATGGTGCAAACGGGTTCTGACCAAGTTGCCCAGCTCAGGATTATGCTGAAGAGACGAAGCGACTGCATCTTTCGCACCTAGCTATTCTGTCAAGGAATACGGGAAAGATGTCAGCACTGTGAGTGGGAGAAGTTCAGCGCAGGCTATGCGATGGGCTTCCGGGTCTCGAGAAGACCATGGCGGCAGACCGGTCTGGCTTGAAGGCTTCGTCTTTCTTATAGTAATGAGTCTCTCTCGAGAGCCGGGCGGAAGCGTTACAAACATACTTCCTTCCGACCTACACCATGTTAGATTAGGTGTACAAGGGGTTCACCATTCTCATCCGGCTGTAGACCAATCGAACATACAACGCAACCTTGACCGACTTGAGCCGCGAGCTGAGCTGAAAAACGGCAGCCTATAGGATAGAACGACTGAAATTAAGCCCGTAGCCGAGTGTGAGTCTGCTTCCAGCCGATACTGCTGCATGGCGGCTGAAGCTGGTAGTACTCTCACGAGGGCGGATGCAACGGCACAGATCCAATCAGAGCTGTCGTTCGAAACCAAACCTGCCGCATCGGGCAACTCGGAAGCAAGGGGCGGTGCGTGCAGATCGCCTCATCAAACCCCCTTCTCCTACGTTGGGCTCTGTTAGTAAGCCCCATCAGATGAATTGCTGTGCCATCCCAACTATGATTTGTACGAGCATACAAACATTCCTTTACACGCTCAAAATGGCTACTTCATCTCTATTTTCTCTTACCGTACGGCAAATGTGAGCTTGAAGCTGTGTAGTAATGGCGCGGTAATTAGAAGAGCAGTCCACGGACTTTCACCGCAGAGTACTTCGAATTAGAGGAATACAACTATAATTCGATTGCTACTTGTGGTATATAAATGGCTGATTCAAATACGGCCGGCACTTGGCCTGCCTAGCACCTCCAGGAGGTGATCTGGTTCTCGTACTCAACGGTACGAGGATCGTCGGGGAGAGCGACGGCCAGGTTGTAGTTGTAAGAAGAGGTGAGACCGCGGTCATCACCCTTGTTGTTGCAGCCCTTGTACCTTTGATGCATTGTTAGTTTACCTGATATGACAAGTCAAACCCATTCATGGTAAGGCACTTACTTGTAGAACTGGCACTTGCCGCCGGTGTTGGTGGAGAGGGAAGAGACCTGGTCGTTGAAGCGGTCGCTGATCACGGTGGAGTTGGCGGCCTGGAAGTTGAAGTAGGAGACTTTACATACGAGTCAGCATTTCGTTCATCTCATAAAAAGCGTAGAGTCAAGCACTTACCACAGTCGCCGGGGCTGGCACCGAAGACGAGGCAGTCACCGCGGAAACCCTGCTTCTGTCAGTATTACTTCACGACCAGTCCAGTCATATCTCTCCAAGCTTACGGCATCGGTGCACTGAAGCACAAAGATGGTCTCGGGGTTGGTCTCGTTGCGGTTGGGGTCGGGCTCGCCGTCCTGGCGGGTCTGGAGCTGCTTCGGGGCCAGGACCTCGGTGTTGAGGAACTTCTCGTAGGCGGCGGAGTTGACAATGTCGTTGCCGATCTTGATGTTGAGGTCGGAGCCGGTGTTGCGCTGCACAAGGGGCTTGCTGACGACGGCAGCGGTGGCCGCGGTGGCCGCGAGAACGAGGGTGGTGAAGCTCTTCATCTTGATGGAGTTTGGTGTTGTTGGAAGCGAACGTGTGTAGTTTGTTGAAAGGAATGGACTTGTTAGAGCGATCGACGACTTGCGTTGGCTACAAAGGATTCTATCTCATCACTCTGGGAGGCCGATGTGAAGTGAACCGGCTTATTTATCTTCATATACAACATGGCCGGATGGCCCGCAGTAGCCAAGAGACAAAGTTTCGATCATAATAACCGCATACAACCTCATCCCAGCCCGCCCCGCGAGCGCCGATGCACTCGGATTCGGTGATGATTGCCTGTGGGTCTATACCGGCTCGCCCAATGCTCATCTATTCTCGTGGCACAAACGGCCGCCGGAGGCATTGGTAGGAAAATAGGGAGAGTTTTTTGTTGGCCCGAGTGTTCCGTCACGGCCTCCGTTGACGATTTAGACTTCGGAGAGTTAATATCGAGACGGGGCTCATCACCACCGCCAACTGCCGACATCCATGACAAGGTTTTGAGTTGCAAAATGAAAAGAGTGGAAACTTCAAGGTCACAAAGGGGATGAACAGTCTGGGGCGAACCCGTTCGACGCCTGAGTGGACTTTTTACTCCGTTCATCTTACACAGTAGAGTGGGTTATATGTGCTGGCTCTGTGGTTTGTTTATCTGAATTAGGTTTTCGTCTGAACTAAGGCAACTGACTCGAAGATCGGACGGTTTAATAAGGATTCTCCCGCAACGTGAACCTAGAAAGGGGCCGGCCTGCGAGGATGTTCCGCACACGATTCTTGGGCTTGGCTTTGCTCGGTTGGCGACTTTTTGCCCCATTCACACCTTTTCCATCTTTACTAGGAAGGAAAAGAATGCCTCAAATCGCCGGGAGAGAAAGAAAGTAGCGTCCGTGGATCTTGATGGATACTAAGGAAAGTCTCCTAGGTTGGTGATCGTGGATCATACTGCATGCACTAGCCTAACAGGAGGAGTATCAATCAGATAGACGTTCCAAGCACATGTCCCCTTGGCTCCACGACTACAGTCCAACTGCCAATCTGGGCAGTGACCCTCGATCCGGCATGGATCTACTGCTCCGATAGCCTCTCGTATTCAATGATCTTTTGTGTTCCGGGGAATGCCCACCGGCAGCTTCCATCATTTGCCGGCCTTGACGTAAATAGCGGAAAAGTTGCCCAAACACGTCCCCGACGGTCCAACCACCGTTCAAGCACTTCTTGGCAACTCGGGAGTCGTGGGACTAGAGTCTATCAATAGCACACTGGTCACTCGGAGAATCTAAACTTGCAGTCGTCCTTTACACGTTTATATCCATGTTTTATCAGTAATCGGGAATATCTTTGGTTGTTGAGATCCTGGTCGCTCATTAAACAAAGACCTTGATGGTTGGGCTATTGTATCACTGCGCGGGGCGCTCTGCGATGTAAAGACAAGTCTCCGTATGCCGTCTTCAGCCTTTCGAAGTTGGCTCCCGTACCCATCATCGATCATGTTTCGATGAACTACGGAGGTAGATGTTCAGTTGACAAAGCCCTTACGAACACTCGAACAGTGGGAGAACGACACAAGGTTGGATTCGCTCCAACTTGATCCATCAAGTCAAAGTCTCCGAAAGGTATCAACCTGAGATCCCTTGCCAGACTGTGGCTGGGCACCCGGTATGGTCCATGTGCCCCGGGCTGTGGCTGAGGCCACCAGCGCATTTCCTTTAATAGGCTGACCTTGCCGCGGAGTTTCTCTCCTCCGCACACATCACCTTTCTAACACTGCAATACAGCACTTTTGCCCTCCGTCAGCCTACGGCTTTTTAGGTTTCTTTGCCTCTCAGATAGAGACTTGACTGTTTTGCTCTTCACAGAAGATCGGGCCCGTCCCTCAACCACCAAAGGTCGCATATGCGACGATGACGCAAACTTGTCGGTGTATCCTAGGTCAAATGAGAAACCTGCCGCCAGCTCATGACTCTTGGATAGGCATACACGATGAGTCCTTGAAGTTTCGCCCATCAATTCGCAAAACTTTGTGACGTTGATGCTGAATCCGCGACATGAAAAGTTGCCTTCTCATGGCTCGGTAGGTTCCGAGACTTGAGGTAGGCAGACGGAGTTTGCATCTCATCTTGAAACAGCCAGCGAGACAATCATCGATCTTAAGAGTTTGAACAAGACCTCCGGAGCTTAGGGAGAGAAGAGAATAGTTGCAACAAGTCGTAAACCTAACCTCAGTCATCTTGCACTTTAAAGGATTCAGGCCGAGTCCCAAATAGGAAACACGTAACTTGACTCTTCTGATTGGCTGTCGGGATCGCTCTCCGAGAGTAAGAAAATCAGTGATTGGTTCGTCGCATCAAAGAGTTCAGGTCCATGCTTCTCTCAGATCCTCGGGATCCTCCGCTTCAGCTTCATCAAAGGGCTCGTTCTCTCAGCTAGTTAGTCAGGGGAAATGGCATCTTCAGAATCTTCCGAAAAGAAAAACGTGTTCATACTTCTGACTCTCATAACGTCCTGCTCGCTGCTGTTTCTGTTGCTGTTGCTGTTTCGCCAATCGACTTATCGCCTTTAACCACGTTACGCTGCAGTAAACGCCGAGACCATGGGTACCAAAACCAGATCATCGGAGCCTACGTTCGTGGTTCACAGCTTCCAAGGCACGCGTTCTCAAATTCAGTTGGAATCGCGGCCAGCGTCAAGAGCCTCGTTTCAAAGTACCGATGAGGGCGATATCAAGGCGTAAGTAGCACGTGAGAGACTTGTTGGTTGGAAGTGAGGTGTCCAGGGCGCACTTTAGTCGACATGTCGTTTGTACCAGAGCCTGGAAGAGATCGAACGAGAGAGAGCAAACAGCCTGGAATTAGGGGGTCAGATGCATCTATATATCGAATCTGGATCAAGGACTGACCAAGACGGACATTAGAACTCCACCAAACGGCCAGGTCCATGTCTTCTCGCTCTCGAACCGACCCAAGCAGAGCCGCGCGAGCGCGCCCAAGACCCGGAACGGGTGTAAAGAATGCAGGTACGTTTTTGTCAACTCTCTTATACTCACCTGTCATTCGCTCCCCTCCTCGTTCCGCGTAGCCGTCCGTTCCCACCCTTGATGAGAAGAATACGGGTCTCACGTGGATCGTTCGTGTAGGAAACGCCACATCAAGTGCGACTTGGCCAGGCCACACTGCATGAAATGCGTCAAATCAAATCGCCGATGCGAGGGCTACCTCGATTCGGGACTAAGCCTCATGCCGCAGAGACACAAGCCAGCCCAAATCCCCTCCCATCCGGGCGGTGGAAGCGGCGGCGGCGGCGGCGGCGGGCAAATCACCCGCACCGCACAGCGTCGTGCCCCTGACCACCGCGTCCTCATCACCCCTGGCTACGAGACGGCCCTGTTCCAGAACCAGCGGCAGTGGGACTCGTTCCAGTCCCTCATCGTGAACCTGGAGCAGGGCGCGACCGTCCTCAAGGACCACGTGGCGGAGATGACGCCGCAGTACGCCAACCACGAGATCGCCATCCGGGAGATCTGCTCCGGCATCGGGGCCCTGGGCAAGGCCCTACGCCCCGCCAACATCGACAAGCTTGCTGGCGCAGACTACCGCGCCGCGCTGGAGCACTATGGCCATGCCATCAAGGCCGTCTTCAGCGTTAAAGCGACGACGTACACACTGTTGCACATGGTCCTAACGTCGATGCTCTTCACCACCTTTGAGATGATGGCGGGCAACCCTGAGGCTGCGTCGAAGCATCATAACCATTCCGTTGCTATGATGGACCAGTTTGTTACCCTCCGGCTGGAAGAGGACGGCGTCCCGTTTGAGAAGCTTCATCTCTCTAAGCTCGAGTCTGCCCTGTTCGATGCTTTGCAGAGACTTGATACGCATCCCTGGGCCACGGGGTTCGGTCCGGAAGGGATCCGCGTCAAGGCGCAGGCGCGCAACTTCCCTCACGGGTGTAGACACAGATACAACATGCAAGACATGCCGTCAAGTCTCACCAACATCACCCAAGCGTCGCGATGGTGGCATCTAACGCAACACGCCATGATGCACTGTCTCCACGGCCTCAAATCCTCCACCGACCCCTCCGATGCCCCCTCCAACGACACCGCCGTCTGGAAAGAATCAGCCAACCTCCTCCAAACATGGCACGCCAGCTTCTCCCCGCTCCTCCAAACCTCACGACAGCAAAGAGAACACAACCCCCACCGCTGGTTCCAAGCCATGACCCTCGAGTCCCTTTACGTAGAGAACCTCGCGGCAATCTACAAGCGCCACAAGCTCGACGCCAACGTCCTCCCCGCCGTGACCCCGCTGTACCGCGACATGATTAGCTACGCGCTGCAGCTGGCGCGGAAGCAGGAGCTCAACGGCCTCAAGACGCTGGTGCTCGAGAACGACCTCATCCGGCCGATGGCGTTTGTGGTGTACAAGTCGCGCGCGGACCCGGAGATTATGGGCGAGGTCACGCAAGTGTTGCAGGAGTTTGTGGGCGGCGTGGGGATGGCGGAGTCGTTGTTGTATATGTTTGGGTGTCGGGAGAAGAAGGCTCCTTTGATGGCGCTTGAGAGGGCTTGGGGGTGGTATTTCACGACGTCGGGCGTTTCTTCTGGGGCTAGTTGTCTTGATTACTTGACTTGAGCTGGTAGTATAAAGTATGCAGTGCCTTCATGTTGGGTAGACAAAACTCATGATGGCTTGCTATTGGGAGACTTCAATCAACGGTATCTACTGATAGAGTTACATATCAAGAGATTTGATCACTTTACGCATCACATATCACAACCGTCAATCGTGTAATGGAGACTCATTAGGTTGTAGTATACTATCTCCAATCGTATAATAACAAAATCTTCGCTATCATACATCCATAAACATGACCATATCTCCGGTGAATATTAAAGTTGTGGTGGCATCTTCGCCTATGTACATTTCCTCAAAAAAGCTCGTCCTTTAGAATTTCAAGGATGCATCTCCCTTAGAAGGCAGCGAGGGCCAGGCCGACGGCAGCAAGACCGACGGCAGCGGCGTTCTTGCCGGCGCCAGCAAAGACGGGGGTGCTGGGGGTGGCAGTTCCGGAAGGCTACAAGAGAGAGAAGAAACCACGTTAACAAACAAAGAACACCAAAAAAAACGAATTTTACGTCTACATCATAGACCAGGCCCAGGCGACACATACAATAACAACAGAGGTTCCGATGGAAGTGACGCGGGTGACGGTAGCCGCGGAGGTACCGGAAGCAGCGCCAGAGGTGGTAGCGGCACCAGAGGCGGAGGCGGAAGCGGAAGCGGAAGCAGAGCCGGAGGCAGCGGTGGAGGGAGTGGTGGCGGGAGCACCGGCGGCGGAGGTAGAGGCAGCAGGGGCCGAGGACTCAGCGGCAGCAGAGGTGGACTCAGCCGGGGGCGCGGCGGCGGAGGTCTCGGTGGTGGGGACGGGAGCGGGAGCCGCAGTGGTGGTGGCCGGGGCGGGGGCGGCGGTGGTGGCTGCGGCGGTGGTCTCGACGGCGCCTCCGGAGGGGCTGGGGGTCGGGGAGAGACCGCACTTTGCGGCGGCGGAGGTGACGCCGGAGGAGTAGTACATCCAGATGGAGTAGGTGTTTGCGCAGGTCATGCAGCGGCCGTAGCGCTCGTTCCACTCCGAGTTGCTGCAGAAGCCGTCCTCGCGGCCAAGGGTGATGAGAAGACCTTGTTTGGAAATCAGCTTTTCTAAGTCGTATAGAGAGGAATGGCGTAAGTTGTGGATATGGAAGAGGCATTGGACTTACCGCAGTCCTCGTGGCACTGGTAGCGGGGGGTGCCGGGCTCCTGGCGCTTCTCAACGGCGGGAACAGACTCGGGGTACTCGAAGCGAGGGTGGACCTGGGCGACGGCCATGGAGGCGACGGTGGCCAGGACGGTGCAGGTAACGAATGAACGCATCTTGAAGGTTGGTATTAGGGGTTGGTAAGTTGAGAGACTTGAAGATGCTTTGTGGGAGGAAGACTGGAAGGGAGGAGGATTGTCTGAATGGCAGTCAAGTTGTTAAGTTGGGGGAAGCGAGCGTGAGGAGGGAAAAGGGGGGTGGGAACGAGAAGCAGAGAGGTTGGAGAAAGAGGTTATTATAGGATGTGATGGCTTTGTTTTCGTCACGTACGAAGTAGGGGAAGTTCAGGTACGGGAAATCAGGTACAGGAACAGGCACAGGAGCCGGCGAGCATGCATGCATCAATCAGTCTAGGCTCTCCTGGCCTGTGAATGTGGAAACCTGGGAATGGATGCTCATGTCGGCCTCTTCCGTGGTCAAACTTGGCCGATGAGAGTCTCCATCAGCTGGCAGACCTAGGCCAGGGTAGAACCATGGGCTTGTAAGGGGGTAATACGACAGGATCTGAGCAGGACATGGCAAGGCAAGGCAAGGCAAGGCAATGACATAAGGCAGTGATAGTCGATGACCCGCGGAGCAGGGAGGCGGGCGCGGGACTCAAAGAGCGCGAGAACATTCGTATAGTCCCCGGAGTGTATGGGACAGCTAGAGGAGACGAGCAAGTATTCAATCGTGGAAGCTCGGATTTGCCCCGGATCGCCGAAGTAGACCCAGCGCGCTTGTAGTGTAATTTGCGGGATGCCGAAGAAAAAAGCTCGTACCAAAGGTAAAGAGATGCAAAAGATCCTTGTCATGCGTGGTCGTTGGCATGGCATGGGCTACTGCAACTCAAGTGGAGGTCGAGAGGAAGGGCGATGACTGGATGGGAGCGGAGGAGGAGGAAGAGGGTACCCGCCGAACCAACGCAACTCTAAGTGTACATACATGGTACGGATGTGACCCTTGGTTCTTGGCCCTTTGACTAAGAGGTTATCGAGAAGGAGGGGTGGAGGCTCGGAGAGGGGGATATGGGACATGGGACATGAGGAGTCTAGAGCCTGGATGTACGAAGAGCAGCTCAGCAGAGAAGAGGATGTTGGTGAGAGAGACGGAGGAGATAATGGACCGAAGCGGATGGCGTCGGCCATTGCCCGGCTGCTCTTTTACTCTCGCCGTTCGGTAGAGCGGGTTACTCCAGAGAAGGCTGATGATGATGATGAGAGTTCGCTCGCTCTTCCGTGATGTCCCCTCGTTAGTCCGAGAGTTCCTCCCGGAAGTCGGAAAATAGCAGCAACGGGTGACCTGATGGCTGATGCCAAGGGCTGAAAACATGCGGTTCAGCCGAGAGAGGAGCGAGAGTCACAAACCCGCCTTCCCAAAAAGGGCTGTCTGACCCGGGCAACCGTTTTATTTATTAGTCTTCTAGCGTTATCCGTATGTGCGGCGTTGCCTGTGCCTCACCGATATCGTCGACGGTTCGTCCATGTGGTCTTGGGAGTCAGGGACCAGTCACCTTGGATCAATGTGCGTGATTGGGGGGATCGGGGCGTTGTGGAGATGAGGAGAATGGCTGGGCGGCCCTGTGGGATACTATGTGTGACTGTTCGTGGCGTGAGGAGGCGTTTATTTCCTTGCGTGGGCTGCGTGAGTGGTGGGATGAATCGCGATCCTTGTTGGGACTCTCTGCGGGCGAGGTCGGACAGAGTCAAGAGTTTCTGCGACTCTGCGAGGATTCACCTAGACTCACCCATGTCCATCTATGCTGCGTCCGGGCTAATTAGGGTTAAGAACCGACGGGCGGCCTTTTGAAGCGGAGAACGGAGGAGACCCAGAACCAGACCCGACCAGGGGGTGGGAAGAGGAGGAGGAGAAGACTGGGAGTAAGTTGTGGATTAAAGGCGAGGTAAATCGTAAAAGTACCTAGCGCTGCGGATCTCGAGGATGCATCTAATCTTATCAATCACATCAGTTAAACGACAGCCCATCCAGCCATCAGCCAACAACTTCTGCCAACCATTGCCAGCCAGACAATGGCAGACATCCACGTCCGGTGAACCATTCCCTGTTTGGATATATTGCTCCATGCTGCCAAGAGACACAAGCGGGCCGGATGGCATGATCTGATTGGACAAAGGGATCTGATAAACTACTTACGGTCTTGGTGAAAAGGAAAAAGAGTTTTCGAAACTTTGATTGTGGTACATGGCATACACGGTAAATGGACTTGAAGCATGTTTATCCCTCGTTCCCCTCTATCTCACCACCCTAGAGTCGCACCCATTCCTACGCTACTCTGCAACCTGATTGTTTGCCAAGGGAACTTGTTGTGATGGTATCTTCATTCTCCAGTAATTGCCTGGGCACTTGATCCCTCACAAAGCAACGTATCCGGCCCCTTCGGCGGCCGAGCGAGAGAGAGAAAGAGAGAGAGAGAAAATCAATAGAGGCGGGGCGGGTTTTTTCGGTTTCTGTCTGCTTCGTATTCCCAAGTTTTTGCCGCCCAGCGGTCTTCCCTGTCCCATCCACATTCTTGGCCATCAATCCATTTAGATACCAGACCTTATTGCCCATCTGCCCTCCCCCAAAAGTTCCGCCGTTCATTTATCAATCTACGGAGACCCTAAGGATTCTAGGAAGACCTCTATGTAGACATGAATGGTACTTTCCAAGACTTTACCAAGCAAAAAACCGCGGTCGCCACCTGCACCACCCTTCACCCATGCGGCCATGGCCTCCTCCCCTCCCCATCCAACGGGATTCAGCCAAGTCTGTGGGCACAGAGTTGCCATGTTCTGGGCGCGGGTCGTATGGGCACTATTGGCGAGAAAGCCTGAACAGAACTCGTGCCTTTTTTTACTTTTCTTTTTCCCTCATTCCTCTCTGGGCGGACCTAGGCGGGATATCCGCCCCTTCGTGACTTCTGTAAGCCCATCTTTTCTCCGCTGACATGTGTGAGTGGAGGGTGGTTGGTGTAAAGTTGACCCAAAGAGGGGAAAGGAAAACGGAGACATGGTTACATGCAATATGCAACCAGTCGGCTTGCAAAAGGCAAGAGAAGGAAAAATCTAGGTAGACCTGCAGTAGTATAACTTGACCGTTGTTGCCATCCGGTTCGTTCTCATGGATGCTAGTCAACCGCCCCTTAATTCTTAATTCTCCCCTTGAACCCTCCCTTCCTCCACAGTCGTCGTACGCATCTCTTTCGTAACGCAGTCTGTTGGTCCCAAGGCATCGCGTGTTTTGCCGCATACCCGTCAAAGAAGAAGCTTATTTCTTGCATCTCGGTGTCTCCAAATCCCACATCACGGCAACAATGCACGCCTCCTCACTCAAGACGTTCCTGGCCCTGGGCCTCGCCTCGGTCGCCTGTGCTCAGCACACCAAGCAGGATGACGAGATGGGCCCCGCCGCCTTCATGTGGCCGGCCGACAGAGTCTGGAGCGGAGACATGGATAACCAGGCTCCGTGCGGTTCAAAGTCCGGTGCTGCCAACAGGACCGAGTTCCCCTTAGGTGAGTTAGAGAGCCTCATAACAAAAAGTCTTGATAAAGACGTGAGAAGATGTGTGGGCTTCTGACTGACAAGCATCGATGAATAGTTGGCGGAAAGGTCGCTCTCGTTGCTCAGGATGATTACTACAACAGCAAGATCTCCATCTCTTACCAGAACGGTATGTCTACGGAAACATCACCATCCTACAACGGAGTCTAGAGACTCGGCAACCCAGAACCCCAGAACCCTTCGACCCCTATTCGCTCTCCCAAACCCATCTAATCCCCCCCCCCCCCCCTCCCTATTCCCCTTCACAACACACGACTAACAAACCCCCCTTTCAAGACCCAACCTCCAACAGTGACTTCACAACCCTCATCGAGGAACAATCCGTCTCGGACCTGAACCCAGGCCACACATGCGTCGACGTCCCCAACCCGCCCTCCTCTGTCGCAGCAGGCTCCAACGCCACCCTCCAAATCATCTACCGCGCCGACTGGGACGCTCCCCACAACCAGACCTTTTACGCCTGCGCAGACATCACCTACGTCGAGGCCGCCACCTTCAACACCCGCATCCCCTGCTTCAACGCCACCGAGCCGGGCGAGGACGACATCGCCGCCACGGCGTCGCCTTCCGCCTCGTCGACCAACGCTGCCTCCAACTCTGGCTCTAGCAGCGGAAGCTCGGGAAGCAAGAAGTTGTCTGGGGGTGCGATTGCCGGTATCGTTATTGGTGCTGTTGCTGGTCTTGGACTGTTGATTGGTGCGGCGCTGTTCTTTTACCGCAAGAGTCAGCAGAAGAAGCGGAACTCGAGACTTGCCCGTATGGAGGAGAATGCGAAGCGCTCTGAGCATTACAATGCCGGCAAGGATTCTACTTCGCAGAATAGCATTAAGATGAACAACCTTCCTTGAGGTAGCAGGTAGATGGAACTCGGCATTGACGAGAAAGAATGTTGGTGGTCAGGACGAATTTTTGGCTTTTGGGGAAAAGGGGTAGCTGGGGAGAGAGGATGAATGGTACGTTGAAATGAGGAATGGGGGATCTGATGACGGACGAGGTGAGTTGGGTTAGTGGATGTGATGGGCTGGAGAGGTTATGTGTTATGTGCGATGAGATGATATCCAGTTCTTAGTTTAGCAATGATTTATGTTTACGTTGTCTTCCTACCTTGTGAATGGACCGCGAGCATGACGATACTGAGTGCTTCTCTGCTCTTCAGACTTTCTCATTGAAGGTAGATGTGAACGCAAGAGATCGCTGCATGTTTGATGCGACAAGCTTGTGTTAACTCCAATTCATTTCTTGATATATGGCGGTGTACATATATGTTTGTTCATGTATGACAGGTATATATGTATATATGCATGTGTATATGGTTTTGTTCATCCGGATGACGTTTAATCATCCCGGTTTCCCGCATCGGAACCAGAGTCCTCAACGCTCGACTGCTTATCAGATTCCAAAACACCGTACCTACATCAAAGTTAGTTAGTCACCAATCAAGTCAGTGCGGGATCATAGAAAGCATACCATGAAATAACAGCCAAACCCATAAACGCTGCCACGCAGCTGAAAAACATGGCAACGTATCCCTTGGGCGTGAACCCCTCAGGCAAAGGTCCAACAGGCCTATTCTCGCCAGTAAGGTCCAACACGTCCTTGGTGTTACCAGCCGCGTTGCCCTTGGTCGGCACCCCACCGGCGCGGCACGCCTCCAAGTGATCCTTGGGCACCTCCAGCCCCTGCAGGACATCAGGCGCCTCGATGATGGTCGCGATGAGCCCCTGGTCCATGTGCCACTCGATATGGCAGTGGAAGAGCCACACGCCGGGGTTATTCGCCTTGAAGCGGATGACAAAGTTGCCGTTGCCCTCGACGATGAGGGTATCGCGGCGCACGGGGTAGCGGGGGAAGTTGCTAACATCGTCGGTGGAGTTGGAGAAGGCGCCGGCGTCCTCGTCGGAGCGGTGGACGACTTGGAACTGGTGGCCGTGCAGGTGGAAGGGGTGCTTGCCGTCGTCTTCGTTGTTGAGGACGATTTCGATGATTTCGTTGTGCTTGAGGACGTGGGCGATGGAGTTTGTGCCATAGACGCGGGGGTTGGCAGCGTTGGGGGCGCCGACGGTGAGGGCGCTGTAGAGGGAGGGGACCTTGGGGAGGACGTAGGTTTTGTCGTTGAAGAAGGCGCTGTCAAGGGGGTTAGCTGGAGTCTTTGTGTGTAGAATTGTCGTGGACCTACTAGTTTGCGCCGTCGGCGAGGTTGTCCATCTTGACGGAGAGTTCGAACGAATAGTCGACCTTGTCGTAAATCTCCTGCTTGTCAAAGGGCACCAGCTCGAAGTCGTCAAAGGGATCAAACTCGTCGACGGTAGCGGGCTCGGGCAGGGGCTTCTTGTCGTCGTAGACGAGCCAGCCCGTGACATTCGAATCCTGGCCGTCGGGGATCACGTCAAAGAGCTCCTCGTCCATGGAGCCCACAATGGCAAAGTTCTCCGAGGCGTCCTTCTTGGTGGTCAGGAGCACGCTGTAGCGCTGGGCGGGGGCGATGTAGAGCATCTCGGCCTCGGCCTCGTCGGTCCAGACGCCGTCAACCTCGACGACGCGCAGGGTGTGGCCCTCGAACCAGATGTACTGGGAGGCGAAGGCGCCAATGTTGACCATGCGGATGAGGTAGGTCTTGCCGGGCTGGACCTTGACCTGGAGATTCTGGGTGTCGTTGAGGAGGGCGGCGTTGGGGACGGGCTCTGCGCCGGTGGGGTTCTCGACGCTGATGAGCTCCTTGATGAGGGTGCGGGTGGACTGGTGGTACCAGTCGGAGAGAGTGAGGACGAGCTCCTCGTCGTACTTGCCCTCGTAGGGACCCTTGGGGTCGTGAATAAGGAGAGGGCCGCGGAGACCTTCGGGGTAGGTTCCGTCATTGTGGGCATGGTACCAGTAGATGCCGACCTGATCAAACTGTAGGATGGTATGAGTATACACTTGCGTAAGTCGGAAGAGAGTCACTCTCTGGGAGCTTACCTTGAAATCATATGTGAATGAGGAAGCGGGCGGGATGGCGCACTGAGTGACACCTACGGCGCCGTCCATGTGGTTGGTGCCATTCTGGAACAGGCCGTGGAAGTGAAGACTGGTGCTCGCGTTGCCGAGGTGGTTGTGGACGGTGAGGACGAGCCTGTCACCCTTTGTTGCCTCGATGAGAGGCAGAGGCCACTGGCCGTTGACGCCAATGGTTGGTTTGTCAAAGGCGCCATCGGGGTTTGTGAGAATCCATCCAATGTTCCAGTCGAGCTCGATGGTCTTTGCCAGGGCGGATGAAATGAGAAGCGTGAGGGCGGCGACTCGGGCCAAGACGGCCGATGTTGATGATGAGAAGGCCATGGTGGCCGGGGGTGCTTCCAAGTGTGGTTGTCCTCTCTAGTGTACTTATTTGATGGTGATAGTGGTGGTGGTGGTGGTGGTGTTGTTGCCCTTTTGGCGCGGCTCAAAATGCCCTCACAACTCTCAACTCAACACTAGATTCGAGTCTGAGCCTATGCGGCTTCACTTGGTTGTTATGCAGTCTCGCACGGGCGTTCAGATGCGCGAGAGTTCGTCGTGATTCATAGACTCGTTGAAAAAATCCCACAAAAAAAGCTTCTACGAACCGGGCCGAGCGCGGAGGAACATTGGACGTCCGAGACTTTTGACAGCGGGCGGCGGCAATCGAGGGAGGGGTGGGGGAGAGATATGCACGCAGCACACGCAGCACACGCAGCACACGCAGCACACACACACAGTTGAAGTGTACGGATACCTACACTAGACGCGAGTGCTCGGAGAAAAGTGAAAGTGTAAGCGAGGAGGGGGAAACTCGCAGATGAGGAGAAGGGTGAAGGCTGAGTGAGGTGAGGAGTGAGGAGTGAACGTGAGAGTGAGAATGAAAGTGATACACACGTGAAAAAGGAATCGTGTCGCCTGATTGAAAATTGCACGACGAATGGATTGAAATCTTGGCGATCTGATAAGGAAAAGCCGCCGTTGCCTGCCCGGTCCTTCCCTGAAGAGTACCCGCTATAGTGGGGGTGGTGTGCGGTGTATGGTGTGCCGCCGGTGGGCGGATCGAAGGGGAGGCACTGGAGCACTGGAGCGCTGGAGCACTGGAGGGGTTTATCTGATCCTGAGGATCACCACAGCAAGTGTTACAGCGTGGTGTCCCCCCTGGGTGAAGCCTGTCAGAGACTCAGAGATGCGCCAGCACCGACGCCAGCGCACCCGTCCACACGGCCAGGTGGCTCAGTCAGCAGGCAAAACCCCCCGAGGACCCCTGCCCCACTCACATAACCTCACTGTTTATTCCCACCCAAAGGACCTAAGCAAAGGTTTCGACTCGGCTTTACGACACCAGCCGAGATCGCTGGCGCGACAGACGACGGTGAAAATCGGCGGGGAAAGAACTGCGAGAGAGAGCAAAAAAAAAAAAAACTCGGAATCCGCACTCTCACGCGACACCATCACCTCGGCGCCCCGAAGCCACCACTTCCAAGTTCCCTCTCCGTCTCACTCTCTCTCTCTCTCTCTCTCTCTCATTCTCGCCTAAGCCCCCGCGTGCCCGTCCCGTGTGCGTGTCATCGCTAGTGTCAGTGTCAGCGGTGTCTGTTTCTTTCTCGGCAGAGCCGCTTAATCCTGCCTCGAATTCTCGTTCACGTCCCCTCATCCCGTCTCATCGCCGCCCGATATCCAGCGCCACCACAACCACCAAAACACATCGCAGCTTTCAATCCTGTGATGCACTCTCGGTCTTGACGTGACCTAACACTATAACCTCGTCGCTGTCTCCCATCTCACTGAGGAACATTTGTCTTGCTCCTACACATCTAAGCGCTGCACCCGCATCTTAAGCGCTGCCGCGCCACTCTTTTTCACTGGGGCACTATCTATAATCTCTCATCTCATTCTCAATCCATACCAAAGCGCCACTCACCTTCATACAACACACTCACACCACCCACAAGCAAATCACGACCACAAACTCACAATGGAGGACCTATTCTCACTCCCCAGTATGTAATCTCATCGCCTGTACGACGATCACCACACACTAACAAAATCACAGTCTTCTTCATCACCTTCCGCGAATCCCTCGAAACCGCCATCATCGTCTCCGTCCTCCTCGCCTTCATCAAGCGCACACTCGCCACCAAAGATGACCCCGTCCTCCACCAAAAGATGGTAAAGCAGGTCTGGCTCGGCACCGCCGCCGGCCTCGTCACCTGCGTCGTCATCGCCATGGCCATCATCAGCGGCATCCACTCCCTCGGCGCAGAGCAGTTCGCCGCCGCAGAGAGCATCTGGGAAGGCATCTTCTCCCTCGGCGCCTCCCTCATCATCACCGCCATGGGCGCCGTGCTCCTGCGCGTCACAAAGCTGCAGGATAAGTGGCGTCTGAAGCTGAGCAAGGCCTTGAACGCGAGCGAGTCCCACTCCGGGCCGTTCCGTGACCGGTTGAAGTACCTCGGCGAGAAGTACGCGCTCTTCTTGCTGCCTTTCATCACTGTCCTGCGTGAAGGCTTCGAGGGCGTGCTCTTCATTGCTGGTGTTGGTGTTAGCGAGACTGCTGCGTCTATTGCTATTTCGTCTATTCTCGGCCTTGCGCTTGGTGCCTTTGTTGGCTACTTCATCTACAAGTGAGTACACTGGTGAATCGAGTCCTTGCCATAAGCAACACCTACTGACTGACTATCTAAAAAGGGGTTCCAAGACGGCGCCGATCCAAATTTTCCTCATCGTCTCAACCTGCTTCCTGTACCTCATCGCCGCCGGTCTCTTCTCCAAGGGCGTCTGGCACTTTGAGCAGAACGAGGTGAGCAGCACCCATTCCCCAACCACAGTCCCAGATTAATACTAACGCACAACTCAAGTGGAACAAGATTGTCGGAGGTGACGCAGCAGAACTCGGCTCCGGCCCCGGCTCCTACGACGTCCGCAGGAGCGTCTGGCACGTCAACGTAAGACACCCCCGCATTCATCACCAGCCATGAACGTATTCTAACACAATCGCAGTGTTGCAACCCCGACCTCAACGGCGGCGGTTTCTGGGGCATCTTCAACGCCGTCCTCGGCTGGCAGAACTCGGCCACCGTCGGCTCCGTCGTCTCCTACAACCTCTACTGGGTCGCCGTCGCCGCGGGCTTCTTCGCCATGATTTGCAACGAGAAGGGGTACTGGCCGTTCGCCGGCAAGGCCAAGAAGATCGCCGACGAGCACGAGGGCGACGACCAGGAGCCGCTTCTTAGCAGGCCCGCTCGGTAAGTTGATTCGCCCCTCGCTGGACGAAGTTGCGAAACCTGCTGTGGGGTTTCGCATCCCGACGACGCACCGAAAGAGGAGATGTAGCTCCCAAAAGGCGACCTAGTATTTTGGATCATGTATAAAGTGGTGAAGCCCGAAAGCGCCTTGGTTAAAAATGGAGATGATGGTTATTTATCCTTGCTATATATTGTATATACGACCACTTATGTATCCAAACCTGCAAAACGTTGATCGCCTAGCCTGACCTTTGTTTTCTAGACTACTTTCATTTGGCTTAGATGCGTCTTCCAATTCTTCAGCAAACAGACTCAAGCTGGCATAGTACGCCTTGCTTCCCACCGACCCAGTTGTTCTTCTCCGGCACTAGAATCATAGACGGCGGGTGATTGTGAAGAGTAATATAATGATAGCGCTGTGGATTTCCCCAAATGTCTTCTTCTACACTCGCCCAAACTTTAGGCTTGGGATGTCATCTTATCAATGTAAAGGTCATTGTGAGGTTGCCAATTCGTTTCCTTTCTTAGGTCTTCTGTTCTGTCTCTCTACTGTACTACCATGTTCTGTAGGTCTCTTGACCATACATCTTATCTTTCACCTTTGGCATCCTGCTCATTCAACCAGAGTAATAAAACTTTTGGTTCGCAGGTGTCTCATAAACGGCCCTCCTCAAAGGACTCTCGAACAAGCCCCGGATTTCGTCAATATCATATCCGGCATTAATGGCAAGCTGCAACATGATGCGCGCCTGCTCGCCGCCGAGGTAACTCGAGTAAATCCTAGTTGGTTCTGGCTGTCAGTGCATGCGAAAACTCAATAATTCAAGGGCAAGAGTGTGGGTGATGAGTCTGATCTAGTGTACGTACAGCGGCCCGGGAACCGGACTAGGGACGCCGGTGCCGGTGACGGGTCGGGCGACGGCGATGGTGGGTATCCCCCGCTGCTCCAGAAGGTCCGCGGCCGCGGCTCGGGCGCTGGGACTCACGGCTGCCGCGCCGGGTCCGAGGATCACTAGGCCCCTGATGATCCAACGTCAGCTTTCTCCTTGGTATCGGAAAGTTTCGCTCTGAAACCCCCGGGACGAACTCACTTCGCGCCGTTGGCAACGGCAGCGTACATCAATGACGCATCGAAACCCTCTGCAAAACTCCAGCGTCAATGTTTTGTCCCGTGTACCAAACTACTATCCCCATGCGCGGGGAGAGGTAATCGGATAGACTCGGGTTGAAAGACTCACGATGACCATAGACAATAATCACAGAAGGCAACTCCGTCACGCCCGTGATATCAAAATGAGGCCGGCCTGTCGGATACGCCGCGTCGAAGAAGTAATACGGCTGCCCCGCGAGGAAGGCCCCGAGGTTTCCCTGCTCAAGGGCCTTGAACGTGTCTGGCGTGTTTGCATTAACCTTGGTGGAGTAATAGATTGACGTGATTCTGTTCGACGCGTGGTCAGTTCAACTCGCTGCCTCTGTCTATCCTCCGTCATTTCTCCTCTCCTCTTCCGATTGACCAGGGGTGTGTATGATGAGTTCGATGAAAATTGGAAAGCTTACCTGTCATTGAAGGCGATGAGACCCCCTCGATCACGCGAAGAAGGAGACGCAGCTGCCGCAACAGCCTGATAGAAATTCGCATGCCCATCAGGAGAGACATACGTATCAGGCCTCATAGACCCCGTCGCGACGAATGGCTTGGAGCAATTAAACGTCAAATCCACGCCGAAAGCCTAGGTTCTCTCATCAGCCAACACTCTCAAAATCCCACATGCAAAGGCACATACCGTCTCCTCAAGCGTGTTCGTCCCATGAAACATAATCGCACCAGCGACATCACTCCCCTCAGCACACACCTGCGCGTTAGCGAGCTGGCTGATGTTGAGATACAGCGACGAGTTTAGCCCCGCGCTGCCGCCGGGGACATCGAGTTCCACAACAGCGAGCGGTGCGACCTCCATAACCTCGGAGACGTTGGAGATGAGGTCGTAGGGCGTTGTTGAGGGGCCGGAGCCGTAGGCTATGTTGTCGAGGCGGCTGTAGTTTGAGGCTGAGAGGATTGTGCCGCCTGCACTGTAGATGCTATGTTGGGTTGGGTTAGTAGGTGCTTATGAGGGGGCGCATGGGGACGGTGGAGGGCTTACATTACTTTCGGGAGGGAGGGGTCTGTTGAGATCCAGTCTAGGTCCCATGCGTTGTTCGTCGTTGAGGATCTACTGATTGGAGAGGCAGATGTGGTTGTTGCCAAGGCCAGCGCCGTGGCGAGTAAGTTGAGGAGCATTGTTGTTGAGGGAAGTAGGTAGAGTCACAACAATCACTGTGCAGACTGTATGATAGTTGAGAGGAAGAATTCATGTCCGTTGATGGATTTGCAGCTACTTTATACTCCTTGAGCCATGTCGAGATATCATCATCTCTATGACTTTGCTTTCGATAGAGGATCCTGTGCAGCATGCACTATTCCAAGCGATTGGTCGTCTGGATCTTTGGAACCTGAAAGTCGCCAATGACGAGGCCCTACACGACAAGAATGGATAGGGTCTATCAACGAACGCATCATCTTATCTCGGCTCCTGTCGCCGACGGCCGACTCTGCCACCGGGGCTTTGTGGAGATAATTCCCATAGTATCAGCGGTGGGAGGACTTGGCAGAGAGACTGATGCTACGAAGCAGAGTTCGTTCTCTACTCTCTCTTCTTCTGGATATATGTGTAGTCAAAGTAATGTATGGACATTCAACTATCGGTATCAGTACCCATGTCGGGGACATCGGTCGGTTGCAGATATGCTTATCCCGGAAGAGCATCGGGCGCCGTCCGGGTGGCGTCATGTTGCGGGGTAGCGCGGGGTCCAGACAGCGGGGGGTAGCGCACCAGATGGCTGGATCGCGCGGGACAGCTCCGAAGGCCGGGGCTTCGCAGCGCGGGTTGCGTGTTATTGAATCTTTGCTTTACATAGAACCGTTGTGCTAGGTATTTGGTTTTTCTTCACCAGTTCTTCTTAGAAGGCTTGTTCCCTCCTTGATGCGGCGGCGACCGTGACGCAGAAGGGAATCCATACTCATTACGCAGATAGACTGACAACATCATCTGGAGTACCTCACGAACAAACTCTTAATCCGCCGTGTATGAGATCACCTCGAGAATAGCAGTCTCTTTGAGTCAACCAACGTAAGATTCGTTACATACAATACAGTCTAATCAAATAAGACCAAGCAACGCTTCAAAGCAAAGCTCAGAGTTTCGTAACCGTCCCCTCAGACAGACGAAAGTCATAGGCAACCTTGGACGCCAGGACCGGCTACGCGGCACCGCCCTTCTTCCTTTCGGCCTCACTCGCAGCTCCAAATCCCAACGCCTTGTTCAGAAGAGTGTCTACGGTTGCAGACAACTCTCCCTTCGGCTTCCCATTGCTGCGAGTACCACCGGCACTCTCACCACTGCTTCGATTCGTTCCTCCCGAGCTATTCGTGTCTTTGGTCTCCTCGGAGAGGTTCCTGTTCAATCTAATTGCCATTTATCAGCATACAGGTTCCGACAAATTTATTCCTCTTCTCTTTCCCCCTTGGAAGTCTGATTTACTGTGTCTCATCCTGTTGCGTCATCTTCGCGGCTGCTGGTGCTGATACTGGTGCTGGTGCTGGTGCTGGTGCTTGTTTGACAGTCGGTGGTGATTGTTTGACTGCAGGAGCACGGGATTTTCCACCGGCCCACGGATCGCTTTGGATGATATTGGCGAGAGAGTCGGGCATCTTAATGCTCACTGCTTTCATGAAGAGGGTATCCATTGTGACGTATACTGAAATGTTGTGACAGCTTCTTGATAGTTGTGACGAGTGGCGGAATAATTGGGCACGGGTCCCGTAACGACGTAACGATGTTACAGCAACCCATGCCCGGGCCATCATCTTCTTTTAAACACCCAAAGGTAATAGGGATGAATTATACGTCATTCAGGGCCCGATGTGCGCTGGTCCGACAATGGCACCACCATCGGGCTGAGTACAGGGATATATAGAGTATCGGACTGTCTGGGGATTCTGGCCGTGCCAGGGACATCGCAGTTCGTCTTGGTCACGCGCCATATCATTAACGTGAGCTGTCAACTATATCCTTATCTCGCAGACGATATCCGTGAGGTGGGCTCGGAATACTCAGCCATCTTCAGAAGATCACATGGCCCATCACGACCGTGGTCCTGCAAACATGAAGTTCGACTCCCATCAAGACCCTGGATCGTCATTGTCGCCCTTTCCGCCTCTATATTCATAGATGAGTCAACCGGCTTTCTTCCTTCCCCCAACATCGCCGTTGCCTGTGCCTACATCACAAAAATAGAAAAGTATCAGCACGTATTCCATCCGTACTCATAAGTCGTCTACCTAGGTGGTGGATAGCCTTGGCAAACCCAAAAACCAAAAGCCAGTAATCGAAGATCACCATAAAAATCGGGTTCTCAAAAAACTCACACTCATAGTACGTAGAGCCCATGATCTCATAACACCCCGACGTCCACTCAGGACCCCCCTCCTCCCCCAACGGACGGTGCACATTCTGTTTCCCGCCAGAAACCCTGCAACCCGCCTCCCACCAAATTCTAAAGTCGTGGTTGACGCCGTGCCAGTCCCGGTAGCGCCAGCTCGCGTTGCGGACCAAGTGGCCGTTGTCGGAGTTCGGGTCATCGGTGTAGTCGAGCGTCTGCATCGTGGCATAGCGCTGCTGGCAGAACTTGTAGACGCCGTCGAAGAAGAACTTGGGTTCGATATCGGCGTGGCCGCGGAAGTCGGCTTCGTCGTGGCATTCGACGGGGGATACTTCAAGGGGGCGGATAGGGGTGAAGTAGGATCGTGGGGTGACGAGGAAGGTTGAGGAGGTGTGGTTAGTGATGGGAAGTGGGTTGGCCATGAGGCTTGTGACGAAGGTAAATACGAGAAGAAGGTAAGTGCTGATGCGAGGCATGGTTTATTCGGCGCTCAAAACAATGTAGCAGGTCGTCAAGATGTGAGGATCAATATCTACAGCCTGAACAGGCGAAGAGCTCTCTTTTCGAGATCAAGTTGCCACAATCCGTGTGTTATTTATGAGCCTTGAATAAACGCATTACTGACTTCCGAACGTCGCAGACTCCAAGGGAGCGCATAGCTTACCGGGAGAGCTCGTACTAGGAGTCCCGGATATCTCGTGTCACCTACAACTTCATTGAATGAGCATCTAGCGCAGCACGAGCGCCGCTTGCAGTATCCTACATCATTCACATTTGGTAGAGAGGGAGCGCTCTTGAAAGGATCAGCGAACTGAGTCCAGGCTTTCTGCTGACATCTGGGTGGGATCTCACTGTGTCGGGTTCCTGAAATGCTCGCCCTGATGTACTACCAGGCGTTGCAAGACCACTTCATTGCACTAGATGCAATGCGTAGTCGAGCCGGGTTGATGAAAGAACAAAGCTAACAATGTAGGCCAAAGGTGAAGACGAACTCGAAGGCCGCAAACCATGCATTTTTTCGCATTACCACTTGATGCCACTAACTGCTGTGCTTCAGGATGGCATGTCACGGTGCTCCCAGCTCGATTGAGTTACCGTGACCAAGCCAATTGTCCGTTCAACGGCAGTGGCCTCTCTTAAACATACCTCCCCAAACGAACGATTTCAATGACGCGCATCGATCAAATGATCCTTCGACTGCGTAGTCTTGTCAGCAACCCAGTTTCCGAAGAGGCATGTGCTAAACTCTCTTTTCCTCACGTATACAAGCGGGGGTCGTCTCAACTCTGCTGACTGGGCATCCCTTAAACGTCGTCTCAAACAGCTACTCGTCGTTGGAGCTATGACTCTGTAGTCAAAACTTCTCTGGACATGTGGACAAAGTGTCTTACGATGACCGGGTCCTCTTAGGTAATCAGAAAAGAGAAATATAAGCAGCTATTACCTCGGCCATCTATGACATGAAGTTGAAGTAAGATGCATCTCCGCGGAGGGAGCGAACATGTTAGTCAGCTTGCCGCCATGTTAAGCATGAGTGACTTAATTGCGAGTGCGAGAGTCCAGTTCATCCCCATCACTTACCTATGTACTCTGTTTCTGACCCGGAAATAAATCCATGATTTGCATCATGCAAGAGCAAAACCTGAATCTTGAATCAAGTTCAAGTAGGTCCAAGAAGAGATGTAGTATAATTCCATGGTTGCTGTAAAGTTGCGCAACTGTTGTCCAACTAACAACCAGATACAACGATTCTACTAGTGTCGGAAGGGATCGCGGGGGACGGGAAGATCCCCGGTACTTCCGCCGCATTTCCGACAAAGTTGGCTCAATATCCCGGTAGGTCATCGGCATTCTGGTTGGCTCGCCGAGCGGTTCCGGTCCCAAGAGCGCAAGAAAATTATTGCTTAGACTGAACAAGTCAATCACCGAGCGATGCCAATTGCAGCGCCTAGTGACTAATTCTCGAGTTTCAAACTTCTTTCTGCCGCCTCTGAGTAGTAGTTACGCGGGGTACAAGTTCTTATTTAAGGCTTGCTGCTATCCATTTACCCTTACCACCACACCGCCTAACCTCGGTAAGAACTAAGAGACGAACTAGGACCTTTTGCCATGAGTCAAATAAAAGGGATCTTGGTTCCCTAAGCGCGAAAGCGCGAGGGAACTGGTTCAGACATAGTCTTTAAGGTGCCGCTCCCCGCCATGGCCAGCATACGGGAATGAAAATCGCTTATTCCCAGGACACACACACGATCAATGTCCATCCAGGTCTATGACGCCACCCTTTTGACATCAGAACGCATGTCGCCCAAGAACAGATTATCATGATGGATAGTACTGAAAAGGAGACGAGGTCCGACTCGTCGCGGAACGAAAGCGGCCTTGTGGGAGAAGAGACGCACCGAACGGGGAGCCGCGTCGGGCGCGTGCTGAGTCGGATCGCGTCGGCGCCAACTGCGGATCCTGGGCCACCGCCTGACGGAGGATATAATGCTTGGATGGCCGGTGAGAATGAGATTGCGTCTTTGCTGATGGAGCGGAACTGAGCGTAGCCGTTGTAGTACTGAGCGCGCACTTCATCTTCATGGATACATGGTGAGTGAGAGACAACGGCGCAACGCAGACTTTCAAAGATTCGCGGCTAACATGACGGGCAATGTAGGGGCTTCGTCAACTCTTTCGGTGTTTTCCAGACATATTACGTTCAACAACTAAAGAGACCGCCATCAGACATCTCATGGATTGGATCCTTCCAAGTCTTCCTCCTCTTCTTCATCGGCGCATTCTCGGGGCGTTTTACCGATGCAGGGTACTTCCGTCACCTCTACTTCTCCGGCTGCTTCCTCATCCTGCTCGGCATCTTTGCGACGTCATGGTGCACGCAGTACTGGCAGATTTTCCTCTCGCATGGCGTCTGCGTCGGTCTGGGCTTTGGTCTGGTGTTTTGCCCATCCCTAGCGACGCTGTCGACCTACTTTGATAAGAAGAGGGCCATCGCCATCGGCATGGCGGCCGTGGGAAGCGCGTCGGGTGGATTGGTGTTCCCGAGTACGGTTCGGCAGCTGCTGCCGCAGGTCGGGTTTCCATGGGCTATGCGCACACTTGGTTTCATTCAGCTTGCGACGCTGACTGTTGGCTTCATCTTTCTCAAGCCGCGCATACCTCCGCGCAAGGCGAGCAAGATGGTGGACTTGGCGTCGTTCAAGGAACTTGAGTATACCTTCTACACTGCCGGGGGGTTCTTTGTAAGTTACCTCCTCCCGTAAATGTAAACGCCGCGCTGACTCGGCCACGCCAAGTCCTTCATGGGAGTGTACTTTGCCTTCTACTACCTGGCCTCCTTCAGTCGAGACGAGCTCGACTTCTCCTACACGGACTCGCTGAATCTCTTGCTGGTCCTGAATGGCATCGGCTTCATTGGCCGCCTAGGCCCAAACTTCCTCGCAGACAAAATCGGCACAATCACCGTCTTCACACCCATGGCTCTAATCTCGGGACTCTTAACCTACTGCTGGATCGCCGTGAAATCGCCATCGGGACTCTACGTCTGGACCATCTTCTTCGGCATCGCGGGTAACGCCATCCAGGCTCTCTTCCCGGCTGGCGTTAGCGCCTTGACGACGGACCCGAGCAAGCAAGGGACGCGCATCGGAATGGTCTTCACGATTGTTGCGTTTGCCGTGCTCACTGGGAATCCGATCGCCGGCGCCATCATCTCTGCTACCGGCGGTCGATACCTTGGCGCCCAGGCTTTTGCTGGTAGCTGTCTTATGTTAGGGACGTTCTTCTTGACCTTGGCGCGAATCGTGAAGACGAAGAAGATTGGCAAAGGTTGGTTTGTCAAGGTTTGAGCTTCATCGTTGTTAATGGGGGAGGGAGGAATGAAGGAAGCTGTACAATATTGTATAAAGCCGAGTCTAGACGTTTAAGGCACCTTTATGTAGTCCTACTCGTATCCTGGCAAAGAGTCTCACCCAATTCTAGTCGAATCAGTTACGACGGTTGTTTCTTCGCTAGCATCTAATAGACCGAATCCGAGAGGCTGACTGATCCCAATCTCCCGGGCTACGTTTGACTTTCGATCACAATCTGAATAAAGATCCGTGATTGAGCTGCTCTGCAAGCTGGCATTACCTCTCTAAGTAGTCAGCCACACGTGACAGAACGCTTAGTCGACTTGGCAGGGGCATAAACGAAGTTACCCTTTTGGTTTAGAGAACCAACTAATTGGGCAGCGCTTGGCTCGTCTCTTTGACAGGCGTAGATACTACATAGTCAGCTTATGTCAAAGTAGGCGCCGCGGTGCCGGTAGCCGTGTTCCCAGCAAAACAAGGTTCAAGGCCTCGATAGCATTCTTGATAAATATCACGCCACTGTCAACTCGAGACTGGCGAGTATTTTAGGAAGGTTACATATAGTGGCCAAGCAATAACTAGCCGCTTGGGTCGTGCGGGTGTCAGCTTGACTGCACGTGGCTCACAGGATCACGCGCAAGGTTTGAGATCCTCATAGATCAACTAGTAGGCTAGATGTAAATTGTATCGTTACTGCGAAGTTGTAGAGACCATCATCGTCATCCTTCTTGCCGTTGGAAAGATACCTTGCGCAACTAGACCACCAATTTTCGGAGAAATTCAAGCATGTTGATTGCTTCATCTGAATCATTTCAGCAACTGCCGAGACCAGATCCGCCCAAGCTTGATGGATTTGTTGAAATCTGACTCGCCAGAGCTCCACCCCGCCATGATGGACGGACACCGATACTAACAACAACCATGAATAGAAGACCGCATTTCTTGATTGAAATCAAACGGGAGCCGGGCAAATTCTGCACTATGAGTGGTGTCCGTGGTGATCCAGATCCACGTGCCCGGAGCCGATTATCTGTTTGTGGTGAGAGCATCGTCCACCATGGTCACTTAGCCCAGTTTTGTCATTGCTGACACGACGCCACAGAGGAAGGGATGTTGTCGACTCTTTAGTCTTCTCGCACCCCATCGTACCCAGAATGCGTGGGCCAAAATGTGGCAATGCTAAATTTAACTTTAATGTTGATAGCCGATATAGATTAAAAGTCCCATCTCTGTTCCCACCCCGATTGGCCACGCCAACATCTTGGTTCTGGAGCTGCCCCGTTTGGAACAACGGGTTCCTTGAATTCCTGCAAGGCGGGTGTCCATGCAACGTGGTTCGGACCAACTTTTTAGATGGATATTCGTTCCTGTTTGAGAAGTCACAACCTAGCGAATAGTTCACCCGATCCCATTACATCCCATCTACTTGGAACTGCGGAAGCTTGGTAAGGGTTCTATTCTATGGATCTCGTTGCCGGCCTCGACCAATATTCTACTCACGATAGCCTCCCTCGAAGATGGATAAACGGCCCTAACCGAGAGCAGCAATCCTTGAGGATATCGGCTCCGATGGGTAATCTAGAAAAAGGGTCTCCAATGTGCTCCACGGCGGCAGCCTGCCGCCTTTAAATATTCTCCTTCTGCCCTACTATTCAGTAAACATATAATCTTTGATGGTCGGCTCCAAGTTCCGGCAGGAGGATCTCCCTTTCAAGAAAGCTTGAGGATTGTGGTCTCGAACGCTGTTCATCCGGTTAAAGTTGCTGCTCCAGTAACACCCCGTAACAGACGTCATGGCCGTCCTCAAGCACTGCGTCTGGCTCCTCTTTGCCGCCGGCAACGCTGCCCTTACCTCTGCCAAGACCACCGCCCACAACTTTACGCAGACGGCGATCGACAATGGAGATGCCCTCGCTCAGCTCTCGGCGCAGGCTCTCGAGGTCTCCAAGGCACTGAACCAGCGGATGGGAATCAACTCGACCTGCACGCCCGACAAGCTTCGCGTACGGAAAGAATGGTGAGTTGCGTACAGGAAGATTGTTGGTTTGTTCACGAAATGCTGATATTGGATCTCCAGGAGAACACTTCCTGCCGAAGAGCGCAAGGCGTACGTCGCTGCGGTCAAGTGCCTCCAGTCCTCCCCTACGCTATTGAACTCCACGGAGCTTCCGGCTGCAAAGTCACTATACGACGACTTTGTCCTGACACATCTCAACCAGACTGGAATGATTCACGTCACGGTATGCCAAGATAGGTACTCTTTACAGATGAACGTGGCTAACTTGGTGGGCTATCTAGGCAAACTTCCTCCTTTGGCATAGATACTTCACATACACGTACGAAGAAAACCTCCGTAACGTCTGCGGCTACACCGGTTAGGACTCTTCGGTTCCTCTATAAGAAACATCTGAAATCTAACTCTCCGCGTACAGGAACCTTCCCGTACTGGGAATGGGGTCTCGACGTCGAAGACCCAGCCAAGTCCCCCGTCTTTGACGGCTCAGAGACCTCCATGGGAAGCAACGGCGCCGCCATCGAGCACGAGGGCATGCACCTCCTCCAGAGCTTCTCCAACACCACCATCATCCTCGAGCCCGGCTCGGGTGGCGGCTGCGTTGAGACCGGTCCCTTCTCCGATATGGTCGTCCACGTCGGGCCCCGGCTGCTGTGGCAGTACGGCACCACGACGCCGCTGAGTGTCGATAAGCCGACTGAGGACCACCCTCGCTGCCTGAAGCGTGATCTTAACAAGCACATTGCTTCCAGATACTCTTCGCTGCGGAATACTACTGAGTTGATCCTCGGCAATGACAACATTGAGTGGTTCCAGGCTGTTATGCAGGGCGACGACAGGTACACGCCTGGTATTGAGGTTGGCGTTCACGGAGGAGGTCACTACACGATCGGAGGCAAGTTCAGACTCACGTGTGTTTGACTCAGACGGTCACTGACTTTCCGTATAGGCGACCCTGGTGCGGATCCCTTCATCTCCCCCGGCGAGCCGGTCTTCTTCCTGCACCACGCGCAAGTTGACCGCGTCTACTGGATCTGGCAGATGCTTGACTTTGCCAACAGACAGGTACGACTTTATGGATACTCAAGATTGAGTCTCATGTTCAATGACAATAACTGACAATGTTTGTTTTTAAAGGATATTTTCGGCACCAGGACACTACAGAATAACCCGCCGAGCGCAAACGCCACCTTGGACGACCTCATTGACATTGCTCCCATCGGCGGATCGGCCAAGCTCAGAGACCTGATGAACACTGTCGGAGGATCTCCGTTCTGCTACGTCTACGAATAAACAGCGAGTCTATACCACAGGGGTTGACTCCCCAAACAACTAACATCTCTCTATCATCTTCTACTGTACATAATTCAGCTGTAAATAGCACTCCTGTACAACTACCTGATTATATAGAATATACAGACTACAGTCTTGTTACACCAAGTGTCATTGATATTGCCGTGTAATAGGATTGGATGGTTCGCGCCGAAGGGCCGACGGATAACGACTGCAACCTCGACCGGCCACAGTTGCAATATGTGTGGACAGCATGCTTGCAGCATCAAGGATTCGTGCGTCAGTTACCAGCCAGTCGGCAAGGCAAATGGTACGACGTATCCCAAAGCGGTCTAGGAGGGACATGCAGAGTCAAGAGTGGCTGACACGATGAGAGAAAAGCATCTCGTCTTATTTGATCCCGCTGAAACCCTCCGCCAAGGAGCGTTCATCTTAAGAATCTTGTCATCCTAAAAGAGCATGCATTTTGGGTAGCATGGATGATGCTATGGCGTGAAAGGGGAAACAGGGGTTTGTTGCGACGAAGAACTCTAAATGTGCGGATGACACCCCAGCCCGCGGACGAGAATCGCGGCAGTTTAAAGGGCTCCGTCACCGATGACCTTAGTAAAGATTTTCTGCTCCCGGCTGTGGAGATCCTTGCCCGGGGATCATATGTCCGTCTTGAAATCTTTCCTTCGAGAATAGAGTTTGCTGTTCTGGAACACGACATCCGCGACAAGATCGCATCAAAAACCGGTCCTGAAACCCCCGCAGCACACCCCAAAACTCCAAAAACTGCGGACAGTCCGGAGAAGCTTTTAAAAGGCCACCAAGCTGGCAAGCTGGGTGCAGAAGATGGTCCTTGAGTCAACAAAATACTCCGGTCTGGTTTCGGTCTCGGGCTGTCAGGCTGGTCTGGTCTAATTCAAGTTCAGTCCCTATAACAGATGACAAGACCGCCATAATCCAAGCTTCTTTTCGGATGATGTTCGAATTCTCTCCTTTGCTGTGATTAGTTATTGGTGATGATTGTGTTTAGTCGGTCCTACTATCATTTTAATCTAAGTCTGTCACTTCTGTAATAATGCCTTCCTTAACCAAATCCCTCGTTTCTCTTCTTTCGGCCGCAATCATCGGCCAGGTCCAGGCGGTTGACCCGCTTGTCGACCTTGGCTATACCAAACTCCAAGGAGTCGCCGAGCAGGGCGGTGCGACTCGATGGCTGGGCGTCCGGTTTGCTGCGCCGCCGGTGGGCCAGCTCCGGTTCGCGGCACCGGTTGATCCCCCGAATACTACTGATGTCGTCGATGCTTCGAATGTAAGAATCTCTTTGAGATGTAGGAAACAGCTCTTGACCTTGCTGACAAGTCTGCCCAGTTCCGCCCGATATGTCTGGCCCGAAGCGCTTCCGACTTCACGATGAAGCCTAACAAGCGCTTCACGACGGACGAAGACTGTCTTTATGTCAATGTCTTTGCGCCGTCCAACGCGACACCTGAGTCCAAATTGCCAGTCATGTACTTCATCCAAGGCGGCGGGTTCCAGTCTCTTTCCAATGCCAACTTCAACGGCAGCGATCTGGCCAGGTTTGGAAACATGTTAGTCGTTCAGGTGAACTATAGAGTTGGTATGTGGTTGAACCTGGTGCATCTTGCACCAGCATCGCGAACTTGCAGAGCAAAGGCTAATGTCAACTACAGGACCCTATGGTTTCTTGCAGAGCAAGGAGGTGGAGGCTGGCGCGAGTATGAACAACGGCCTCAAGGACCAGATCCAAGGCCTGAAATGGCTGAAGCAACACGCCGCTGCTGTGAGCTTTCTTCCAACCCTCTTTTATGTTGCCCCTTTGCTGACTGAACTTCCAAGTTTGGAGGAAACCCCGATCAGATGGTAGCCGTAGGCGACTCCGCCGGCGCAACCTCAGTAGCCATGCTTCTCGCCGCCTTTGGAGACAACGACCCAGGCCTGATCAAGGGCGCCATCATGGAATCCGTCTCCGTCGCCACCGTCCGCACCCTCGACCAAGGTCAAGAGCAGTACAATTGCCTGACCAACGCCACCGGCTGCAACAAGCAAGCCGACTCCCTCGCCTGTCTCCGCGGCCTCAACGCGACGGCACTGCAGACGGAAGACTGCCAGTTCAACCCCAACCTCGACGGCGACCTCGTCAAGGCGCCGACGCTGCAACGCTTCGCCGAGGGGAAGTATCTCAAGGTTCCCACCATTGCGGGAACCTGCACCGATGAGGGGACCAAGAACGTGCCCCAAAAGACCGACACCGTCGAGGAGGCCTTCAAGGACATGAACGACCAGGCCACCCAGTCCCTCAGCAACGCCTCCCTCGCCCTCCTCAAGGAAACCTACCTCGATAAGCCGCAGCCTGTCTTCCCCAAATCAGGTAAACTCTGGCGCCAGCTCGCGACCGCCCACGGGGACTACAGAGCGCACTGCATCACAAAGATCTTCCAGGACGCCATGGCCCGCGATGGCGTAGCGACCTTCAACTACCGCTACGGACCCCTCGACGACGAGCAAGAGGCCCAAGGCTTCGGCGCCTACCACACTGTCGAGCTCAACGGCGTCTTTGGTCCCAATAACACGGACGGCGCCCCGCCAAAGAGCTACTCCACCACCAACGCGCCCATCGTGCCGCTGACGCAGGCCTACTGGGCCAGCTTCGTCCGCAGCCTCGATCCCAACGCTGCCAAGATCCAGGCGGGAATGCCGGAGTGGCAGGCGTGGACCGTCGACGGGAAGCAGAGGCTGCTGTTCCAGAATAACACGGGCACGATGGAGGGTATGCCCGCGTCCCAGCAGGATAACTGTGCTATGCTGGCGCCTATGATTCCGTTCATCGAGACGCCTGCTACGGATGCGCAGAAGGCGTCTGTGAATCTGCAAAAAGCGTCTGGGGGTACGGCGCCGCTGGTTGGTCAGCCTGCCAAGGCTCCGGCTGCTGGGACTGGCGGTGGTGGCATGAATATGGGCGAGTCCATGTCTGGCGGGCAGATGGGGATGGAGTCGGAGCATGGGAACAAGCGTAATGGCACCAAGCACGGCGGGGGAGAGGGCGGCGGCAAAGGTGGTGGGAAGGACAAAGGTAAAGGAAAAGGCATGGGCCACAAGAATGGTACGAGTCCTGATGCCCCGAAGCATGGAGGAGGAGGAGGAGGAGGAGGTGAAGGCGGTGGCAAGGGCGGCAAGGGTGGTGGCAAGGGGATGGGACACAAGAACGAGACGATGCCGAAGCCAGGAGGAGGTGGAGGGAAGGGAGGAGGGAGAGGTATGGGAGGCAGAAATGGGACTAACTCTACTCCTCCTACTGCACCTCCTCGGGTCGGCTCTGCTTCAAACATGGGATACGGACTCACCGGGGTGCTGTCCGCCATCGTTGTAGTATGCCTCGGGCAATTTCTTTTGGTTTAAGCCTGTAGAAAAGGTCGAGATATGTCCGTCGAGAGAGAATCACCAATATTATACAATGTGTTCAATGCCAGGAGCTATACTTTTGACATGCTACGCAAGTCCCCATGTTTATCAAGTGTTTCCGTCTATTTTAAAGCCGTGACTTTGGCGGTCCGGGCTGGCCTACTAGAGCATTGTCGAATAATTGCCCTTGATGCGTCGGTTGAGCGACCAGCCAGCCTTCAATGGCAGACACCAAACCTTCCAACTCCTCGACAGAGTTGCCGGCGTGGAGGCAGATCCTCACCCGCTCGCTTCCTACCGGGACAGTAGGCGCAACAATCGGCCTCAGCATGAAGCCGTGTCTCTGGCAGTGCTGTGCCAGGCCCCTAGGATCCGAAGTAAAGAGTGGGATAATGGGCGATCTCGGCTTCCCAGGCGACAGGCGCATTAGGTTTCTATCAGGCCGGTGACGGTCCAGCATCTCTAGCAAGAGCTCGTTTGTCTGGTTGATGAGGGACCAGAGGTGGCGGAGGAGAGGCTCAGAGTGACCATTTGCGATGAAGTCGTAGGCCGTCTTAATGCTTGCCAGAGACGTGTAGGGCATGGCGGTGGTGTAGATGAGACTGCGGGCGTAGTTGATGAGATATGACCGAGTGATGTAAGAGCCCAGGATGATTGCTGTTCAAAGTCAGCATCAACAAATGGAATCAGGGTGTGGAATATGAACCATACCTCCTGAGCAACTCATCGCCTTGCCAAAAGTGTGGACTCGAGCCCACACCCGATCCTCGAGACCCAGCTCACAAACGAGCCCTCTCCCTCTTTGCCCCAGAAGGCCCGTTGAATGCGCCTCATCGACAACAACCAGGCCGTTCCCACGTGGGAGTAGCCGTTCAACACATTCAACCACTTTTTTGAGCGGCGCCACGTCCCCATCCATGCTGTAGATCCCCTCCACGGCGACAAAGACGCGTTTGCGACCATCGCGTACCAGGCGGCCTTCCTCGCCATCGGTTAACCTAGACAGAACTTCGGACAAGCTCTGGGGCCACTGCTGGGCTTCTGTGGGATCCACTGTATTGTGTGCAAAGGCAATCTTCTTGTCCGCTCGGCTCAGTTTCATGCCATCGTGAACGCTCGCGTGGATGAGCTCGTCATAGACGATGATGTCGCCCGGCTGGGGGGCGCAGCTGAAGAGCCCGACGTTTGCGTCAAAGCCCGAGTTAAAGAGCAGGCCGGCTGGGCCGCGGTGGAAGGCTGTGATTTCTCTCTCGAGGGATTCTGCGAGGGATACGTTGCCGTCTAATAAGCGTGAGCCACCGGACCCAAGGAGCGATGCGCCGTGGGGTTTGCGATTGCCACTGAGCTTGCTGCCAGTACTGCCATCTCTACTGTGTGCCTCCCGGGACGGGGACGGGGACGGGGACGGCTCGAGGTGGGCCTTGATCAGGGACAGATACCGAGCCTGAACCTCGGGGTGGGTCGACAGAGAGAGGTAGGCGTTGGACGAAAAGTCGGCGCTGCCGGCCGGAACGAGGGTCAGCCGCCGGAGCTGGCTCTTTGACTCCCGGCGGGCCAGGAGTGCCGCAAAGACCTTGTCCAGACGGTCGCTCGCCGGCATAGTTTTGAGATGAGCTGTAGCTGTCGGATGATTCCCGAGAAACTTTCCAATGTGAGTGGTTTAGTCACTTTGGTGTAGGTGAAAGGGGAACCACTTCAAACCTCGGCATTGGGGGACTATGGAGCTGTCTGCGGTCCGCGGCGTAGAGAAACAAACGAGCTCAACGAGGGAATTTCAACCCCCTGGCCTGGCCCTGAAGATCTCTCTTAGAGTCCCGCATAGCCGAAAAGCGACGCGAGATGCAAGATCCATGCAAGGACGAACCCGCCCCTGGCCGCGCCGAGCCACCGACGGCACCGTTGAGAAAGCTACAAAAAGTCGTCGTTCAAAAAGAAAAAAGGATAACACTAACACCAACAGAAGCTCAACAACTTTGGCCTTTGATAGCCGCTTGCCCCAGTTTCTCGGCACAACAAATGCCGCAGCGCTAGAACAGCTACGGTATTACGGATACCTTACCCCGCCTGTTCTAACTTCTGTGTCCACTTCAATGTTTCCCCGGCTTCCTTGGACTCTTGGAAACTCGGGAGGTTAGTAATAGGCATTGTGACTCGTCTGGTGACTCTGGTCTCTATTTGGGAAGTTCAAGGTGCATGCTCTGACATCAAGTGAGCAAATAGTCAGTCCCATCTTCAACCAATTGCTCTTGGCTCTTCGTTCCTCAAGTTCCCATCTCACATGGGAGCTTGAACCAGCCAAAAGACCTCAATGGCACCCGTCGGCGCTCTGCTCTGGCGTTCGCTCAGGACATACCAGGTCTATGGCGCCAACACCGATGTCGGCAAGACGGTCTTCGCCTCAGCCCTCTGCAATGCGGCCCGCAACTTCTGGCCGCAGGACAAGACGGCTTTCCTGAAACCCGTCTCTACGGGTCCGGCCACCGAAGCCGACGATAGGTGTATGTTGTGCTATCCGTAACCCAAACTCCACTGTCGACACCACCAATGTCGCTCCCTTGGTTCCGATTTGTGATCTCTCTTGTTCGTAACAGCTGACACGGAGGGAAACAGAAATGCGAACTCCCTTCGGATTCAATTCCGCTCTTTGGCCTTGCTAATTTCGCTTCCGCTTCCCCAGTCACATCTCAAGGTTTGCACCAGGTATCGCGAAGAAGACGCTGTTCCAGTTTGAGATTCCAGCAAGTCCCCATCTGGCCGCTGCAGCGTCAAACCAGGTAAGCTGCCAAATCCATCAATGGAACCCAATCACCTCACTGTTGTTCATCATACTAATCAATTCACTGAAAGCCAACCCCATCAGACAATGAAGTACTAAAAGGCATCTACAATTACTCCTCCGGCCGAGCGGCCGAAGGGCCGGGCTGGCTCTTCATCGAAACCGCCGGCGGAGTCCACTCCCCGGCTCCGTCCGGCACCCCGCAGGCCGACCTCTACGCCCCGCTCCGGGCTCCGGTCATCTTCATCGGTGACGCCAAACTCGGCGGTATCTCCCAAACCATCTCGGCCTTTGAGTCTCTCAAGCTTCGCGGTTACGACGTCGAGAGTATTCTGCTCTTCCGAGATGGGTACTACCAGAACGACACCTACCTGACCGACTACTTCCGCCGCGGACATGGCATCCCCGTCACCGCCGTAGACCAGCCGCCCGCTCGCGTGCAAGACGAGCAGGCCGACGCGAAAGCAATGTCTCGTTACTACGCCGAATTATCGTCAAGCGCAGCCATCAAGGATACGTTGGACCATTTACACGCCCGCCACCTCGCTCGCATCGCCCGTCTGGAAACCATGTCTCGCGACGCGCACGACATCATCTGGTACCCCTTCACACAGCACAAGGGTCTAACACCAGACAAGATCACAGCAATCGACTCGGCCCACGGCGACAACTTCCAAACTCTTATTCCCCAGAGCCAAGAGCAACCCGGTGACCAAGCTCTCCTGCAACCATCCTTTGACGGGTCTTCATCGTGGTGGACGCAAGGTCTCGGCCACGCCAACCCTAAGCTCACCCTTGCAGCCTCGTACGCGGCCGGACGCTACGGTCACGTAATGTTCGCTTCAGCCGTTCATGAGCCCGCTTTGGCCCTGGCCCAGACTCTACTCCAGGGCCTCCAGAACCCGCGCCTTTCGCGCGTGTTTTACTCTGACAACGGCAGCACGGGTATGGAAGTCGCCGTCAAGATGGGCCTGCGCGCCGCGCGGGTGCGGTACGGCTGGGAGGCGAGCGACAAGCTCGAGATCCTGGGCCTCAGGGGCAGCTACCACGGTGACACCATGGGCGCGATGGACTCGACGGAGCCGTCCGTGTTCAACGAGAAGGTGGAGTGGTATGACGGCAAGGGGTTCTGGTTCGAGTACCCGTCTGTTATGTGCAAGGGTGGTAAGTGGCAGGTTCGGGTTCCGGATGTCCTGCGGGAGGAGCTGGGTGCTGGGCAAGAGTTTGGTAGCTTGTCTGCGGTGTTTGATGTCGCTGGTAGAGAGGCGGCGGGTCAGGCGCGGGTGTATGAGGAGTACATCGCCAGCGTCCTGCGTCGTCTCCGGGACCAAGGGCGTAAATTTGGTGCTTTGGTCATGGAGCCTGTCATCCTTGGAGCGGGAGGCATGATTATGGCGTAAGTACAAGACGTCCCCAACGCGTAGCCGGAGACATTGTTACTAAGATGCATACACAGCGATCCTCTGTTCCAGAGCACTCTCGTCAAAATCGTCCGTCAGCACCCCGAGCTCTTCGGGACTGCAACTCAGTCTTCTTCGGCGGCAGACGACAAAACCTGGACCGGTCTCCCGGTAGTTTTCGACGAAGTCTTCACGGGCCTCACCCGACTGGGCCGCTTCTCCGCCGCATCCTTCCTCGGCGTCGACCCGGACGTTGTCTGCAACGCCAAGCTGCTCACCGGCGGCCTGGTGCCCCTCTGCACCACCTCAGCCTCCGACAGTATCTTCCGAGCCTTTGAAAGCGACGAAAAGAGCGATGCTCTGCTTCACGGTCACAGCTACACCGCTCACGCGGTTGGATGCCAAGTAGCCCTCGAATCACTAAGGGAGCTGCAGAGAATCGACCGCGACGGAGAATGGAATTGGGCCAAGACGAACGGGTGGGGGGCTTCGGCCACGGTAGACTCCGCGACTCACATTGAATCTGGCAACTCTGCTGGGGCATGGTCTGTCTGGTCTCAGTCTTTTGTTGACTGGGTTTCGAAGCAGGCTAATCGAGTGGACGGCGTTTGGGCGTTAGGGTCCGTTCTTGCGATTCATTTACAGGATAGCGAGGGTGCTGGATACTCGAGCAACGCAGCCGCGAACCTACAAAGTGCTTTGCTTCAGGGAGAGCATGGTGCCGAGGGTGCAAGATGGAACGTACACAGCAGAGTTCTTGGAAATGTCCTCTACGTGATGACTAGCCAGACAACGAAGCAAGAGGATATCGAAAGATTGGAAAGCTTGTTGCGGAATTCCCTTGTCTGAATACAGGCATGTGCTATGGACAAGGTAGACGTGTAATTTTAGCACCAAAAGTCTGGAATCGGCCCCCGAGCGAATCTACCAAAGCTTGTTGCATAACCTAGTGACTTGGTATTACAGGCGCAGGTACCTCGCGTCTGCTTTCATCATGTGCTCCTTGATACGAAGTATTTAAAGACATATAATCTTGACTTTGCAATGCCTCCCTAGAGCTCGTCTGTGGAGTTTTCCCCGTGGGGCGCGCCAGCTGCTTCATGCCCGAATAGTTTGACGCTTCCATCGGCAGGCGCGCCATGTTCCTCCCTCTCCAAGGGCCGCAAGTACAGCATCTAAGTTTAGCATGAGAGGAACTCGGGCTGGTTTACTATGTCGACTGTCGTGAGAAAGGGCACTTACATAACACTAACAATGAAGAGGAGACCGACACAACCGCAGCCGACACTTACGCCTACCCTCTGCTCGTCTGTAAGATCTTTAAATGTGAGTGCTGGTTCGACACGAGACACGCTGGTGAGATCTAGTAGTACCTTGCATGATGCCGCTTCCGGGCGGCGGCGCTGGCGGCTTGTCTGATGCAGAAGGGGTTGCTTCTGGAGGTGGGCTGTATGACGAAGGACTACCTGTCGGAGGACGACTGTCTGTCGGGGGTGCACCTGGATTTGGTTTCCCGGTAGAAGTACCGGTAGGAGGAGCCAGCGAAGTGTACAATGTCGACGGTGGTGGTGTAGTAGGCCTGGTGGCAGACGCACTACCAGTCAAAGACGGAGTAAAAGATGTAGCCGTCGAAGGGGCCTAACTAGAGTCTGTCTCTTCCGAGGTTCTTCGAGTGCTCGTCGGTTTTGGTTTGGGATCTAATTGCGTCGTCATTGGTCTTGCGGCACAAGAGAAGGCCGTCTGCTTGCCCCCAGGCCAGGTGAGTGTTGCGCAAAAACGGTCTGTTCCCGTACTATTAATATCATGTTAGAAGAGCTTTGTTCATTGACTTGATGCATGTGTATCCACAAGAAGTGCATGTAGCAACTTACCATATCAAAGTTCTGCTGCCTGGGTTTGATACTGTGGACTGCTCCGACCCAGGGTAGCATGTGTTGTAGATTGAACAGCTACGGCCATTATCATCGCAGCATCCGATGAAGTTATCCTTGTTGGTCCTGCAAGAGCCGTTGTTCGGGCATGCGAAAGGCTTGTCTAGAAAAGCCTCAGCTGCATGATCTCAAGGATTCGGTTATACAATGTCTACTTACTCGCAACGTAGCCACAAGTGTTTGGGTCTTGTAATTGCCTGCCGAGGATGGCTCCGGATTGAACCGCGGCTGCAGTCATTGTCATGTTTGCCTTGTTGATGTCTACTGCTACATGACGAGGAGCCTGAGCGGCAGCCACAGTCCATTCAAAGAAGAAGCAGGCTAGGAGAAGAGGAAGCATTGTGAGATTGGAAGAGTCGATAAAGGGTGTCGAATTCGCCTATCAGTCATAAGCTGTCATGTAACCGAGTTTGCAATTTCAAGTCTATACAAGTCTTTCCTAGGGGTGCTTCTTCTTAAGCAAACTTTTCCCTTCACTGTTACACCGAGGCATCTATGTGAATGATTAGAGTGAATAGGTCGAAAGTGAGACCTTGTCCCCTCCTGCTCATCTGGCAGCCTTACGATTGGAATGATCGACTCGCGACGCAGTCTGCCCGGAACGCCTAACAAGATGCTTCCGGCGTGAAAGACACAAGAAGACAACAAAATTCTCCAAATTACCTGCTTGGCCAGGCTGAGTGGCTTGTTTAGCACTCATACATGAGGCACATTAAGCATTTCCTAATAGCTTCTCGTCCGCCATCTGAATAGGCTGCCTACATTTGAGTTCTAGAGGAAGAGGTGGTCTTGGCAACAACGTGGAAGAGGACAGTACTTGCTTCTTCCCTTCTGGGGTAGCAGCCTTCTTCTCGTTCGTCTTAAATGCTCGCACGTCGACTTTCCAATTGCTTTCCACGACATGTAGCTCAGTTCCCTAGATCATTACAGGTTTTCAGTCTCTTAAGGACTTTACACCGAAGAACTCATGGCCAATATGACTGAACGGTGCGCGAGCCTGGAAGATCTCAACGACTTCAACCTCTACATTGAACAGCTCAAGTCAACAACGAGCTTCAACATCACCGAACTTGATCGATGCAAAAAAGAGATATGCGGCGCCATCTGGGGCGATGCCAACCCCGATATCTCAGGAATAGGGGTAGTTAGGCTTCACTTAACTGACACCATCTACCTTTCCAACGGTACTAAATCATAGCATCAACAGGTTTCTATCGGTTATGCCGTCGAACTAGCCCTGGGCTTCGTCCTAGCCTCCCTCATATTGATAATCCGCCAAAGGCACGGTCCAAGAGCAGAGTTCTTCCAACTTGTTCTCAAAGCCGGCTTCGACGCCTTCTTCGAGTTCGCAATTTACTTTGCCGTCGCGATCGAACTCGCAGCGATAGTCATGCTCGTCAACAAGGACTTTGGCATGTCCACAGCTGGCTTCGGCGCTAATGAAGCCCAGATCGCCCTCGCCGTCTCCGTCGTCTGCATTCTTCCGCTTCTGTACCCCATTGCTCTTTTACCCCTGGACCTGTTCCATCCAGAGAGCGAAAGACAGACGCAGCAGAATAGCAGAAAATTGCAACAGCGCCAGAGACGACGACGGGACTTCAGCCTGATGCTCTTCGCCCTTGTCTGCGTCTTATTCTTCTACCCCCTCCTGTCGCAGTGCATACACAATTGGGCACCGCTCCGCGTTGGCGAGGGCAATGGCGGCGATGGGAAACCATACGTCACAAAGGAGAAGTGGGAGAGGATCCAGGACATGTGCTTCGGCGAGGTCAACAGGTACACCGTCAGTGAGCACTGGGCCCTCGCCGTATGCGAGATCATCGCCTCGTTACTCATCTTCTTATTCATGTTGTGGCACGCCATGGAGCTTGGCCTCCGCAGGCTACAGACGCAGGATCGGTATATTGGGAAGGATCGCGAGCGGACCGCCGCTCTTTCGCGGACTCGACGGTTCGTCAAGCGGGCGTGGGCGAGTCAGAGTCTGGTCCAGGCTCTGCTGCTGTTCGTCCCGCTTTTCTTCGGTTGCGTACTTCTTTGGTGCATCTTCCGTCTGAGGAGCATTCAGGCGGCGGCGGCGAGCAACATGGGGAGCGAATATGCTGGGAACGACTGGGGGTTTGGGCAAATTGTTGGTATCATCATCTTTGCTCCTGTCCCTACGGAGATGCTATTTGCGGCGTGGGAGGCACGGTCTCTTGTTTTGAGGAGTGATTACGACAGCGTGAGTAGTCGTAGCTAGCTACCCTGCCTGCTCGAGGTTTTTATTGATCTTGCTATCTTCGAAATCGATGTCTTGAGAACTGCCTGAACAGCACGGCCAGATATTTTGCGAACATTTACAATATGCGTCAGGCTAAGGTACAGCAATGCACGTCGTTCGCTGACTGATATATTGGGCGCGGGAGGCAGGCAGGTTTTCGAAGAAGAGAGATCTTCGCATGGGACCTTGCCAGGGGCCTCTGCTGTTCCGATGCATCAAACCCATACAGAAAAGTCTGGATGAAGCCACCAACCGGGCCTTCCCCAGGGAGTGAGTTACTCAAAGCAAGGACGGAAGGCTAGAGCGCGACAGGCGACGAGGACCTTTTATGCGGCCGTCCATTTTAAGGTGCTGTTTCACCCGGAGTTAGTGTTGGGTCGTGGTTGCAATTCCCGGGTGAGTGTATGAGTGGTCGCCCTATGCGAGAACGAGGGTGGAGTTAAGACTAGAGGTGCAGTCGATGACAGAGAGCACGGAAGGGAGGACGACGACGCAGGATGATGAGATGGGATGAGCGTCGTACGTGGCTGGGATAGCTAGGTGACAAGAGTGTAGCTTGTGAAGTTAGGTATGCTTCAAGTTTCCTCTCGGCCGAGAGGTGCGCCTGAGTCTTACGAGTCTCTGCTCATAAGTAGAGTCCAAGGATGCTATCCGCGGAGTCAAATAAACCGAGGCACCACAAGATAACTGCGATATCCCCGTGCGAAATGCAGAAGGAGTTGAAGGATTCCCGGCGCTATGAAGTGAATAGGCCGACGTCCAGTCCATGTCTGTGTGTCTCTTGATCAGTGATCAACGTAACAGAGCAGCATGTTAGCGCTGCCTTATTTGCTGTAGTCCGTAGTAGGTAAGGGTCTTTTGCCAAGTTCAGACTAGAAGGCGAATTGGAAGCTTCTGTCGCAGAGATCTGCGGCGGTTTAGAAATCCTTCGCCCAACTTGTGTGGGTGTGTGGCAGTGTGAGTGAGAGTGAGAGTGAGAGTGAGAGTGAAAACTGAAAGTGAGTTTGTGTGAGTGAGCTGTGAGGTCATGGGCTGCTGACGTATGCGCCACTCCCCGGGCCCCAAACTCTGATGATCCTCTTCGTCCTTGTCCACCACACACTATCCGTACGACCACAAATCACGACAAGTTGAACCAGTAAAGACGGAGAGAAGTTAGCGCAGCGGCCCCAGGGAAAAGGGAGGAGATCTGCAATCTAATCTGTCCCGTGCGCCGCCAAATGCCGACCGCTTCCCGCCCGCCTTGCCGCCGCGCCTCAAATGTTCCGTTCCAGTGCGATCCTCTGCTTTTTTCAAGCTTTGCTCAGTCATACTCGCAGAAGATCACTGATCCTGGTCGGGCCAGCCGTCTTTCCGTACCCCCTTGTTCTGCAGATGCAGAATTGCAGACTGCCGCGCCACTCGTTCAGATTCAAACAAGTTGTGGAGATGCCTAGGCACAGGAGCAGAGCCAGCAGAAGCTTGAGCAACTCGAGAGATACGAAGAGATCGGGCCCTAGGCCACATCTCACAGGCTCGCAGCCCATTGGATCGAGTTCCCACATTCTCGAATCACACACCAAGTTCTCTCCGAGCCCTCCGAAGGAGAAAAGCGGATATCACGGCCCGTCTTAGCATCAAAGCTTGACCTTTGATCCACCCCACACACGCGTACGGTAGCGCCTGCAACGTTGAGGCACTCTTGCATTTGTAGTCCTGTCACTGTGAGGCATATCCAGGTGGCCAGGGCCCAGGGGGTAAATGACAGACAGACAGACTGAGACCAGTCAGGTCCAATATTCGCCGGTTTGCTGCCCAGTTCGTCAACGGCGAGCCCGTACCTATCAGACTAAAGTCAGTCAAGGAATCTACCTACTCCCTTACTCTCTATCCGCACGTTACTGTACTGTGAAAGAGCAAGGAGGTCCCATCAAAAAGGTCTTCAACATGCCGTGAATGTCACCCGAAGTGCGGTTTCGCAATCGCAGTTCGGACTCGAGCGAGAAAATCCATAGACCATGGTCCATGGATGAAGCAAAGAGTATCCACCACCCCCGTCCGCCCCCCTCTATGCCCCTTTTGACGGCCGAATTCCGTCCTCAACTCCTCCGTCCTTTTCGCCCCACACTGCCCGTACGTGCCCCGCTAGAAACCGGAACTTGTTTCTGGCAGTTCGCGAGGGCAAAGGTGGGCAAAGGCCGCACACCGGCGGTGACACCTTACACTAGTTCGCGGCTCGCCCCTAGAGGACGACCGATCTTCCTGCGTTAGAGACACGGCTTAGTTCAGCACTGAGCAACAAACGAACTCGAAACAAGCCTTTTCTTCCCTCCTCTCTTCCTCCTCCTGCTTCAGTCTTTGCTCCACTCGCGGCGCCGGCGCACCTTGGAGCGCCGACCGGCCGATAGCGGTCCCGGCCCTTGTTGCAGCACGGTGGAACTGCTGCCATGTGGGCATGACGTCTTCATCTCAACTCCTTCGCCGAGCTATGTCCTTCTTCGCTGAATAGGTGTGCGGACTTGAGCATCATGGGAAAATGCCGCCGCATAGCTGGGGCCCAGAACCATGCTGGACCCAAAACTATGTTTTGCTACCTTTGCCTGGGTGAGGAGAGAGCACAGCTTCTTCCGATTGTATAAAGACTTTGGCTTGGCCCCGTGAATCTTGGTATTGAAATCACACACATTCACACATCTCACTCTCACACGTCTCTTGACTATCATCATCTACAATTGCAATATAATACAGCTTATACCACTTAACACATCCAACCAACGATAACACCAGTACCACCATACGATACCAATTTACTACTGTTGACAAACCAGCACTGCACTACTTCAGCATGGCACAGCCCCAGTACGGAAAGCGCTTGATTCCCCAGGTCCTCGACGAGGTCGCACAGTCAGAACCCAACAGAGAATTCATCTCCGTCCCCCGCTCCTCGAATCCCCAAGATGGCTGGAAGCCCATCTCCTACAAGCAGATCGCCAACGCGGTGAACCGGATAGCCCAGAGAATCATCGACAAGCGCGGCAAGCCCGAGCCCGGAAGCTTCCCGACCCTCACCTACATCGGCCCCAACGATGCCCGCTACATGATCATCATGATCGCCTGTATCAAGGCTGGATACAAGGCTCTACTAATCTCGCCGAGAAACTCCTTTGAAGGCCAGATGAACCTGTTCGAGAAGACAGACTGCCACATCATCTGCTTCGACTCGTCCTTCAAGGACGTCATCCAGCCCCTGCTGGAAGAGCGCCCCATGGACGCCATCATGGTCAGCTCGGCAGACGCCTGGCTCTCGGACGAGGAGGTACCCCATTTCCCCTATACAAAGACCTACGAAGAGGCGCAAAACGATCCTGTTGTCGTCTTGCATACGAGCGGCAGCACGGGTCTACCCAAGCCCATCGTCGCCCGCGTCGGCATGATCGCCGTCGCAGACGCCTTCCACAACCTTCCCGATTTCATGGGCTCCGAGAACTGCGTCAAATCCATCATGCACGGCACCCGCCTCTTCCTGCCAATGCCCCTCTTCCACGCCGCCGGCTGCTACATGTCAACGTTCGCCACGATCTACTGGGGACGGCCCGTCGCGCTGGGCCACACGGACCGGCCCCTGACGCCGCAGACTGTTATCGACGCTGCGCAGTACGCCAAGATCGACAACGTGATTCTGCCCCCCGCCATCCTCGAGGAGATGAGCCACATGCCCGAAGGCATCGCAGCGCTCAAGAAGTTCAAGCGCGTCAACTTTGGCGGCGGCAACCTCGCTCGTGGCGCCGGCGATAAGCTTGCCAAGGAGGGCGTCCCCGTCTCCAGCGTTATCGCCTTCACCGAGGCCGCGCCTCTGCCGTACTACTTCCAGAAGAACCTCGAACTGTGGCAGTGGTTCATCGTCGACTCTGACAGGCTCGGTGTCGACTGGCGCCAGGCCAGTGGTGAGGACGAGGATATCTACGAGCAGGTCATTGTCCGCAAGGAAAAGGCGGACCCCCTCCAGGGCATCTTCTACACCTTCCCCGACGTCAACGAGTACAATACAAAAGACCTGTACCGCAAGCACCCGACCCTGTCCAACCACTGGATGTACTACGGCCGCTCCGACAACATTATTGTCTTTTCCAACGGCGAGAAGCTCAACCCCGTCACCATTGAGGAGATCGTCACCGGCCACCCCAGAGTCAAGGGTGCCGTTGTCGCTGGCGCCATGCGCTTCCAGCCCTTGCTTGTCCTCGAGCCCACCGAGCCCCTGACCTCCGAGGACGATATCCAGCAGTTTATCGACGATGTCTGGCCCCTGGTCGTCAAGGCGAACAAGGAGACCGTCGCCCACGGCCAGATCGGCCGCGCCTTCATCGGCGTCACCAACCCGGAGAAGCCCTTCCCCCGCGCCGGCAAGGGCACCATCCAGCGTCCCATGGCTCTGAAGCTCTACAAGGAAGAGCTCGACGAGTGGTACAACAAGGCCGAGGACGGAGCTGACTCACTGTCCGTGAACATTGATGTCTCCTCCCAGCAAGGCATGATCGACTCCATTGAGAAGCTTTTCCAGCAGACCCTCGGCAGCCGCGCCCTCTCCGCCGACTCGGACTTCTTCAGCGCCGGAATCGACTCCATGCAGGTCATCAACGCTTCCCGCCTCCTCCGCAAGGGCCTCGAGGCCGCCGGCGCAAACATCACCGCCGACGCCATCGCCACCCGCGTCATCTACGCCCATCCCACTCCTCGCCAGCTGGCCGCCTACCTCATGGATCGCGTCAGCAAGAACACCACCGCCGACAGCAACGGCGACGGGGCGAACCACGACATCCATGCCATGGAGGCCCAGCTGCAAAAGTACACCCGCGACCTCCCCAAGAGCACCAGCACCAAGTCTGCGCCCAACGACAAGGGCCAGACCGTCCTCGTCACCGGCACCACCGGCGCCCTGGGCTCCTACCTCCTCGACTTCATGGAACACAACCCGGCCGTGTCAAAGGTCGTCTGCCTTAACCGCAGCGAAGACAGCGGCAAGCGCCAGGTCAAGATGTCCGCCGAGCGCGGCCTCGCGACCACCTGGAAAAAGGCAGAGTTCCTCTGCGTCGACATGGCCAAGAGCAACCTCGGCCTCGAGCCGGAAGTCTACAACCGTCTCCTGAAGGAAGCAGACCGGATCATCCACAACGCCTGGCCCGTCAACTTCAACATCTCTGTCGAAACCTTCGAGCCGCACATCCGCGGTGTCCGCCACTGGGTCGACTTCTCCCTCCGCGCCGCAAAGAACGTGCCTGTCGTCTTCGTGAGCTCCATCGGCACCGTCGATACCTGGCAAGGTCCCGGCCCCGTCCCGGAGAAGAGGCTGATGGATCTGTCTCTGCCGAGCACGGGCTACGGCCGCTCCAAGATGGTCAGCTCCCTCATCCTCGATGAGGCGACGCAGGTCTCGGGTGTGCCAACAGCGGTCGTCCGTGTCGGACAGGTCGCAGGTCCGCAGTCCAAGGACGGCGTGTGGAACAGACAGGAGTGGCTCCCCACCATCATCGCCAGCTCCAAGTACCTCGGCGTGTTGCCGCGTGACCTCGGCGCCATGGCGACGGTCAACTGGACCCCCATCGAGGGTATCGCGAACCTCATCCTCGAGGTGTCCGGCATTGCTGCCCCCGTGCCATTGAAGAAGATCAACGGCTACTTCCACGGCGTGAACCCGCGCACCGTGCCCTGGGAGACCCTGGCCGAAGCCGTGAGGGAGTTCTACGGCGACGGTGTCATCAAGAAGCTCGTGTCCTTCAAGGAGTGGGTTGAGTTGTTGGAGAACAGCGCGGCGACCACGGATGATGTTGACAAGAACCCAGGTATCAAGTTGCTTGACTTCTACCAGGGACTGGCCATGGGTGAGGGACAGGGTGTCGAGTTCTCCATGGAGCGGACGACAAAGAGCAGCAAGACTATGAAAGAGATGCAGGCTGTGACGCCTGAGTTGATGCAAAACTGGTGCAGACAGTGGGCCTTTTAGGGAATGACAAACATTTGGGGAATGGGAAAGCATAGAGTACTATTTTTTTAATAATGTGCATAGATGAGATATGACAATTAAGTTCCAAACATCTGACAAGCCTGTGCTATTTCCCTTCCACCATCATCTCCTTGTAGAGCAAGACACTCAACGATCCGGCACAGTCTGTTTGTGGTTCCAAACATCTGACAACCCTCTTTCCCTTCTGCAATCATCTCCTTATTCAGAAAGACATTCAACAGTCCGGCACAGTCTGTTCGCCCTCGCTTGCCGTCGTGCAAACTAGGGACAACCTTGGTAGCGAAGCTGTATTCAGTTGATACCATTGTCGATTACGCGCCAGAAAGTGAACAGCTGCCTCTCACACTATATTCAATGTGGTCAAGTATAAGAGGATGAATGGTATTTTAACCTACGCTTCTCAATCATCAATGCAAATCCAAATCATGTAAAACTCGATAACTGAACGTGTTATTGAAGATGGTCTCATCAAATTCTGCGCAAGATATCTTCTTCCATCGTCCTCACGCCTGAAGAACGACCATCTTGAGTTCAAGCAACCCAAAGACCACCAGAAAATGAGTCAACAGAATAACGACGGCACCAAGGGCGATACTCCTGCTCCATCCACCCAGGAAAAAGACTGTGATAATCCACGACATTGCGTGAAATCAACACATTGGACCTCAGACCCGCCCCTTCATCCTGAACCCACGCGAGTCGGACCACTCTCCGTCCATGAACCATGTGAAACACTTGACGGTACCGTTCTCGGTATACGAGTTATCTGCCATCTACAACACAGCTGCCCAGGTGTGCATTTCGAAAAAAGCCCAGACCTGCGCAGTGGGGGGAGACAACAACAATTCCAATACAATACAAGTCGCGAGGCGGCGGAAACAGTAGTCGAAGCGGAGCTTGCAGATGCTCAGAAATCGCAAACTGGAAGGTTTATAACAGACAAGCCGGAAGAGCGTACAAACACCCGGGACCCGGGGCCTTCTCAGAGTTCCGGATAGAGTCGCGAGACTCCTCGGACTCCAACAATAACTAGTTGAGGGGGCTTCCCGTTGAGGGCAAAACAGTAGCAAGATACTTGAGACTTGGGTTGGTCATGGGATGACGATGGTACTTAGACTCTAGTCCTTACTAGGAATTGCAAATCAACCACAAGTCCTATGAGCTTAAACAGTCTGGTCCAAGTCTTTGATGCTACGAGTGAATAAAACGACGAGTTCATGGCCGTGGTAAAGCAGATAATCACAGCTATCTACTACGGAGCGTATGAAGCATAAAGTTGGATTGGTTTTTGTACCTGTTCCCAAAGCTAGAAGTTCACGGCGGACCTGAAGACTGGGTGGAATCTGTTGCTCCATTACCGTCCAAGAAATTGATCAAGCCCAACGCCTCGGTCAGTAAGTCTTACAACAACATCCATGCCAGACAGAGGTAGCTTACGGAACCATAGCAAATACATCATTCTGCTGCTACAGCAAGACATTCAACGGTCTTGCACAACTTGTTTGCCCTGTCTCGCATTCTTGACGCTGTTCAGATGTCAAAGAACGAACAGCTTCCTTTCCAACTTTCATCACTGTGTTCAAACATCAAAGAATGCGCAACAGCTTTGATCTCCGAACTAGACCCACATACGCATGAAGTCGATAGATAAATACACGTTGGATTCATAGCACACTTACATGTAGACAGCCTTTCCCAAAGACTGCGCAAAAAGTCATCCGTCAATCCACAACGGCTTTCGTGAAAAGACATTTCGATCTCGACCCGAAAAGCTATCAGAAGATGGGGTCATGCATGTCTAGCAGTACCGGGGACAACACTTCGTCCGTTCAGCCAAGAAGCCGTCTACCGCATCACGACCAACCGGCCCACCGACCCAAACCACTCGATGAGAACGAACCAAACAACCTCGGGAGAAAAGCTTCCCCACATGGATTGCTTCATCCAGAACCATACCTTGGTGGGAGACCACCAAGTCCATACACCATAAAGGATGGTTTAGCATCGGTCATGCGTGCAGGACAGGAACCGGAAAGACTCCAAGAAAACAAATAAGCACGTCTTGCAAACGCCCGGGACGAGAGACCATCTTAGAGGTCCTCGTGGAGTCTCTCCAGATTGCATTGGTAACACATTATCCGAGTTTCTCGGTGAGAATCTTTCATTATCAAGACATTGGAGGGTTTATACAAGGCGATGAATATTGCTATGAGGCTTGCAGATCAAGGCGTTAGGTTCATGTTTTCGGGTAGGTTGTGAGGCATTATAATTTCGGTTAGTGGTATCTTAGACCAGTAGCAAGCTGTCAGCATCGATGAAAGTTAGAAGTGCAGTCCGAGTCCATGTTCCGTGTAGGCCGCAGTGGAAAGAGGTGACAAAATATCCATTACTCCAACCATCGATTTCTCCTCTTCCCATAAATATCGTCGTATGGGCTTGGGCCAGAATAAATTTAGGCCATAGAGCACGTACCAGACGCGCCATTCCCAGTAGTTCAACAGCAGTAACAATTACAAGAAGAATGTCTCCAGCTGTCTGCCATCTTCCTATGCCAGTACCTGATTTACTAGCAGCTCGAGTCCCTCAGGTGTGCCCGCAAACATGAACAGCGGCTTCGACCAGGAAGCTCTTTCTTTCGCCCCTGGCAATGTTCAGGTTTCAAGGAAAAGAACAGCCTCCTTTACCAACGGATTTCTAAAATACCATTCTAACATTATCAATAATAATAGATGATAGTACGTCGACCATAGCATGAAGTGAAGCGTCCAAGAAAAGGAAGAAGGGAACTCTCATCAAATCTTCTCCTTGCAGATAACAGAGTAAAGCGTTCTAAATCAGGAGAAGCCCCATCAACCTTGGGAGAAGAGTGCTTGAAGATCCCTCCCAGAGAGACTGGGAAAAGGGGTTCTGTAAGCGTAAAAGACCCATTGATAATACGACACGAGATACCCATAAACCTTTCTGAGGGGACGGAAGAAGGCGTTCTGAAGGGAGAAACTACAACGCGACAGTGGAGGAAGTGACAGATCCAGACACCAAGTGAGATTCATCCAGTATGGCCTCCAAGAACCACAAAAAGCACAACGGTCGGTCCATGTCTTGCAATTGCAAAATTTCGGGAAACCCTCTTACCATTTCGAAGTAGGAGGTGAAATCTTTATGTATAGCTGCCCTCGAAAAGACTAAAGGTCTGTTCAAATATACTGCAGTCAATGGAATGATTCTTCGTAGACTGCTATCGAATCAGTGCTTGATGCCAGTAGCTCAACGTAGACCTACCGTTGGCATCCTATTATGACCAGAAGGCACTCATTTTCAGGCCGAATTGAGGGCCTGCAAATCTAAACCGTAGGACGCCCATTATTCTCTACTTCTGATCGAAAGTTCCTCCGTAATGCATCTTAGTCAACTCCTCTGAAGGCTCCAACACCAAAGAATCAACATAGAAACCTCACAGCCCAACATCCACACAATCATCGCCAACTTGATTCTTTTACTTCACAAAACCCGCTTCAACCTAGCGACAGGCCCAGCCTTCCCAGGATTCTCCCGATGAAACTCCAACACCCACGAATCACACCCTTGCAGATCCCTCGCCGGCTGCCACGTCGGCTCAGCATACTCCCACTCAACGAGATACTGCAGCCCCGTCCGCGGCGTCTTGCCGGCCCCGGACCACCGCGAGTCCAGAATCGAGCGGAACGCCCAGCGCTCCTCGTCGGGCTTTCTGTCGTCGTGGTACTTTACCACGACGCGGCCCTGATTTTCGGGTTCTGGCTGGGTGATTTCCATCACGACGAGGGCTGCGTGTGTCGTGCGGCGGGCTGTTCGGGGGTAAGTGGTATCTGGGGAAGGTGATGATGATACGGAGACAGGTTCCGGGTTCAGCAGCTGGATTGCGTTAGTTTGTCTGAGCCAGGGGTCGAAGAGGAGGGACCAATCGAACCAGATCTCGGGGGTGAGTCTACTCTGCGGACAAGGAGCATCAGACTCGCACACACCGAATCGCTTAGAGGTGATAAAAGAAGGTAAAGAGGACGCACCAGCCCGCGACCACGAAGCATCAACAGTTGGCGCCGTCACCCACGCGTTGCAAAAGAGGCCTATAACGCCCATAAAGACCTGGATCGTCGAGCGGCGGGAACCAAACGCCCAGCGGTTCCAACCCTCGAACTGGGCGCAGAGCTTGACGAGGCAGAAAATCAGGGCTCTGTCTGCGAACTGCGGGCCGGGGCCGGTGACCTGGTTGAGGTAGGTCTTTCGGTCTGCGGAGCTCGTATTGGAGACGATGTCGTTGACTCTGTCGAGGATCGCGAGCTCGTCTAGCTGGGGTGAGGGCTGTGCTTCAGGGTGCTCTAGTTCGATGACGAGGGTGCGGATGACGGCGCGGACGGGCGGGAAGCGCATGAAGTTGTGGAGGGCGTTGATGGGGATGTCGAATCTTCTAGCCAGGTTGGCCAAGTCAGTGTGTACGGCTACATTTGGTGTATTTGAGGGACGACGTGGGTGAATGGACTGAAAGTAGTAGTCGCTGGGCCAGGTTGATCTGGTTCTCTTACATGGGTGAGCAAAGTTGACTTCGAGGATTGTAGCGTCAACCTCTGGCTCGTCGTAAGTCCACCCCGGTAGGATGTGACGCTCTTCTAGAGCCGAGTTCATGAGCCTAGTAAAGTGCTCGTCTGTGCCAGTGTTGTAAGTGTTCTTGGTGTTGGTGTTGGTGTTGTGTCCAGAGACCAGCTTGGACACAATGGCACTACGCAAGCCCATGTTGTCAAAGGTATTGTTGTGTATGCGGGATGTCGTGTGAAGGCACGCAACTTATGAAGAAAATACAATGGTATAGTAATGTAATACAATAAGAATGTTCGATTTCAAGAGAAGAAAGTCTATGGTCTGTGAAATGAAACCTCTCTATCTACGAGAATTCTCCTCGAACATATACTCTAAACTGCAATTAAAAGGCACTGAAGTATCTTATTGACGATCAAAGACAAGTTCAACACTATGTTTTCTGTTGTGCCTCTTGCCTTTCACATGGTTCAAAGATGCCATGACCAATTTGAGATTTTGACGACAATGGGCAGCCAAAGAAATCGACATGCCCATAAAGACTCTGTCTTCAACGGATAGTTACCCAAGCCTCGAAACGTCCGAAACGCAAGTCCGTTGTCAAAGAACGTTGTTGCTCAGGTTCTACAAAAAGAAGACAAGCCATTGTTTTGCTGATTACACTGCCCACTCTGAGCAAGTCCGGCCTTCCTCAAGAGCTTCACTTGATGATGGAACCCGAATTGGCAGAGAGAGGCTGAGTTGGTTCGCAAGACATCGCCAAGCTCGGGACTAGGAGTGCATCCTGTATGAACACTCCGCAACTTCCTTCACATAGGCGGTCACATTACAGAAGTTGAGACGTTGACGAAGTGTGCGTAATCTCAGTTTGTCGGGTCGCAGATCCGAGAGACTAGCCCAGCAGCGAGTGTGCCAAGACCGGGTTTATAGTGGCACAGCTTGTCTTTTCAAACACAACATGCGGCAGCCCTGCAGTAGACGGAAATCGGTCTTGTCAAATGGGGCAACGCGGCTCATCAACGACAACAACGACGAGCGGGCCCAAGCTCCTGACGATTCCATGTGTCGTCTACCTTCGACGGACGTGACGCATGACATGGCGCTGGCGATGGTTGACAATCTACTTGGAGTCCTTGAATGTATATCCACGTTGGGTTTGACGCTCTACCGTGGTAGACAATACACGACAGGTGACAGACAGACCAGCCCCAGTGAGGTGCTCACATGGCCGTGCGGGGTGTACCTCTCACGGCCATAGATGGCATGGAGTGATCATGAATGAAAAAAAAACGCTAGGGATGGGTTGCTGTGCTCTGGACTGCATGTCTGGGATTCCTCCCGCAATAGGCGCCGAGCAGAGACAGGGACGTCCAATGAGGGGCGGTGCCTGGGCAGGCCACAAGTCCCTCGACTTAGCCCTGTGACTGACAGCGCTGGCCAACGAGATGATGCTTATCAGATGACTTATGGGCAGCTTGGAGGCGAAGTAAGAAGGAGAGAAAAGGAAGATACAAGCGCGACGCAATACCACCTCGATAACTTGGCCAGGAGTTGCGTGTCTCCCGAGTGATATGCCAGCGTCAATGAATGCGTGGCTAAAGTATCGACTGCCCGACGTTGGGTGGCCAAAAACTCTCGAGACCCTTGAAAAATTTCAAGATCAAAGCTCGACAGACTTTTCCTTCTCTCATCGGGCCCAGCGGACGGGTAAGATGCGGTCAAGATGCAAGGAAAATGTCTGTTGCAGGTGTTCTCGACTCGTGCGGGATGGGTCAAGCGGACAAGGGGAGAGCCTGTAGACGTTGGTTGGGTTGGTCTCTGTGCCGTGGTGTAGATAGACTGCATCCAATGAGAAAAGACCGAGAAACCGGAGCTTAGGCTGCGACATATCCACAAGCTAGGCGATACCGCAATGTATAGTTCCGCAAGCGATGAGTGACAAAGAATGGATTTGGTAGTGAAAGAAAGCTCAGGACGGGCTGAACCCGAGAGTTGGGTATGGTGATGGTGGCATGGCGCTGAGGACGTTGGGTACGACTCGACCGGACTGAGAAGGCCCAACCGGTTGCATCGAGTGCCGAGTGTCGAGCCTGATCAGGTCTGTTACTGTACGACATCGGGGGCGTTGGTCGCTTTGCCCCGTTGCAGCATGCGCTGGGTGCGCTGGGCCCTGGCTATGTTGCGCAGTACCTTGACTGGACAGGGTATGTTTCTCCCACGGGGCGTCGGTGGACTTGACTATTGGACCATTGGTGACAGAGAACTCGAACATGTCGTAGATGGGCTGCTTGATGAAAGGCCGTCTGTCAGCAAACTTGCAGGGGCTATCGGATTTGTCTTGTGGCTAAGAATGAGGTCAGAGTTAGGGGTCTTGGGAGAGTGTAGGTATGCCATGCCCTACGGCCCCTACCGACCCAACTTGGAGCATTTGAGATAAAGTAAAGAGTCCCCACTGGCTTCCCGGTGGCTAGTGACGATATGATGGCATGCGTCAGCGAGAGAGCAAGGTGTGATTGGTGGTGCCGGGACCTCTCAGTAAAGGAAGCCGGCGTGGTGGACTTGGGTCTTGGTGTCTTTCAGACGGAAATTTTCACAGGGTGTCCCAAGCCGATTTTCGACCTTGGAGCAGAGGAAAAGTGTCTTAGCTAAGGCGGCAGGGGTTGCAAGTGCAGACGGGAGTGAGGTGGAGACTGCGATCTGACCTTCTTATCGATTAGGTTGGTGGTTGGAAAGAGGAGTTCTTATCTTATCTCAAAGTCGCGTCAAATGCTTGAAAGCGCCCAGCACATGGAAGATGAACCCAGTCAATCGTAGAATGTCTCGATGCCAGGCACATGAAAGACTGCATGCGACGTAGGCTTCACTGCTAGTATTATTCCTGTTGATTGGCAAGACTCAAGAGCATGTTGGCAATTCGACTTGCTTGGAGAGTCTCGACGGAAAAGTCGATGCTTCAAATCCATCCAGGTGGATATCAGCAAGGTATCTTGAGGAAAGTGCCATCACAATTATCTACCAAGTGCCTTACACCTACCTGCCTTGCCTGGAATGGCATCTTCATCTCATGTCCCCGGACCCCATAGGGACTTTGTTGCGCCTTCCCTTCGTGACCTCCTAAGATACTACGGCAAACTTGTCCTGATTGAGATGGTTTGACTATTACCTTACCTTATTCTTCATTCATTGTGCGATTGTTCTCTCTCTCTCTCTCTTTCTCTCTCTCTCTCACACCCAGTCTCGCATCGTAGTCTTTCCACCCTCCCTCATCCCCCCCCCCCCCCCCCCCCCCCCCCCCGGTTCCGAAGTCCACGTTCCACCCCCACCATCTGCCGTCACCAACTGCGGTCGGCGACTCGGTCGCATCAGCTGCTTGTCGCATTCAAGTTCTCGTCCGCCGTGTTGCGCCCAACAACCCCATCAATGACGTCCTCAGCTCCTTGCAGAGCGGATTCCGGCTACCTTGCTTCACTTTACCTTCGCGCTCTTCGATACGCAAACGCAGGCAGACAGATAGAGAGAGAGGCCTGGTTGATTCAATCAATTTCTTACCTTCATTGCCGCAACTCTCGACTTTCGACTCGAACTGAGACGCCACCTCGCTGAGTGCCCTGCTCTAACCCCAGCCATCCATCCATACATCCCATTGCCCTTGTGCATCCCATCCCCATCCCATCCTCCCCCCATTCCGCATCCGCATCACCTCGCTCGACCTCGCGCACCTTCTTCCCGGTTCTTACCTTAGCAGCCATCTTTCTGCGTTGGCTCGCCCTCAGCAACACCTTCTCCCCCAATCAGAGCTTCGTGCCTTGCCTTGCAGATACCTCACCCTCACCACCCTTCACCCTAACCTCGCCAACCTCCACTACTTTCGCCAAACACGAAGGATACTCACCACCTTACATGAATGCAAGCCGCCAGCGTCACTCCGACTGCCAAACCTCGTCATCTCCCGCTCGCTCTTCTCATCCCTCAAGCACTGACCACGCCTATCCGCACCGAAAGACCTTCATCGACGGTTATTTCGTATCGCGATTGATCTTGCCCGACTCATCCCCAGCTGTTCGTTTTTCCTCGACACCGAATGCCGTCCACATAAACCGAAGTGAATAATCCCAAGTCGCACTCCATATTTCTACCAATCGCCCGCGCCCGCGCCCCTGCTTCGCCCTCCGTCTTGGTCGCCTGGTCGCAACATCAATCTCCTCCGAATTTCACCCAGCTCGATTCACCAAGACAACCACAACAATAACAACAGCGACACTACGTTAGCTTTTCTCGCGAGGGAGCACTCGCCTGATCACATCGTAGCCAAGAGCCACAAGTCATTACCAGCTATTCCACCCGGCTTCCGAGAACACCACCATCACGACCACCTCCAATATTAGGATATCGCGCAAGTCTAAGGGTCCTCAACCACAAACGACACCGTCGCATCCCATCTCGTCACAGCGCAACACATCTGATGAATCGTTGTCGCAGACCCGCGTGCTGCTAGTAACTGGACGCACCTTAGATCCAGTTACACACTTCCTTTTCGCTCACCCGTGGATCCTGTCGCCATCGCACATCGACGCTGCGACTGCGCCCCTCTCTCGCAAAATCCCGCTCGTCATTTTTGGTCTTCACTCCCCCGCCTCGACCTCTCCGGCTCGTCTCTCTTGACTTTCTCTCCCACCCCACCTACTATTGCCAACCACTGGCAGCCCGACTTGTCCGACCGTGATCTTCACACGGGAACCACCTGCATCAACTGTCAAGTTGTCAGATACCATACCAATCGAGGCGCAAGGCTAGCCATCACAGACGGGAATAACGGTTTGACACTCCCCACAGCTGCTTCTAGTCGCTGCGCTGCAATCGGATACCCGAGCTCAGACTGCTCACCACAGGACGAAGCATCACCAATCCAAGGCCGTCACAGCGGCGCGCACTGCCGCCCTCGAACTGCCAGTCTGGACCTTCGAGCTCGACCTATCCCCCCAACTGTCCCCCACACTACCCGACCCGGACGACACCTCGCATTCCAGCTTGCACATTCCATAGAGCCCATCATGAACGGCACTCAACAGACCCAAGACGTCGTCGCACAA